CCGCTCCCCCTGCTTGTGCGCTCTTTCTCTGACAAATAAATAAAATCCTAAACAAACAAACAAAACCACAAGACTTCTTGCCAAATTTAGATTAGACTCTGAGGCTCAGAGAGATTAGGTGACTTGCCTGAGGCTACATAGCAAGTAAAGGGCAGAGCGAGTACCCAAACTCTTGTGTTTGACTTCAAGACCTCAAGGAGTTGCTGCGCACAGAGGGACTCCTGTTCACCCCTCCTGGAGGGGAGGGTCTGGGGAGGTGAGCCAGATGGCGGGCGGTAAGAGATGCAAAGAGAGGTGGTCATGGGTGTGGTACACAACAAGTTATGCTGACCAGCACTCATGGTCCCTGCTTTGGCCATTGTGACTGTAGGTTTTAAAATTCTAGTCTAAGAAGTTCTCACACAGAGAAAAGCTTGTAAGATCATCTTAAGAATTTTTTTGTCTCAAGACTCACGCTTCCCAAGTTCAGAGATGTTATGATGTGAGTACTGCAGACGTTCAAAGGACCAGTGCCTCACCCAGGATGTACGAAAGTTCCCTTTCAACTACCAAGCGAGGAAGACTCTGCAAGATGAAGTTTTTGGTTGCAAATTTCTGCCGCGAAAAGTCTGGTTCCTGGTTTTTTTTGAGGCAGACCTCGCCCCCTAGTGGAAAGGGGTGGGCTCTGGTTTACGGCGAACGGTTCCCACATGCCAGGGCGCCTCCCTAAGGTTCTGCTCCTTTCCTATTGCAGGAAAAGTGGCTGTAAAAACAAAATCAGCCAGTGCGGTGAAATAGATTCACAGTTTTGGTGGTGGTGTTGGATTTTTTTCCGCCAGGTAAAGAAGGCAGTCGGGTGTGTGTGGTCCAGAGGGGGACCCTGCGGTGGGATCGACATCTTCAGGTTGGAGTCTCTGGGTGCAGTGGCAGATGTCCTACATCAGGGTCTTCCAGGACGCCTGTTAAAGCACAGGTCCCTGGCGGGGGTGGGGTGTGGGCGGGGTGGGCCCTAGACCACAACCTCTGCCTCTCGCAGGTGGGGCCCCGGCACCTGCTCTTGCACCAGCTCCCAGGGGATCCGGGTGAGGATTCAATCCAAGAGCCGCGAACCTGGAGACCTGCCTGCTCCCAGCTGTTTGAGCTCCCACTGAGGAACCGGGGACCCATAAATGCCTTACTCCCTGGGGCTCAGCTTCCACTCCCACCAGATGTGGAAAATACACCTGATTCATGAAGGGCTACAAGAATTCATTGAAAAGGTGGGAGGCAAGTGCCTCATGGATCAGAGGTGCTTAGTAAGCGTCTTCCAACAAGAACGGTCACTCCAGCTCGCCGGGCCTCAGTTTCCCCCACTGTACAATGAGCAGGTAGAAATGACATCAAAGGGCCTCTCTCACTAACACCTCAAGAGCTCCTTCCTCCTGCTCTCTTGTTTTTCTGTTGCTGCTTCTGGAGGCAGGAGATGCAGCCCTGCCCTTCAGACCCTTACCTGATCACTTTGCGGTTGCCTTCCTCCTACTTCCTTGGCTTTTGGACCCCTCACAGCTTTACTATTCACCTCAGGGAGGCATTTTTTGGGCACTGCCGTGTGGCAAGTTTCTCCCACTCCTGCCAACCCCAGGATCATGAGTTTGCCTATCCCACGGGGCTAAGCTACAACTGTTGCTTCGCTTGGAAGGTGGGCAATCATTCCTGTCTCAGAGCCTCCAGACAGCTTCTTCTCCCCTGGACAACTGCAGCCTTGCTTTTCAGAGGTTTCTAGTTCTTATCTTCTCCGCCATCCCACAGGACTGTGGAAAAATGCCACGAGGCTGCTCTTTGTTTAGAGCCAGTAACATCACGCCCACACCTGGCTGCACGGCGGCCGGCGGCCCGGAGAGGGGCTGTCCCACGCATGGCTGGTGCCTCACGGTCCCGAGAGGGAGGCAGAGTCGCTGGTTTAGGTCCTTTTTTTAGACAAGCAATGTTCACTGAGTGTAAGCAACAAGTGACTTTTCTGACTTAGCACAATTAGTTTGGAGGTGAGGCAAATAACATCATCTTCTTCCCCAAATACTATGCTCCTCTGTTAAAGAAACCATTCTGTTTCATTCTTGAGAAAAAAAAAAATCAGGTTCTAAGGAAGATGTGCCTCATCATCCCATTTTGAGTGGCAAAAAACTCTAAGTGCCCCTAAAAAGAATTCCAAGAGGTTGTCTGCCAGACTTCTGAGTGATGAGAGTCCCAGTGGCATTTTTTTCTTCTTTGTGTTGTCTTATTTTTTTTCTTTGACAAACCTATGTTATTAGAAACAACATTTAGTGTTTTAAAAAATGAAAAATGAAACTATCATGCGTATTTGGAAAGAAACCATAGTTCCCTATGGAAACATAAATGAATCTCTTAAACAAGATGTTGAACATAAGGATGCAGGCATGGAAGAGTATGAGCTGTAGGATACTGTCTATTCAATATTCAAACTAAATGGCCAAACTAATTAATGGTGACAGTTGGGATAGTGTTTACTTTTGAGGGGTGGTGACCGGCAGGGGGGTGGCTGGGGTGTGAAACGTGCTCTTTCTGTTTTTGATCTGGGGGCTGGTCATATGTGCATGTTCACCTTATGGTAATCTATCAACCTGCATCATAGATTTTAAGTGGTTTTATTTTATTTATTAAAATATTATTTATCTCATGGGGCACCTGGGTGGCTCATTCAGTTAAGTGGCTTCCTTCAGCTCAGATCATGATCCCAGGGTCCTGGGATCGAGCCCCGCATTGGGCCCCCTACTCAGCTAGGAGCCTGCTTCTCTCTCTCCCTCGGCTGCTCCCCCTCCTGTGCTCTCACTCTCTCTCAGATAAATAAATAAAATATTTAAAAAATATTATTTACCTGAATTCCTGAGGATTTTGATGCAAGGTGAGTGCCTCCCTTGCCTCACCCTTGCCCCAGCCCTGCAGGGATGGGAAGAATAATCGAGGCAGTGCTTTCCAACACTCTACCCTCACTGGGCCACACTGACCAAGTTATCAAAACCCTTTATATCAAGGATTTGTCTGGAAAGCACAGGGGACTCCAGGGATTTCAAACAGTATAAATACAATACAGAGAACTGATTATGGGGATGAAGGAAGAACTAAGAAGGCAAACAGGAGAATGGGGAAACCCTGAGACCAGCAACAGAAGGAAGCCTGCACTGCCCCTCAGACTGAAGGGACACAGACCCAGAAGCAGGGCCATTTTGGTGGCATTGGGACCATGGCATGAGGCTGCCAGGCAGAAGCCATGAAGGAGACACAGCTGTTGCTGAAAATGTCTGGCTTCTCCCAGTCTCTTGTCTTTCAAGTCCCCGCTACCTCTTCCCATGGGCTGGACCTGGCCAGAAGCAAGCTGGTGAGGGAGACAGGATAGGACTTGCAGAAGAGAAGTGGGGATGCATGTGGGAGTGAATGTACTGGATCCTCTCTTCCAAATCTTCCACTGGGCTGCCTTTCCATCTTCCCACCAGCCTCTCTCCCTCCCAGGTCACCCTGCACGGGGCATCAGTCCTTTGCTGGGAAGGGTTTCCCTCGGCCCATGTCTGATTCTAAGGTGATCATTAGACTAAATTTACCCACCTTGTTGTATGCACAGCATCGAGGATGCTCCATCCCTTTTCCAAAGACACTGGATAACCCACTGCGGTGGACACACCTTGAGATGACCCCTTGTATAATCCTCTTCCCTTGAGTGTGGGTGGCACACGTGACTCACTTCTAGTCCAGAAAATATGGCTAAGGTGATGGGATGTCACTCCCAAGGCTACCTTACATCATACAGGACTCTGTCTTAGCAGACTAGCACGAGAGAGACTCTCCTGCTGGTCTTGAAGGACAAACAGCCATGCTTCAAAGTGTCTGTAGAGGGAGAGATGCCCGGCAGGGGACTGTGGGGGCCACTGGGGCCTGGATGGCCTTCTCCCAACAGCCAGTAAGCAGCCAGGCCCTCAGTTATGCAGCTGCAAGAAAATGAATCTGCCGACCTCATGAGCTTGGACTTGGGTTCTCCCCAGTCATGCCTTCAGATGAGAACACAGCCCCGCTGCCCCTAGGCTGTAAACTTGGGAGACCCTGAACAGGGGACCCAGCAAAGCTACCTGGACTCCTGACCCATAACAATTGTGAACTAATAAATGTGTGTTGTTTTAAGGCACTGAATTTATGGTACTTTTTTACACTGCAATAGAAAACTAATGCACAAAGTGGGAAGAAAGGCTCTCTAACTCACTTTCTCCAAACCACTGAGCTCCATTTAAAAAGGTGGATGATCAATAAGTCACTCTGTACCTTGTAACTGCTCCCTTCCCTGCCCGCTTCTTGTTCTGGCTGCACCAAAACTGAGGGACAGAGGTCAGGTGTGTCCTATGCAGTGGGTAGAGATGCATCATGAAAAGGAGAGCACTTGGTGCTCCCAGTTGGAGTATGTTGTCATTGCTGATGCTCCCATTACAATGCTCCGATACAGGCAACAAGTTAGAGCTGGCCTACGGGTGCTCTGAGGTCAAGGATGGCGAATGGAACTCAGGTCTGGTATTTTCCATCCACAAATGATACAAATATGGTGCTCTGGGTTGAATGTCTCCCCAGAACTCCTGTGTTCAATCTTAACCCCCAAAGGTGATGGTATTAGGAGGTGGGGCCTTTGGGAGGTGATTAGGTCACAAGGGCACCACTCTAACCCTTACAAAGTGGCCCCAGAGAGCCCCCTTGTCCCTTCCACCATGTGAGGACTGAGCGAGAAGATGGCCATCTATGAACCAGGAAGCGAGTCCTCTCCAGACCCTACCCTGAATACGCCAGCATCTTGATCTTGGACGCCCAGCCTCCAGAATTGTGAGCGATAAACATTTGTTGTTTATAAGCCCCCCAGTGTGTAGTACTCTGTGACAGCAACCTGACTAAGACCGTGAGCAAAAGTTCTACTAAGACCATGGCCAACTAGGAAAGTCAGCTGAATGCTTGAGCGGTCCCTTCAATGTCATTTTATTTTCTGTTATGCAGATTGGTGGAAGAAAAACAATCCCGTAGATTCTTCTGGAAATTGTCAAGATATCGGGAAGATGAATGAAAAACTTGCATAGATTGGGATGCCCGCAGTTTGGACTTTCAAGGCCTAAAAGATGAAACAAAACAAAGCAAATGGGGCTTTTAGGATAAACACAATTGCCCTCTTGAGGAGGGGAGAGAGGGCTTCACAGTTGTGTAAGGTGGTCATTCCCAACTCTGGCTGCACATTGGAACCACCTAGGGAAGGTCTTTAAAACAAACTCTAAAAAATTTAAATATAACATAAATACAATAAAGTACACACTTCTTAAGGGTCCGGCTTGGTGAATTTTCATGAGTGAGTCCTCCTGGGTGACCATAATAAAGAACCTTTCAGGCACCTCAGAAATCCTCTTCATATTCTCTCCCGGCCAATATCCTGGCCTCCCTGTGCCCACCTCCACAAGGGAAATTGCTATTCTGGTTTCTGACATCACAGAGAATAGCTTGGGAAGCTTTAAACAACACCGACGCCTGGGCCCCACCGCGGAGTATCTGGTCTCAGGAGCTGGGTGGCGCTCAGGCCTGCAGACCATGCAAAGGGCCAAGTGTTCTGATGTGCAGTCAGGCCTGGGAATGACTCCCTGGCTTAAAGCTGAGTCCCATTCCCTACACGGCAGCAAGGGAGGCCCCCGGACATCCCGGAACTCACAGGTTCCTTCTAGGACTACAAGCAGGCTCTCTGGCAATCTTTGGATTTCACCTGTCAGGAGCCAGGCCAGGTAGGGGATCCACCTGGATGCTGGCGCGGCCACTGAGGCAGGTGGGCCAGGCCACGGATCTTGGTGCACATCCCAGGAGATGTGCAGACAACAGTGGGGGTGGTAGTGGCAGATACACTCCACCAAATCTCCCCTCCTCCAGTACAGTACCCTTTGACATTTATAAAATGGATCTGGTGTTATAGTGAGAGTTTTCAATGTCCTCAGCTTTTCATTCAAGATCTCTCTCTAGCATGGTGTGGAGCTGTGATTATCTTTTAAAAAGCGAGCAAGGGTCCCCTGGAGATCACTGGAGATGTAAGGTCAAGGATCCCCAACAAGGGGTGGAGGAGAAAAAGAGCACAAAGGACATTAAGGAGAAAAGTCAAAGACAGACACTCACATGGCTTTTGCAGGATGGCTTGACGAACCCAAACTTCTGGGTGATCCAGTTGGTCCTGAACTCCTGCCACTTGCCGTCCACCAGGGTCTGGGCTCTGATCTCGTACTTCACCAAGCGCTCCGCTCTCAGGCTAACGGGGCCATGCTCACAGAGCAAGGACGGGAACCCCGGGTCAGTGTGCCTTACTCTCTGCAAAGAGGGTGATCCACCTTAGGTGGAACTGAAAGCGGGGTGACCCAGAGTTAGCGACACCTGGTTCATTGACTCTCCTGTATGATGTGTGCAGAGAGCAAGAGGGTATTCCCCCAGGGCCCAATTTCCTAACAGCTGCTACTGCTGAGTCAGCTTGCTACGGAGCCCTCACCATACAAAACCACTGGCTCACAGACTGGCGTTTGGTGAACCCAGAAAAATGCTTTTAGGTCAAGCTGCATTGAACTGGAAGGTCTTCACTATTGCTTGGCCCGAATTTAAAAACCAACATAGTATTCACATGAGCATTTCAACGGGCGTTGTTATAGGATTCATCTCCTCCATCCAGTAAAATCCATTATGTAGGGAAGTGCCTGAGTCACTGAAGACCAAGAACTGACGCAGGGAAGAGATGTGACTCACTCAAGGGCACGTAATGAGGTGGTGGCAAAGCTGGGGCTAAAACTCTCGTTTTCCTCACTCATGCATTTATCCACTCATGATACAAACATACGTCCCCTGCATGCCAGGTACTATGATTAGTGGTGATAAGAAAAAGATGAATGAGATATGGTTTCTCAAGGAGCTCGATGTCTTAGAGACTTATAAAGCAAATCCTAAGTGGAACACAGCAGTCCCTGGTCATAGTTGTCATGGTCAATGTCATCATCATCACAGAGCGCTTTTTGTGTCAGGCCCCGTTCTATGGCCTTTGCACAAATTACCCCAGTAATACTGCCCACAGCCAAGTGAGGTAGGTCCTATTACCTTCTCCATCTTAAAGCTCAGGACGCTGGACATAGGGAAGGAGGTTCATTGGCTTGCCAAGGTCACGCAGCTCACCACACAGCGTGACTTCAACTCTCTGCTCTTAAACACAGTGCTCTTCCAAAAGTCTAGCAAGAGCACCGAGGCGAAGCCATCTGCCCTCCTGATTTCGCCAGTGTCCTGTCCACAGCCCTACTCTGCCTCTTTCAACAATTCCATTCCCTCCATACCCACGTAGTGGGCACTACGTGTTACCTCCATTGAAGAGGGGCCATCGGTAAAGGATCATCCACCGCGTACAAACTGAAGATGAACTGAGCCCCAACTGTAGAGTCAGAGTCTAGAATTTAACCCCAGCTTTGTCAATAGAGGCCATACCAACATGAAGACATGCAATTTGGAGATCTTCATCTGTTAAACAGGCCAACGATAGCAACCTCCCAAGGTTGTACAAGTCAAATGACATCACATTATATGACCATGATTAGCACCAGGCTTACAACACGTCCCATGTTCATTATTAACGAATGATTAATCAATTATTATTGATTTAGTATGAACTGACTCTGTATCTGAGACACAGCTTTCCTGGGCTCTGTCCTTACCTGCATGTAAAAACTATAAGAGGTGGTATCATGTTTGATCCCCTTTATCTCAAAGAAGAATCCATATATGGCAATCATTTCTGAATGAGTTGTATACTCCTAAATTGGGAAGGATAAACAACAAAGTGACAGAGAAAAGAATCTTCAGTGTTCAATGACAAGAGGACACAGTAAAACAGATTCTAGCTAAAACAAAAGTGACTAATTTGACAGCTGATTTAAAACACAACAGCAATAGGAAGAGCCAAATTGTAGTGACTTCACAAATCCCTCAGGTTAGCACTCAGTGACATATTAACTGCTCTGTGCATCCTCTAGTGGGGAGAAGAACGAGTTAGGCATGTTCTTAGATGTTTGGGGGCCTGCGGACCTTTGGAACAAAGCATTTGCTCTAATTTGATGGGCCTAAAAGACACTCCATACCCATGATATTGTGAGGTGTCCTGACCCCTGTGGTCGGCGGTCTGTCTACTTAGGCGGGTCTCTGCGAGCAACGGGGGAGACCCAGCCCATCCAGGCCTGACCCAGAGGGGAGTCTCTGATGATAGATTCAGAGCTCCAAGTCCCTGAAACACAAATTCTTTTGAGATCACTACTGGGGTGGCTTTTAAAAATGTCGGAGAACAGCAATTTCTTGGAGAACTGTGCCTTTTCAGGGAACCCAAGAAGAATGCAGCCACTGGCCCTGCATACTCCCCTGGTGACTGAGCCTTGCAGCCAAGCTCCCTGACCCCCTGCTGCTTGGATTTGGGGGACCCATCAAAACATCCACCCAGAATTGGTTCCCCCTCGCGGGGCGCCTGGGTGGCTCAGTCGTTAAGCATCTGCCTTCGGCTCAGGTCATGATCCCAGGGTCCTGGGATCGAGCCCCGCATCGGGCTCCCTGCTCTGCGGGAAGCCTGCTTCTCCCTCTCCCACTCCCCCTGCTTGTGCTCCCTCTCTCGCTGTGTCTCTCTCTGTCAAATAAATAAATAAAATCTTAAAAAAAAAATAGGTTTCCCCTTGTAACGGTAAACACAGGGTTGGAGTGGAATCTCTCATCCAGCAGTTGGCAAGTCTTGATGTTTGTGGGGAAGAGAACAACCAGTTCATCCCAGTTTGCCCAAGCCTTTCTTGGTTTTAGAACAGAAAGCCCTGCATCCCAGGGAAACTCCTCCATCCCTGGAAAACTAGGACAGTTGGTCCCCCTCAAGGAGAAATTTTGGATGTGCACACCATGTCAATGAATGGCCTGTCCCAGGCCCCTGTCTTGTGAATTTCATTTCCTAGGATGTGGTGAACATGCAGAAGGAGACACGACGATTTCCTTGTCTGCCCTGGCCTTGCTAAGAGAGGTAAGAAGCAATTATACAAAAGTCCTTAACCAAGTGTGGAAGGGGACGGTCCTTCCCTTTGCTTGGGCCCAGTGGTCTGTACCTGGTTAAAGAGCAGTCCAAATCTCATAGCCTGGGTGGTAAAATCTTTCACGTGGGCCATGTCGCCCCCACTCTCCAGCTGAAAGAGAAGCACACAAGCTCACCTGGACACATCTCTCACCATCTGTACATCAGTTCGCTGATCCCACAACCCCAAACCTGCTTGAAAAAGAGTTCTGTCTCTGGATCCCACACTCAGCCACTAATCCAGGCTGTAGTATTTGTTGAAGCCTACTATATGCTCAGTGCTTTGAGAGGATGCAAAGGTGAGAATGAGAAACATGCCTGAGCAGTCTCACCGGGGAAATAAAATGTGTACATAAATAGCCTGATCACAATGCAGAGAATGATGATGGCCATAAAGTCACAAGCATGATCCCACATGGCAGGCTCAGGACACTGGCAGCAAGGGGCTAAAGGAAGGAGGTGGGCTGGGTCAGAAGAACAGAAATGGTGGAGGGGGGAACTTCCTGAGGTGTCCCCAGTCCCAAGGGCGGTCTCCTGCCTCAACTCTGCTCTTAGAGCATAGATGTGAGTTATGTCCCACAGAGGCTTGGTTCCATGGAGTCATTGTCTGCTGTGCAGTGACACTGGGCACTGTGGTTTGCACATTACAATAGGGATTTGTTGGGCTGAATTGAATTTTAACCAATGACTCATAAATCCTCAGAACTCAAACACTGCCCTACTTCATCCCTAAAAATGCACGATTAGAAACACACGAAGTACTGCAGTTCACATAGACAATTCACAAAGGGAGAAATGCCACATGGGAAAAATATTCATTAAATAGTAAATCTAGTGATAAAAGAAATGCATATTGAAAAACGAGATTTCATTGTTCACTTCTCAATTAACAAAAGTGATCCGAAATAAAAACGCCCTACGTCACTGAGCATGTACAAAGTGAAGCAAGCTCATTCATTACTGGGGGAAGAGTAATTTGGTCCTAAATGTTTAATATGTATCAAGAACAAAAATGAATGTTCCTTTTTGGGCCAGTATTTTCTATTCTTGAGAATCTCCTATAAGAAAACAATTCTAAGTAGAGTAAAATAAACTGTCACGTGCAAATATGTTTATCATACAGTCATTTATAATCGTTACCAATTAGGAACACCACAAATTGTCTACACTAAAGGAAAGGCAAAGAAGCATTGTTTATAGCAGATGCTCTTGGTGGAAGAGTTTGCAGCCAATAAAACACGATGAGATCTTAGCAGTGGTTGTCTCTGGGTGATGGGTCTGAGGGTAGGTCTTTTCTTTTTTTCAATTTCTCTGCATTTTAAAAATTTCCAATAACAAGCACCCGTTACATATGTGTTTTGGGGGCTCGGTCAGGAGGGCGGTGCAGCCAGTGCTCCCGGACTCCATCTCAGGCTCCGGGTCAATAGCGGGCAATGCGCACAGCACCTGGGTTCCTCCTAGCCTGGCCTCCTCCCCCTCTGGCCCGCCAGGCTTGGCTTTCCCCACTGCCCTGGAGGAGGACCCAGAAACCTCCCGACCTCAACGGCCCAGAGGTTTCAAATGCAAAACACATCTCCAGAAAAAGCCAAGTCAGAAAAGCAATAAATTTCAGTAATTGTTTCCTTGCTGAGCTGGCCACTCACTGCGTGGTAATGGTTGGCCGTAACCCGGATCAGCCAGGACTCCGGGAAGAAATTAATGTGCCTTAACTCCTCCAGATCTTTGCCTTGGAAGAAACACAAAGAGAACATTTTCATAGATGTATTCAGCACAGACTGGCAGAAGTCTAATTTATGGAGAGAAAAAGGAGGAAGCTGAGGGTTGAGGATCGGAGGGTCTAACCAGGGCCCCGGGGATCATAAGGTGCATGGAGCCCAAATGGGACGGCACCGAGCACTTTCCCCCAAAGTGTTTACAGCCCCGTGGCTGAAATCCTGCCCAAGAAGGGTGGGTTGGGGTCTGATCGTGGGTGTCTTTGGGATGTCTAGAAGCAACTTGGACAAAACTACCTGGGGTCCATCAACTATCCCTGGGTTTTAGAGTTACGCATTATATCTGGATAATATCCTTTCATTTGCAAAGGTCTCCCTGAGGGGCCACCTGGGCAGCCCCAAACACACTCCCCAGTAGCTTCCTCTTCTTTCCAACTCACAGAGGCCACTGCCAGGCCCAGCACATGAGGCTGAGGAAGCCAGGTCTGGAGCACAGACCCACACAGGCTTCGCCCCAACGGCCGAGTGCTTGACCTGGAGGGGATGCTCCTCGAAGAGGCGGGGCCCATGGCTAGATGACACTCAAGCAGCCCTTGGCAGCTGCACAGGCTTTCAGGATCCACAGGGCCCTTCATCCACTACCGTATTTCACGGAAGCTCTGACTACCCCCCACTTTACAGACAAGGACACTGAGACCAGACAGGTACGTGACTTTCCCAAAGTCACACAACTTGGAAGTCACAATGCCATCGCTCAGCCTATTCCTTTAAAAACGCCTACTGGGTCTTTCCCAGGAGTTGCTGGGGAGGGGCGGGGGGAGGCAGGTCCCCAACAGCCTTCCCAGGAGGCAGTCCCTCGGGCGGGGCTTACCTCTGATGATGCCGTGCAGACGCAGGCAAAGGAAGAGCGGCACCAAGCTCTGTCCTGTGTCCTGATCCAGAAAGGAACACTTCTTGGGGAAGCTTAGCAGAGGTGTAAAGAGGAACAAGAGATTCATAAAACTGCTTTCTAGAATTGGCGAGGGGTAGTGAAAGTCATGTCAAAGAGAGTCGTGGTTTCACTAGCCAGGAGTAGATGGGGCTTGGTTCTCTCTGGACCAGTGAGGGATGTGGAAGCAGAGGGCCGCTGAGGCAGCCCGGGTGAAGGTTGACCCCAGAGGTTATAATGAGACACTGATTCTAGCCCCCTTGCTGTCCGCCACTGAGCCGAGCAACACGGCAGGTGCACAGAGCATACTTATGAAGTGACTGACGGTAATGAGTTGCTTTATAGAGGATTTCGAGATACATTTTCTCACTTGGGTCTCACAAACTTCTTGTGGGCCAGACAGGGCAGGTGTCATCGGCTCCATTTTACAGATGAAATACAAAGGTTCAGTGAGGACTTGAACCCGGGACTTCGGATTCCTCCTCTCCACAGGCTGCCCTTTCAATAGTGGCCAATGTAGGCCCTTCAAAAGTGCTTTCTGGTAGGATTAAAAAGAAGGAATGTGGGTAACAAGTTCTAGTAGCTGTTTCCCAATCACACCTTCAGCGGTTACTGCCCATACTCAAAGCCAGTTAATTTCCACACGTGGCTGAGGTCAGGGCTGGGTTGAGATCAGATTCCTTTTGAGAACACGCATACATGTAGACACACACCCACCACTCTTGTTTTGAAACAACTTGTTTCCTTAAAGGGTCACTTTTCACCAATGGGGACTACAGGGGTAATTTTCCCAAGTCCCTTTGGAAACGCAAAGTCATTCCCTCAAGGCAAATCCGTATGAGACCAGCCAAGGGCTCTTGTAGATTATTTTTCCATGAATCAAGAGTGATGTCCAAATCACACCCTGTCTCAGCCAGACTGAATGCACCACTGGCCCCGTGTCCTGCCTCTGCTGGGGGTGCCCGCCAGCCTGCTGAGGACCATTTGCTTTCAAGTGGGAATTCTTGGGACTCTCCGTGTGAGTGGTCCCAGGAGATAGTTTAGGGATGCTGAGGGGTTGTGGGAGGGGAGAGGGGCACCACGACAAATGAGTTGATTCAATCCAATGATTATTCATTAGAATCCACGGGGTGCCAGTCTCCGGGAGTGGACAGATCAGGCATAAAGGAAGAAAGGCTGATACTTTCAGGAATGCAGTGCTATTGATCTCGGAACCAGCCCTCCACCACCCGGGGAAGGTGGAGCTGGGCTAGTGTGGGCCATGCCGGGGCCCCAAGAACATGATATCTTAGCCTCCTTCCCTGCCTCTCTCTCACCATTTAATGAAGGAACAAGCTAGGTGCCATCCCGCGGGGTGCAGGTGTCAAGGAGAGAATGCTCCGGGGAATGAGCCGGCACCCTCGGCAAGGGCCCGCACAGCCCAGCACTGCCCCGACAAGGGAGCACCTGCTGGAGCTGTAGGTTATGGACAGTTTCAGCTCAGAAGGGAGAGGGCAGTAAGAGGACAGCACCTCTCCTGCGACTCGGAAGCCCCCGGGCACCAGCTCTGCAGCTTGGTGGGAAGGCTGCTGGGAGAGGAAACCAAGGCCCCTGAGTCTCCCTGGGATTGCTGCTCAGACCTGACAGCCCATCAGCCCAGAGCTCTCTGGACAGACCGCCTCTCTCCGAGGATTTGGGGAAGAGCTCCGTTGAGACACGTGACCGGACTTTAAGGTCCCTCTGGATCACAGGCCATGGCCCTGGTGGCAGCTGACTCGCAGGTCGCGAATCTGCTCATCCATCATCCAGCCACGCCTCGGCGAGCTCAGCCTTGGAGTCAAGACACAGCAGGTTCCAGTCCCGGGCCAGCTGGCCATCAGTCACGTGACTGAGCCTCCCTGAGCTCTAATCTCCTTCCTGTCACGTGGGGACAACGGCCACGTATGCTTCCGTGGGTAGCTGGGAAGAGTAAAGGTGATGGTGCTGGGCACAGTACACCAGCAAGGACTCCCCACCTCATGATGACCGCCACAGTCCTCTCGTCCCTGGGAAAGGGACCTGGACTCAAGCCAGCTAAGTGCATGGCGTTCATGGTCACTGCCACCCTCTAAATGGTCTAAGCCAGGGACCACCTCAGAGGAAGAAAGTGGTGGCCTCCGCTACTGATTTTCTAAAATCTGACAGCATAAGCATTAGAGGGCTGTGGTCCAACACCTGGAACCAGTAGGTACAGCCCCGCCCCTGGAGCCCGGTGAGGTCCCCTGTCTCCGAGCCAGGACTCTCCCCAGGCCTCCTGAGGACAGCCCCGTGCGTTTTCCCCTCCCCTGGTTCCTCTCCACTGTCTGGAGGCGAAGGCACCTACTATCTCCGGCTCAACCATGAGTGCATTCACTCCACTTCACACAAAGTGAGAGGAAGCTGACGCTAACTTGGGGGCCTCTGTGCATGGGTCTGCCGGCGGAACTGGGTGCTGGCACAGCTTTGCCTGGAGCTCAGTGCTGTCTGGGCCAAGATCTCTCTGGGTTTAGCACCGACTTCTCTGGGGCAAGCTTCAGGCCATGGTGTTTGCCTCTTCAAGTTCTTCAAGAAACCCTGGGGTCACGAGCCCTTCCAGAAGGACAGTTCATAGGCCTTGAGACTGAAAGACACACCCAGGTTGGCTCCGGGTCCTGCTTTCAAGGGCCCGGGGACAAATCCCCCACAGACTTCCTGAAAGGCAGTGCCTGGGACAAGTGTCCCTCTGACCGGGACAGGTTGTGATTGTAGAGCTGCTCTTCACTACAGCCTTCTGACCTCCCCATCCTGTCACATGTCGGTCCTTTACCCTTCCTGTGAGCGTCTGACTCAGGGCCCTATTGCCCCAGGACTTCAGATTTTAGCCTTAAAATACACACTTCAGAATTCTGACGCATGACACTCCATGGAGCCTTGAGGACTTTATATTGAGAGAAATAAGCCCAACACAAAAGAATGAATACCATGCAATTCGACTAGGGTAGTGTGGGATTCACAGAGAAGCAGAGCGGTGGGGGCCTGGGGCAGGGGGATGGCTAGCCTTTAATTGCTGAATGGATACAGGGTTTCCGCTTGGAAAGATAAAAACTGGAGATGGAAGGAGGTGATGGTTGCCCAACAGTGTGATGTATTTTTTTACTGCCACTGAACTGAACACATAAAAATGGTTAAAATGGTCGATTTTATGTTCTGCATATTTTACCACAATAAAAAAGAGGGGGATTAAAACATCACTTCATTTCTATGAACAATACATGAAATAATAGTTTATATTTTCAGGGGAAGTTTGGGGAAAAAAAGTTGCACACTTTGGGGCAAAAACTCACGATGAGAATGGAACCCGGCTTTTTTCAAAACGTAACTTGGTGTAGACCTGGGCACCTTCAGCCAGCCAGGAGCCAGGACCCGGGCCGCCGTCTGCTAACGTACCTCTTATTTACCGAATGTATTGTCTGCCTCTGCTTCTGAGGTGGCAAATGCTACAGAGATGGGGCTCGGCATCTGTTCTGTTTGCTCACCTACTCTTGGCGCCCCTTGCAAGGCCTGGCGCTCAGTAGTCTTGCGATGTGTTGAGTGAATGAATGGGGTGAGGAGCTGGCCCCACCGACTTGGCAGCCCCCAGCCTGCCCTCCCTTCCCTCCACTTGCCCACAGTGTCTCTTCGAGGAATGCCAGCTACCCCCGTCCCCGGCGCACGCGTGCACACACACATGCACACAGACCAGGCCATTGCAAGCTGATTTTCCTGGGCTTTATGGGGTCCCACCTGCTGTTGTTGCCTGCTTATTTGCCAGGCCAAGTCCTGTCAGATATTCACTGCGACCCTGTTCGATGTCTTGACAACCCCAAGTTGGTCTTGACCTTTGCCCAAAGGCAGGACTGGGTCTAGAAATGCCGTGTAATGGTCATCTTTGCTGCCCTTTGTAAGGACCTCCTGCATCAGACACTTTACACCCCTCCTTGGGCTCCTGCCATGTCTCTACTCTTATTGAAGAAGACACGCTGGGGCTACCCAGTTTGGGTGGAAAGCCAAGAAGCCACAGGAGGGAAGTGAAAACTTAGCAAGGCATAGGGATCAATAATATTTAGGGACTTTGAAAACAAAGGAGATTCAGCTTCCAGAAAGCCAAACTCTAGGGGAGCAGGGACAGTGTGGTCAGAGCAAGAGAAAAAATAAAAAAGGCAAGAAACAGCTAAGTCCGATCATGAGAAGCCCTGTTGCCCCCAAATACATCCACCTCCCTGCACAGGGCTTGGCTATCTGAGACAGAACCATTTAATGGCTCTCATGTCTGTGACTCATGGGTTGTTTCAAAATGAATGTTCTGGTTAAGAGATCAGAGTTGTCACACCAGGGGTGCCCAGTTTCCTGATGACTCTGTGGCCACATCTGCAAATGTCACTTATTAATCACAATAGACACATGGCTTCTGGCTGCCCTGTCACACAGTGTCACAAAGCATGTCCTTGGAGACATTGGCAGGCTCAGGTGTCAGGGATGTGGGGTATGATGGTGTGGCTCCCCTCACAGGGCATGGGGGGAGCATAGTGTTGGGTTTGTCAGGCCAGTGCCCACTCACACGGTCAGCATGTGTTCTTGTTCCCTCTGCAAAGACAGAAGCTCAGAGGAGGAATCTGTCCAGTAGGCAGGTGAGATCTGGGAGGGCTTCCTGGAGGAGTCCTTGGCCAGTGCTGTAAAGATTGGGTCAGATTGGGATAGGGCCGAGGAAGGAGGGGAGACTCAGCTGCAGTGCTCACAGACATCTGGGAGTTGGGATCATGTGGAAATTAGCTTTACTGGCAGGGTTCAGTGACCTCCTTCTGGAGAGGTTGTAAGCCCACTGCTGGGACCCATCCTTGTGTCGGAGAGGGGCCCATTTAGTGATTAATCAATCTGTTAAGGATTAGAATTACAGGTCTATTCATGACTTTCCCTCAACCCAGAGAATCTCAAAATAGAAGATCAGGGAGACCCAGGTCAGCCGCTACTCCACCACCACGCTGCTGACGGATCCTGAGCACGCCCCTTGCCTTCCCCGGCCATCTGTCCCTGGACGGAGTTTACAGATTCTCCGTTGAGTGAAAGAGAAGGCAGACCTTAAAACATGTGTACTGTAAGATTCTATTTATACAAAGTTCAAAAGCAGCCAAGACATCTTGAAAGGAAAGGAAGCCAGGATGTTGTTTGCCTTTTTCTGGGAATGGTGGGGACTGAGATAAGACACTTTAGGTGGCTGGCTGAGTCTGTCTCTGGGGCCGGGTGCTGCTTACACAGTTGTGTGCGCTTTGTGGAAATCCATTTCAGGTCTGTGAACTTTTCAGTGTGTATTTTATACTTTGATTAAAAATGCTTTTTGGGCGCCTGGGTGGCTCAGATGGTTAAGCGTCTGCCTTCGGCTCAGGCCATGATCCCAGGGTCCTGGGATCGAGTCCCGCATCGGGCTCCCTGCTCCTTGGGAGCCTGCTTCTCCCTCTGCTTCTCTCTCTCTCTCTCTCTCTCCCCCTCTCTCTCTCCCTCTGTCTCTCATGAATAGAAATAAAATAAAATAAAATTTAAAAAAAATGCTTTTTAAAAAGTGAAAAGGGGGTGCCTGAGTGGCTCAGTTGGTTAAGCATCTGCCTTTGGCTCGGGTCATGGTCCCGGGGTCCTGGGATCAAGTCCCACATCGGGCTCCCTGCTCAGCGGGAGGCCTGCTTCTCCCTCTCCCACTCCCCCTGCTTGTGTTCCCTCTCTCACTGTGTGTCTCCCTCTGTCAAATAAATAAATAAATAAATAAAATCTTAAAATAAAAAATAAAAAAAGTGAAAAGTTTCCCTGCCTCTGGTTTTACTCCAGCTGAGGAGACTTTACAGCTTTCCTGGTCTTCTCAGACTGCTAACTGGAAAGAAAAGGTGACTTTTCCTCTGTGGACAGAGGCAACAGCTTTGTTTACCTTTTTGTTGTTGTTGTTTTTCCTACAAGGAAATGTTAAATTTAATTCTGGCCAGCCTATTTGTTTTTCTAAATTAACCATTGCCAGAAAACAGACAGTGGGTACTGAGGGGTGTGTGTGTGTGGGGGGGGTGGGTGTGTATGAGTGTTCCCTTCCTATAATATTATGCTTAGCAATGAAAATAAGTTGGAAGATATTCGTACACATCTAGCTAGGCAGAGAAACTTCCCCTTCATCTTTCCATCAGTGCCCCTGGCATAGAGTGTGTGTTCAGTAATTATGTGTTGAATGAATAAAAAACTGAAAAAAAATCAATTAATAAAAGAAAGTGGGAGAATAAGAAAGGCTTGGACCTGTGTCTTTATTTGCAGGCACTATTCAAATACCTTCCCTCCTGGCTTGTTTTCTGGACATTGCTAAGATCAGAAAAGGGGCATCTGGTCTATTTTTACACAATTACTGCTCCAAGCCCTCTGATTTGGATGCTGGGCCAACTGCCAGGCAGCAAAGTGACCTGCTGCAGGTCAGCCCTGGGGATCCTCAGGACAGGATGGCCAATACGGAGCAAGGGCACCACCACCACCCACTGCCATGTCTGGGGTAGACCCACCAAGACGTAATTTCTCCCTGAGCCTAGAGAAAGCCTTGGAAGCCTTCCTTGTCTAGAACACCAAATGGGCACCAGCCCTCAGTCATCTGCCCAGGAGACCTGTTACTTCTAGTTGCTACAGACAAGGCATTCTCTGAATTTTGCATCAGCGTATGAAGACCCGCTTCTGTGAGGGGAACCAAGCTACACAAGAATGACTGATGGGAACTCATCATTCAGTAAGCCCTTCCATGCATAGCACAGTGCCAGGAAGCTAGGAGTGAAGTAAAGGCCCAAATGCCCTTCCTTCAAGCTGCTCGTGATGTTCCTGGGGAGGCACGATGTAGGTGCACACCACGTGGTTGTAGGGACTGGTCACAGAGGCTCTCTGGGGAGGCCCCGCCATGGACAGATGGGCAGAAGGGGGCAGAGGGGGCTGGAGTCAGGTAATCAGAAGCAGCGAGTGCTGATAACCGAGGTTAAGGAGTCTGGGGCCTCCGGGAACATGCACTGGGGAGGTGGAGGCCATCGACGAGGGAGCACCTTAAAGGTGCCACTGTTCTGGGGCAGAAGAACTGGGTTGGGAGGAGAACCACCCACAATCCTAAAAATGGGCTCATGGTCCTCAAGGTTGGGGGTGGGCCTAGGCGACTGCCAGGGAAGGGCACCAAGGCCCAGACGGTCTGTCTCTTCTCCCGGGGGGGTGGGGGGCACGAGGCTTGCTGGAGGGCAGCTGGAGGGAAGGCAGGCCCGCGGGCCGCTGGGAGTCTCTCCTGCGCTGAGGTTGGAGAATACGGGCCCAGGTAGGAGGTATGGACACCAAATGGAAACTCACAAGTGGTTTCCAACCAGGAACAAGGTGGCATCGGGGGCTTGGGAAATGCCGTGGAGGGGAATGTGGGCTCAAAATGAACCAGGATAGATGGGAGAGAAATGGAAAAGCGAATGATGGCAGGGAGGAGCCTCAGGACCCCAGCTCAGGAAAACTGAGGATACCCCACTCTCAGCAGAGGGGGCTACACACCTGAGAGCCCCATTCCCACTGTTTCTCCCACATTAAAAACACAGTTTCCACATTCCAGCTCATTTCCTACCTCCCAGTTCTAAGACGTTTCCAGTATGACTGCTAACTTGGAGCCAAATAGCAAGTTTTCCTGGTGCGTGTGACTCACAGGAAAAAGTCTCTTGGGCTATTAAAAGAGTGGGGGGGGGGTGGTTTAAGCATTTCCGTTCAAAGCAAATTATATAGAAACTAAGCAAAGTGCATGTCATTCTGGCACTGAATACCACTTTCCCCAAATAATGAGGCAGGAAAAATGAGCTCTGTAGTTAACGTGGTACGCAGATGTTCCAGAAAAGGATTAAATGCTTCAGAACAATGCAAATGAAACCTGGCTCAAACAGGTCAATCCACTGATGAATATTTGGAAGATGGGTTTATCTGCGAAACTCACATGTGCACGAGAAACGGAGCCTCTTGGCTTCCTTGAACACACCTTATCGTGCCTGGAAGCCCCATTCCTGCTGAGGTTGGGGGGAAGGTGCCTCAACCTGACAACAAAGGTAATGCCTGACTTCCTCCAGGCAGATCCTCAGAGGACCTCCTGGGACTGTCTTTGGCGACAGGGCCACCACACCCCACAGCCAGCCTGAGTGACGGGAGCGTATTTACAAAGTATTAGTTGAGGCCAGAGAGCCCGTAAACTACCAATTTCACCCTCCCCCCGACACTGCTCCCTGCCCTCAAGCTGCCACAGCCGTGGCAGCTAATGGGGGGCACTCTTGATTGAACAGATAGAAAACTCTCACAGCAGAGGGTGGACAGGGAGGGGAGGATGCACTGCATGTCCTCAGCTAACAATAACACTGAACCTAGAGGCAGCCTCAGAATCTTTCTGAACATGGTGTCCAGGGAGCTATTACTGAACCAGCTGGAGCGGGCACAAGGGAGGAATCCTGTTGGCCGTTCTAGGAACAGGCAGCAAAGTGTCTTGGGATTCAGCAGGCCTGAGTTCAAGTCAGACCCCATCACTTGCATAATCTCTGACAAGATAGTTCATCTCCACCTTGAGTTTCTTCATCTGTAAAATGGGAATGAAACCAGCCCCGGAGTCTTATGAGATTACAAATAGAAAATGCTTATCAGAATTACTGCCCTTAGTATGCATAATTAAATGGTGTCCATTAAACTGAAATTATTATTTTTCATTGAAATTTTGAGATCTAGAATTTCTAGAATTCATAAGTTTAGAGGGTATAAGAAACTGAGCTAATTCCATGAAACCTTTGTGCATTCAAATGCTTTGCCATTTGTCTAGAACGTTCAGAATGTCATGTGCTACCGTGAAACGTAAGTGAAGATGACCTGGTCTCATTTAGATACATTTTAAACATGATGTTTTGAAGGTCAGTGTGGTTTGGTAATAATAAATTTTGCTGAATAAAAGGAGTACCTTGTGCATCATGTCTCTTACTGGACAGAACAAGTGGACAGAAGCACATGGTTATCTCAAATTGTAACACCTACATATTCTTCAGGTTTTCAAGTAATCCAGTGTCTCCAAGGTATCCCATAATCTTAAATCCCATAAAGAAAATTGCATTCTGTGCACTCTGGATGGTGCAATGAAAAATCATATCACTGATGGTCTTCCTCCAGGATGTTATGAGTAAAACACCAATATATGTGCATTTCATCAATCCGCACTAAGTTATGTTACCTGTTAAAAAATGCCAGCACAGTTTCATGCACCGGAACCGTCTGGATTTTGTGGTTCAGTTGCAAGAAAACCCATGAAAGTAGCGTTTTCAAAAGATGAAACTCATTAAAAGTGAACAACCTGGCCAAAATAAAAGAGAAGAGATTTTAGGAATAGCAACAACTCCATTTTTAAGAAAAAACAAAAAGTTAAGAGTTTAGGAATGAGGCAACACCACCCCTGAGTCTGTAGGTCACTTCAGACGGATGTTAAATGATGTTCTCAAGGTCATGGGACCCGGTGAATGGCGGAGCTGGGATGTGACCCTCAGCAGCCTGACCCCCACCGGCTGCACTGCCAAAGCAATGGGCAGCTTTAAGGAGACAGGTGTGCCCGAGATGTTTTCATCTGTTCTTTCATTTAATTCCGTACAACAATCCTGCAAAGTTGGGATATACTCCTTACTCTTATAGATACATAAATTCAGACTGACCCTACGTTTAATTAAAATTTTAATATTTCGTTCGTCGTGGTTTTTTGCATTAATTTTGATTTTAAAACATTGCACCGCAATATACTTATCTCAGCAGCTGAGGTCTTTTGGTGCCCCCCTTAAATTTCGCACCTGAGGTAAATGCCTCAATCATCACCTCCTAGTCCCAGCTGGGACTGAGGGCAAAACAACTTAGTAAGTTCGCAGGATTCTGGGGTCAGAGCTGGGCGTGGGTCAGTCCAGCCCCAGGCTGGCTATGGAGCCTCCTGCAGGCTGCTCGGTGGCTCCACAGCCCCAGCTCCCTCATCCGGAGATAGTGTTGATAGAAGATGCTAGAGGCTACGTGAGCGGCACACGGATTCCTGTCCCCGCTCTAACAAACTGCCATGAACCAAGTGGCTTAAAACAACACACATTTGTTATCTTATAGTTCTGGAGGTCGGAAGAACAAAACAGATCTCACTGGGCTAGGATCAAGGTGTGGACCGCATTTTTTCTGGAGGCTCTACGGAGAATCATTTCCTTGCTTTGTCCAGCTTCTAGAGGCTACTCACACCCCGCGGCTTGCGGCCCCTTGCTCCATCCTCAGGCCAGCAGCACAGCACCTTCCAATTTCTTTCCGGCTCTTGACTTTCTTGCCTCTGTCTTCCAGGTGCAAGGATCCTTAGGATTATTATTGGGCCCATCTGGGTGATCCAGCACACCCTCCCCAGCTCAAGGTCATCCACCTACGACCTTCTTGCCCCTTTGCCATGCAACCTAACATAGTCACAAGCTCTGGTTGGGATGTTGACATTACCGAGCTGACGGCACACACACGGGTCATTAGCACAGTGCCTGGGACGGAGGAGCGCGCTAGCGAACGGCAGGTCTGCCTCCTAAGTGGCAGGGCTGGGTCCTGGCTGCAGAGCCCACCCTCCACCCGCAGTGGCATGAGACTTATTATCTAGAAACAAGTGATGAGAAAGAGCAAGTGTCACCCCCACAACGTCAACTCTGTAAAGTAAGGAAGTCTCCCAAAGAGCTTCTCTAAAGCCTCCAACAACTTGACTATCTAAGAGGTCATTTCAACATGTCTTAAACCCCTGGATGTGTCCCATCTTGAGCACAGGGACGGCATGCTCGCTTCCAAACCTCTCATAGCTGCTGCACCCACCACTTTGAGTTGGTCTTGGTGGGTGGGACCCAAGCTAAGTGGTGACTCTAAAGGGAAGTGGAAATGTCACCCACACACCTTTCACACTATTTCTGGCCACAGGAGAATGTCCCTTTGCTCTTATTTGTTTTTAGGCCACCTACAGATGCATGGGCTTTGACGCTGGCTAGACAGGACCAAATTTGTCACTGTCTGGGCCATGATGGTGAGAATGACAGGGGAGGTCACAGAGCCACTTAGGATATGATGTGCCCACATAGAACTCCACCAGTACACCAACCAGCTCTGGCTGGGGAGCGACGTGACTCCTGGTGCAAAATCCAAGCCCCAGGTCCCCAGTCCCTGAGGAGCAGGCAGCAACATGGGAGGAGTCACTGGGGGCTCCATGAATCAGGGTCCTGGTTTTACTTTTATTATGATGGGTAACTGTTCAAATAAAGCCCCCTGTCTTTAAAGATTTATTTATTTGAGAGAAAGAGAGAGAGCGTGTGCATGCATAGTGGGGGAAGGGCAGAGGGAGAGGAAGAGAGAATCTTAAGCCAACTCCGCACTGAGCGTGGAGTCTGACATGGGGCTCGATCTCAGGACCCTGAGATCACGACCTGAGCCGAAAACAAGAGTTGGATGCTTAACCGACTGCGCCACCGTAGGCGCCCCAAGCTCTCTGTCCTTAGGCTAAGTACCAGTACCCTAAAGTACTGGTTCCTGTTGAGGACATTCAAACATATTTTCATTTACTTAGGAGCTCTGATGGCCTCACAGAACCCACAGAGATCCTAAACTTCCCTCCGACACAAGTGAACATCTGGACTGTTCTATCTGTGTTTACTGGTGCTCACTAGTAGCCATTGGGAGGTAACTGGTATTTGTTCTTTGAGAGAAAAATGTTCAAAAAAAGAGAGAGAGAAATGTTAATAAGACACTTTTATTTTTTTAGAAAATTATATGTAATAAAGGCCCCCATTTGAGTACAGACTACAGAGAAAGCAGTATCAGTGCAAACAAGAAAGCATGAACAGGGATGCCTACGGCAGTACTGATGGCCCACAACAGAACATGAAGCAAAATAAAACAAAAGGCTATTAGGAAGGGAATGAAAAATTGCTATCTATTCATTCACTGGAACCCTGTACAACATCAAATTTAAAATGCTAACTAGATATGTAAGTATCAACATGGAGAGAACACATCACATTATGTCAGTATGTAAGCAAGCTGCGGAACGTCGCCGTCGCTCTGAGAGCACTGATTTGAAGTTTAAGCTTTTACGAAATGATATTACACATTATTTATGGACATGCATATATGTAGTAAGACTATAACCATATGGATGGGCTCATGCAGGCCCACGACAATGGTCTGATTGTCTTTGGGGAGGGAGGCCAAGAGGATGCTGGGGAGGGAGCATGGTTGACTTTGGCTTTATTGGTAATGTTTTCTTTCTTATGACAAAATGTCATTGTTCATTTAGGGAGGTGGGTCCAATTGTGTTTTCTATTCTCCTCCTACCTTTAAAATTTTTTTACAATAAAAACTAACCATCAATATCCTTATTGATCTTGATTATCAATAGGGAAAAACGAGTCCTCATGCAGAGCACAGCAGTGGGCTGAGCCGGTAAACACCCGGGGCTTTGAGGTCACTCAGACCTGTGTCCAAATCCCAACTCTCATGCTGCATGCAGGGAATCTGAGCCGATTCTTTCATTTCCCAAAACCTCCATTCCACAGGTGAAAATGCAGGTAACAGTACCTACCTCACTGGGTGGCTGTAGGAGTTAGGCTGATAACCCGCTCAAAGTGCCCTGTATACCACAAGGGCTCAATAGTTGGTAGATAGCGTTGCCATTAGCCAGAGAAACATCAGCTTGAGGAACTATTATGTTTGAGAGCCATGCCCCACGGTGCTCCAGATGTGGGACAGGCTTGCCATGGAGGACAGGGGAGGCTTCTCCTGGGAATTCCTGAGCCCTCAAGCCAGATGGTGTCATGGGCAGGAAGCCAGGGAGAAGTGGGCAGAGCCTGGGTTGTAGGACAGTTTTCTGTGCAGATAGGAACTGGACAGCTGACGGAGTTTTCCACTTCTCCTAAGTCTACCAGGAACTTGGCTTCCAGAAAAGCAGAACTTGGAATGAAGCTTTCATAGTATTAGAGTTCACGGACCAGGGTAACCTAGTGGTGACCTCTAAAGAGAAACTTAACCGGCAACCCAAGGCCCAGGCAAAGAAATAAAAACCCAGAGGCCCCGGAGGTCAGGAAAACTGTGTGTATTTTATGCGACGCTGTTTACGAAACCCAAAGGAAGATGAGGTCAAAGGGGCTTCAGAAAGGGAAGATGAACGGTGCAGAAGTTGAAGCATCTGATGAGATGGAACAACGTCCATCTCATCAGATGAAGCTTAGAGACCCAAACACCATGACCACAAGCCAGGGGACGGGCCACTGTCTACACTAAGTGGGCCCGGGAGATAGGCCATCCCTGACCCCTCATGGGCTGGCATTGCCACACAGCCGCTCTGGGGCCATGTGACTTGCCAGGACAACCCAGTCCTAGCAGAGTTCTGGTGCTGGGCAGCATGGCCTCTGGAGCAAATGAAGAGATGGGGCAGCGTGGAGGGTGGGAGACTGGACTTTGGAGCCTGAACCCTGGGCTTGAGCCCAGCCCTGCTTTTTATTATCCCTCTTATCTTAGGGACAATAACTGTACCTATCACACAGGACTATGGGGGTTTGGAAGGGACAGTGCACAGAGCACGGCACATACCCCAAAGTGCTCGATAAACATGAACTCATCCAAAGGTTTGTTCTTAATCAGCTGCAGTCCAAGGTACCAGATCCACCAGCCGATGAGCGTGCCCAGGTGAGGAGCCCGAGCCTGGGTAAATGTCTCACAACCCTACCAGGCACCGGGTGTGGCCGGGCCCCATCTTCCAGCACCCACCTCCCTCCAGCTTCAAAGCAGGTGGCCGCCGGACATCACCAGGGCGGCCGAGGAGAATCTGCCTCGGGGAACATGAACTTGAGGTCTGGGCGCAGTCGGCCCGGTGTCTCCAAGGCACACAAGCTGATGACGTGCTCGAGGCCACGCAGGGCTCTTCCCTCCTACCGCTGGGACGGCTCTGGACTGCTGGGACTGCTGTAGACAGCTCCTGGGGAGGGGCCGGAGGAGCAGGACCCCGTTCCCACATCAGTCATGTCTCCTCAAGCTTGTGCGTCTAGACGTTTGACGTGGAATGTACTTGACCTCTTTCCCTGGCTCGTGTACGTTCTGTGAGGCCCATTCCATCACCGGGGTTCTGGCTGTGGTCAGAAAATTTTTCCCTTTTCTTGGTTAAATGCTACCAGGGTGCAGCAGCTCAGTGTTTCCAAGGGAGGGGCAGTTAGGAAAAGTCTAAGGGGTGCCATGTTTATCTTTTCTTCAACGGTTGTGTAACCTTTGCTCTGCTGGAGGGTGGGGGGGGCACATGTGGGGAAAAGCAGCAGGGAGTGGGGAAGAATGACACCAGGAGCCCACCCAGGGCCCCTCGGGGTGCTCCCGGGCTGGGGTTCCCGAGGTCCACCTGATAATACGGTCTCCCTTAACACCAGAACTCTGTTCTAGCAACTTCCTTTCTCTTCAAGTGTGAGGGCATCGCAAGCCACTCAGTAAATTCAAACCAACAGTGGAATGAATCTGTCCAGGTCTAATTTCCGAAATCAGAACGCCTTCCATCCCATAAGCATGAGTAAACATGTCATCTCTAACATACAGCTAAAATGTTTAGAATTTACTTCTCGCTTTTGAAATTCACCCTGAGGGGATACAATCTTGGTAATTTGGCAGTGGGTATCAAGAGCCTTTTAAAGAGGCCCAAAGAGGGGCGCCTGGGTGGCTCAGTCGTTAAGCACCTGCCTTCGGCTCAGGTCATGATCCCAGGGTTCTGGGATCGAGCCCCGCATCGGGCTCCCTGCTCCATGGGAAGCCTGCTTCTCCCTCTCCCTCTCCCCCTGCTTGTGTTCCCTCTCTCGCTGTGTCTCTCTCTGTCAAATAAATAAAATCTTTTAAAAAAATAAAGAAGCCCAAAGAGTCCTGACAAGTAAATGCCATCTGTCACCCTAAAGCAGACCCTTCATTGGATGAAAGAATGTCATAAAGGAGAGTACCGGGCCCATGATGTTAAGCGTTAACATCAGTGCTGCATTGCCTACAGTTGATAACTGCATTGTGACCACATTAAAAAGTTCTTTTTCTCAGCAAATAAACACTGAAGCATTTAGGAGAAAGGATACCTGATGTATGCACCTTGCCCCCAGAGGCTTCAGAAACAAGATGTGCGTACGTAGCCACACACCGATGCAGATGATCGAGCAAACAGCAGAGATTGAACAAAACAGGGTAAAGCGCATATAAATACTCTTTGTACCATTCCTTTAATTTTTATTTAAGTTTGAAATTATTTTCAAATAGACTATTTTTAAAAATACTTTTCACTTGTGACAAAAACAAAGTCCTTTTGACTTTGTAATGGCACTTCTAGAAATTTAATGTGGGAAAATAATCTGAGATAAAGACATGTTTGTTGAAGGATGTCACCAAGGTGCTATATTTATATTGGTAAAACACTAGAAATAACCTAAAAGTTCAGGCACCTGGGGCCATTTCCATGAATTACTCGAATGACCAGAGGAGCCAGCCAGGAGCCAGGCATTTCAGGCAGGAGGGAGAGCATACCCGTGGGTGGCAGGTGCTCAGCAGGGCTGGAATCTAACGTAGCCCCATGGATGCCTCGTGGCTGGTGAGATGGAGGGGCAGATGAGCACACCAAAGGCCCTTTGGCTACAGACGCTCTTGGTGGGGGTCAAGAGCAGACACAAGACCCTGAGTTAGGGGTCCCTGCAGTGGTCCAGACAACAGCTGATGGAGGTCTGGCCTCTGGCTGGTGCCCAGGAAGAGAAGCCCATAAAGATGGGCTGGGTCTGGAAGTGTTACTGATGCACTAGGGGGTGAGTGCCAAGTGGTGCGTGGAAGGACTCCCAAGGTTCTAGCTCGAGCAGCTGGTGGAGGAACACAGGGTGGGGCCCCAAGGGTTGGGTGTCAGCTTGAGTTGTCAGGTCAAACAGGTGTCTGGGTCAGAGCTGTTCAGGAGAGGAGTCAGCGCTAAAGCTAAGAACTGATTTAGGATGAGAGGTTTTATTTTCTGTTTTCTGACTTTCTCTGTTTCCCATTTTCCACAGTGAATGTATATTAATGTTGTCAGGATGTTTTTTTAATTACATGGGCAATTACTGAATTATTTACCATACGGGTAACAAGACAGCAGGCACCCAGAGGGTTTCCTACCCCAGTGAAGGAGTGTGAAGGGAGTCCATCCCCATCCCCACCCCTGCTACTCCACGTTTTGGCCCCCACCTGGGGCTGGCTGTCCAGGATGGTGGCGAGTTTGGGATGGAGCAGGTGCTGAACCCTGGGCCCGGCCATCAGAGGCATGGGTGTGCCCCACTGGAGCACCTCCCTCCCAGGACCAGCCCTGATGCCCCAGGCCCACTCCAGGCTCAACTCCTGGTCCCACACACAGCACCCCTGGGGACCAGCTCTGACCTGGGGGACCGCAGCACTTTGTGGAGCAGCTCCTGTGGGATTTTCCGGAGGTGGATCTGTGTCCCCACCAGAGGGACCAAGTTCATTTCCAGCCACTTCTCGCAGGCAGTGGTGAGCGGCTCTTCCTTGTACTGAGAAGGAAAAGAAAAGCCAATGGATAAAAAAGATCCCTGACCTCTCGGCGCCCTCTGCTGGCCTGTGGCGATTCTACAAGCGGGCTCCCAGGCGTGTCCTGCCGCAGACGCGCTCAAACCTTTTCTTCCAAATACATAAACTGCAGCAGATAACGTTTTTGGAGTGTTTGCTACGCTCCCGGCCCTGCACTAGGTTGATTTAAGTTAATCCTCACCACGATCCTATGTGGTCGTTTCCTTATTATCCCTATTTTACTGATGGAGAAACTGAGGCCCCAAGATTGTTGCTTTTGCCAATTGTCATAGAAGTAGCAAATGGCAGCGCTGGGAGCAAACCCCGGGGGTCTGACCACAGGGTTGCACACTGAAATCACTGGGCTAAAGTCAGTCACTGACCATGGAAAGGCCTGCAGGGTGTACCCCACAGGGAGGCTGGTAGGGGCACGTACCCTAACATCAAAGTCCAAAGAAAATGAGAAAGTTCTCCCAGGGCCAGGGACCTCGACAGGATCTTAGTACACCTTACAGGTCCTCGGGGTGACAGTCCTTCCAAAGCCAAAGAGTGGCCGAGAAATGCTGACCGGAATGCAGAGATGCTGCCCAAAGAGTGACATTCTAGTTCCTGACAGAGTGAAGGTGAGGGGCACTGCATTGTCTTTGACAAAAGAGGCAGTGAGTACCTTCTTAGAGGCCATCGCAAGGGCACTGTAATGTGCCAACTGTGTGCGAACTGAACGTGACGGTCAGATGTGTCTGTTTCCAGGTCAATGGTAGCCTCACAGAGGAAGGCTGGGATCAGATGGCCTGGGTTTCGAGCCCAGCACCGCCACTCAGAAGCTGTCACCCTGCTCAGGTTGCTCCCCTCCTTGGGGCTCAGTGTTCTCCTCTGATAATGCAACCCTTAAGATGATATCATTTATTGCCAATACTGACACAGTGACTGGCCTGGTCAGGGGGACACACACAATTTCACCTGACTCCAACAAGAATGTCCTGGAAGATTGTTACTTTGGTGAGAAATGCTGTGCTTTTATTTGCCCCCCTAATTTTAAGGCTTTTTTCCCTCAATTTTTAAAAAAATATTTTGGTTTTAAAATGAAATGATTTTTAAAATTGTTTCCTTGGCAAAATAAAATATTGGTACCCGTAAGTGGGTGCTTTCAGATAGATTTTTTTTTGGAGCTGGGCCTGGTGGGTAAAATCCCAGAGCCTGAGGTGCTCCTGAAGGTCCCCAGGTGCGATGCGCTCTATCCAGGTTACCCTCACCTTGCAGCCGGCCAGGTAGAAGTCCTTGATGGTGCTTGGCATGAGTCCGTTCATCATCATGACCACACACCTGCAGAGAGAGAAGTGCGGTTCCTGGAGGGCCCCAGGCTGCTTTCAGTGAAGCTGGCAACCCCAGAGGTTTGTGTCAGCTCCAGGATGGTGACAGGGGTGGGAAATGAGGTGCAAAAGGGGGTGTGTGGAAGGTGCTGGTCCTGCTGCCCGCCAGGTAGCATGTTCTTCATGTGCTGGCTTTTGCCAGTGAGACACTCAAGCAGAATTAGCTGGGTTTGGAGTTGGGGTACAGAAATTGGTGCTCCAGGAAGCTGACATGCTCACGTGTGCTCCCCCTTTCTCACTGTCAGGCTCATTGGCCAGGCTGGACTGGAATGGTCAGGCTTCCCTAGATCAGGGGGCACAAGGCAAGCCTAAAGCACACGCATGCATACACACACGCAGCAAGCATGACCCCAGCTGTGCCGATGCAGTTATGGGATGCACGAAACCCAGGGGAACGGTACCAGCTGGAACCTGCACGCACACCACACCCCCCAAAGATGGGTGGCCTCGGCGGTGTGGCATCCAGACCTAAGCAGCCATCGGGGTGATTTTGCACCTTGCTGGGAGCTCAGGCAAGATGACCTTTGAGGTCTCGTCCAGCACCTGGATTTTGATGCTATCAGAGTGACCCAGAGCATTTCTGTTCCACTATACACACATACTCACACACACCTATGAGTCCCCCCAACCACACACACACACACACACACACTCACTGGGGCTTGTGCTGCCACACCCCTGCCAACTGTACCATCAGCCCCTCAAAGGCAGGTACAAGTCAGCCCAGCTGTGTGCCAGGCCCACCTGGATCTGACCTGTAATACCCGCCACAGCTATCTGGAGAATCGAGTGCAAGGCCCATCTGCCCGAGGCAGGCCAAGGTTTGCTCATCCATGCAATGACGGCTCATTATGTCCAAAGCCCTTGCTACTCTGACCTTTAAAACAAGTCATGGGGTGGAGGAAGGAAAATGAAGGACCTGTCATTCTTGGCTCAGCCACAGATCGCCCAGGGCTAGGGCTCCAAGAGTAAGCTGGGGCTTCAAATCTGGCCCGAGGTAAGGGAGCTGGGACTGACAGACAGAGGCTGCAGACCCCGCTCCAGGAGGGAGGCTCACCTTCTAGCTTTTGGGTCAGAGATCTCAGAGCACCAGGAAATAGCTGCCCAGGAATGTCCTGAGCAAGGAAGCTGTGATTTAGTCATTATTTTTACTGCTACGCTGAGCTGCAGATGGGTGGTGCATGCAATGCAACAGGATGTGGCAAATCTCAGCAAAAGCCAGACCTTCAGCCCCAGTGTAGTTAGCCCCAGACCCCTACATGACCTGGCTCTGCCTGCACCTGCTGGTCTCCCACCTCTCACAGTCACCCGCCCTGCAGAGTCAGGCCAAGCCGACATGCTGGGACACCTTTTAAAGACTCTGGTCCCCTCAGTTGTCACGTCTAGGCCTCTGAGAGGCTGCATCCCTCAGTTGCCATGGCATCTGCATCCCCGATAAGGCTTCTTGATACTCCTGATCAAGTGTCTGGCCTGAGTCATTTCAGGTACCCCAAGAATGAGATATTGGCTCAAAACCATCTTCGGGGTTGAACCTGGCTGTGTGGTTTCTACAGAAAGGGAGCTGAAACCGGCATGAGCCTCAGGAGTGATCCTGCCCCACCCTTTCCAGAGAAGCTGATGTCCTCTTTTGACTTGGTTCATTCATTCATTCATTCATTTCCTCAAATAAAGACCCTGAGGCAGAGTGGAGCAAGCCACAGGCGGACCATCGCTGCCTGGAGTCCCCTCTCTGTGTGGAATCACATCAGGTACTAGGAGATCAAAGAGCTGGAAGGTGCCACCTCGGGGTTCGGGACGTGAGTGCAGTAGGCACACATCCCTGGAGAAGCCCGAGGGAAGGGACAAAATAGTCTGGAAAAAATGAATCCCATCAATGATTTTCCATTTGGTTCACTTACCCTTTCCTAAATGTTACTGGAATGGAGCAGTATTATAGGATACAGAAAAGGGGAGTTCTAAGAACTGTTCTGGTTAATCACAGGGACCTGTTTACTTGAAATTAATTATACATAACGCAAAATGTTCCACTTGGGATCCCCATCCTTCGTTCCACTTTACTCATTTCCTGTGCGCTGGAGACCGTAGGGCAGGAAGCACTAGAGAGCACGGACCTGTCCCTCCAGTCCTCACTGCTCCCGGTGCCCTGGAGGCACCCGAGGCATCATTCTTAAAGGAGCAGGTAAGTGATTGAAGGTGTGATGGAATAAACTGGCAGGTGACTGGCCCCCAGCAAACCTGGCCTCACCAAATGCCCCTAAAGGGAGGGGAACAGGAAGGCTCCGACCCATGAACAAGCAGGTGACACCACTACCTCACCTGAGCAAAGCAGAAACAGGTGACACCACTACCTCACCTGAGCAAAGCAGAAACAGGTGACACCACTACCTCACCTGAGCAAAGCAGAAACAGGTGACACCACTACCTCACCTGAGCAAAGCAGAAACAGGTGACACCACTACCTCACCTGAGCAAACCAGAAACAGGTGACACCACTACCGCACCTGAGCAAAGCAGAAACAGGTGACACCACTACCTCACCTGAGCAAAGCAGAAACAGACAGTGTTAGGGGTCCAGGTTCTGGGGCCCCTCGACTTCTTGCAAGTTCTGGCTGATCTCCTGGGGCCTTGAGCAAGTTACCCACCTCACGAGGCCTCCGTTTTATTGTCTGTGAAGTGGACATAGTTATGTACCACCTCCTAGGGCTGCAGGGAGGCTGAATGAAGTCACCCTTGCCAAGAGCGGAGGACAGTGTCTGGCTACAGCAGATGCTCCATCTCAGAGCACATCCCCTCACCCCCAACAAAGTCCTGTGAAGTAGGGCAAATTGTAATGAACCCCATTTCACAGCTGAGACCACTGAGGCACATAAGAACAAGGAACAGCTTACCACAGGGCAGACCACAACCCCTGCTGCTCACAACCTAGGTTGCTTTTGGTTCTGCAGAAAGTCTAATGAGTGGGAGATTTGGGGCGCCTGGGTGACTCAGTCGGTTGAGCGTCCAACTCTTGATTTCAGCTCTGGTCATGGTCTCGGGGTTGTGGCGTCGAGCCCTGAGTCAGGCTCCGTGCTCAGCACAGCATCTGCTTGGGATTCTCTCTCCCTCTCCCCGTGCTCGCCCCCAAACAATCAAACCTTAAAAAAAACAAAAACAAAAACAAAAAACAGAAAAAACTGGGAGCCTCTGAATCTCAACCCCCAGAACTGCATTTCACCCTCACACCTTCAGCACCCACACGTTCTCTCAGTGCCCATGGACCCAGGCAACCGTTGGCAGGTTGAGCAAGCTTTCACATTCAATGCCAATCCACTGTTCTGGCTCCTGGTTCCCCCCGTCTCGGCCCCCACCCCTCGACAGGCAGCCCAGGTGGGCCAGTGGGTCTGAACACCCAGGAGAAAGGCTGCGCCCCCAAATGGGCAGCCAGATTGGTGGGCAATTTGGGCTTGGATTGTGGCATTTGTCTCTCTTCTGGAAGATCTATGATGACCGTGTGTAACATTTGTAAGAATAAAAATATTATATACAAAGAAAAACAAGCGGGAGAAGTAAATCCGGACAGTGAACAGTCAGCTTGTCTTCAAAGGGCCAGCTGAGGTGTGTGCCCCCGAAATGAGAGGCTTGTCAGTTACAAGTGAACACGGGCGAAACTGACAAGCAAGCCCGGTTTGCGCACCCCTGGGAGGTCACCCCGCACACCCGTAGAGTATCTCACAGGCAGAGAACCCATTTGCATCGCATGTCGTGAGTCAGGACTGGTTGGCTGGAAGGAGCATGTTGCTGGGGCGGTGGCTCAGTTGTGAGCTCACCACGTGGGAATTAGTGCCTCAGTTCCTCTGCGGACTCACAGCTGTGCTCTGTGCAGAGAAACCCACAGAAGAGGAACGTTCTACGAACGGGCCAGGACGACCCCCTTCTACCTTGCCCAGAGCTGGCCCGGGCCCGCACCTTGCCATGCTTCTTACCTTTGAAACAGCCTGTTGAGCTGGAGAATGTGTGCGGAAGCCAGCACTCCCAGCACGTCATCCATGTTTATCTCCACCTCGCTCAGGTAGAGGTTCTTCAGGGCTGTGGCGAAGGCTGGGGGAGCCGCAGCCGAGAGAGAAAGCTGTCAGCTTGGAGCTCTGCACCCTGCCTCCCTTACTGGTGGGTGCCCTCCCTGCTGGATGCTCAAGTGTCCCCAGCTAGGTAGGCAAAGGTGCCCTTAGGGGACCTGAGCGCAGATCCAGCCTGGCTTCCACCCTCCCCAAAGGAGTTGAGGAGGGAGCCCAAGAAAATCCAGCTTCTGCTGAAAGAATGCTGCTCTAAGCCCATCCTGGAGTCTGTGCCTCGGGGGCCCTCCGTGAACCTGGGCTCCGCGTGCTGCCCAAATATGTACAGAATGCTGTGTGCGTGGGGGTGTGCTTTCTCCTCTGGAGAGGACGTTTAGCTTACAGCAGATTTTCCTCAGAGCCTCCAAAAAGGTTAAGAGGTCTTCAAAAAGGCTAAGGACTCCTGGCAAGAGCCAGGATGATGTCATGTCAAAGAACTGAGCTCCTGTGACTGGGAGCAGAGGGACTGGCCTTACTCTAAGTTAGTCTACCTGATCCCAATCAGCACTGCACCCGGGGCCTGGTGCTCTCTGAGGACAACCGGCCTGCCCAGGGCTTCCGTGGATGGTGTCCTGACCTGCAGATCCCCAGACCATGACGGCATGCGGCTGCAACACGTGCCCCATTAAGACAGAAGTCTGTCTCTGTTTCCGGGTGGCCAGCCTGGGGCAGGAGAGGGTGAGCCCAGCGAGGGAGGGGCGTGTCCGGTGCTGCCCCGGGAGGGCGGGCCACAGGGCTTCCCTGTCATCGGGTCTGTCTGACCCAGTACCTGCTACTTTCTTCCTCCTCGGCATCCTCCACGCCTCTTTCCAGGGGATGAACCCCTCTCTCTAGCACCTTCTCTGCTCCGCTCAGCTATTTCTAATAAGGAAGGACTAAACACCGTGTGCCACTTGTTTGTTTTTAAATCTGGGAGGGCTGTTGGTTCAATGGCATTCTCGGCATAAGAAGACAGGTGTACGTTACCAACTTTAGTGATCAGGGGGTCATTGATCTTCAAGGAAATGATCATCTTCTTTATGGGGCGTCTTTCCTTGACGTTCCCACACAACTGAGCTGGTAAAGGAAACAGATGGGTACATCAGGACCCGATTGTTGCAGTGAATTGTGTAGGATACAGTGCGAGGTCCCCTGGCCCGTTGTACAAACTTGACCTTGGCATTCACCGCTCCATGTTTTGTTTCTGTTTGCTTGTTTAGGGGATGCATTTTTGAAATGATTCTTTAGAAATAGCTGAAGACTCCTAAGAAGTTGCAAAGAACAGTTCAGAGCTCTCATGCCCTCCTCGGCCACCTTCCCTACTCATTCAGCCACTACAGCTGCCAAAACTGGGAAATGGATGCTCTCAGGGCATGAGATATTTTTTACTGGCCCCTGCCCCGCTCCCTCTCTCCCCCCACCTCCTTCTTCTCTCTCTTTAGGCCATGAGCAGTTTGAGGGCAAGGGGTGGGTTTCTGTTATCTCTGGATCCCCAGCCCCCAGCCCAGACCTGGCATAAGATGGGACAACAGTGACCACCTAAAGGGTGAGCATGGGATGGAGGCAGCCGCCTAGCGGCTGTTGAAACTTTGCCCCACAGACGTCCAAGGCCCCCCGCCCCTAAGGGCTCCCGGCAGGCGGGAAGGGGCAGCCTGATTCACCACCCACCTCCCCCATCCACTCACACTTATTCTAAAATGTGAGTTACAACACCTACGGCTCTCAGGTCTCCATTAGCATCCCAAGCCCTTGGCAACAAAGCCAAAGCCCCCCCCCCCGACCAGTGGCCCTAAGACCACTAGTCTCTGGCTCACTGGACCCCAAAACTGCCTCCTTGTGGCTTATTCCATAGAAGAGCTACGGGGCTCCATCCCTCCCCTGTCAGAGATCCTGACTCCGTATGTAAGGCAGCACCCCACCCCTACCTTCCCCCAAAGTGGCTTTATTTTTCCTCCCAGACCCACTATTACCACCACCTGTTACCACATCTTGTGTCTGTTGGGCGGGCACACTGGATGGTTTCCTCACCACTCCCTCCCCAGGCCCCGACACGGTCTTGCACACACTGGTCCGCAGTCAATGTTGGCTGAATTAACAGAATGAGGGGATTCTGTCAGCAGAATCCCAAGCCTACTGAGCTCAAGGTTCTAGGTAATGAAAAATGACACGAGTCAGGATGCAAAAAAGGATGTCACACTGCAAACCACAAAGACCACAGAGAAAAGGGGGAGAACAAAGATCCGTTCTCCTCCAGCAAGCAGGGCTGTTGAGCCTTTCCTCACCATGCTCACGGCACCTGGTCCGTTCACCCTCTCATTTGGCAAATATTTATTGAGCACCTGCTGAGTGTCAGGCCCTGTTCTCTGCTCTGACTCCTTTTCCTCCAGGATTTCAGGACTTCCTCCTGCCTGCATGAAGCACTCTGTCGCTCACCTGCGCTAGGGGCACAGAAAAGGCATTCTGGAGGTGGTAGTTTCTATCATGATGGGTCATGCTATTCCTTGTGCTTTATCATCATTTTGGGTTGGCTTGTCCATACCCCAACTCCCTGACACCGAGTCCTCGCACAGTGCCTAGGGTAAGTTAAGCGCTCAACATTTGTTGAGGGAAGAAATGAATATGATCTGCTAGGTCAGAGTCAGTGGGAGACAGAACTTCAACATTGCCTCTGTTTTACTGAAAACCTCAAAATCGAACAGGAAAGTAGTAATTCAGTCATGTGCTTCTGAGGTACTCTGAAACCAAGTGGTTCCTTTTTAGTAAAAGAGTACCATATCCTTTTGGGAGTTCTTCCTAGAGAATAAATGGGTCCTGCTGAAGTACATCTCAGCCTGGACTCTTGGAAGAAGGAAAATGAGCAGCTGGGAGAGCCGTGCGTGGCCAGGACAGGGACACTCGCGGGGGGCTGCCTCTGCACAGCGCCTACCACTCCAGGACGGCAGTGCACAAAGCAGTAGTCGCGAGACCGTCCAAACTATCATTGTGAGGCACATCCTGCTTCGGCAGGAGCATGAAGGCTGGTGGCCGTGTCCACTGAACATCATGGGCACATGATCCCTAGGACCGGGCGCAGACCCTGAAAGTTGTGACAGTCTGGGCCATGGTGGGGGGGGGGGCTCTCATCTCTGCACCTACCTGGATGCCCCCCAGGCAGGCCCAGCCTCCAGCAGGGGGCTTGGAGCAGAGTGGCTGTCTTAGCCGGGCCCAATTTTTTCAGTGAGACCCTTCTAGAATGTCAAAGACCAAAGTATTAACAGTAACTCCACTTTCTCTTTCCAAATTCTCTTGCTTTTCAGTGCATTCATGTCTGGATCTCCATGGTCTTTCCTTGGGTGCCTGGGGAGTGTTCTGACCTAGGCGCGTGGGACACAGAAGGAGATGCTCAGTCCCACTCTCAAAGACACTGGGACAAGCGCTTGGAAAGAGCAAAGAAGATTGTCACGTGAGCGTGAGGGTCGTCCCAGTGCTGGGGAATGCCGCAGCCTGCTCCCAGCTCCCAGCTCAGCAGCTCCGTGGGGAAGGGCTGAGTCAGAAGACTTGTGGCTGGGCTGAATCCGGCTGGCAGCCAGGCCTTCTCTCCAGGCTCAGGGTGGGGCAGCAGCTGGGGGGCTGGCCAGCCTGTCTGGCTCTGGAATAACAGAGCTTTGCTGCCACATCCTGGAAATGGAGTCCCATCCCGACTGCCCAGCTGGTTGGCTTTGGAGACCTTGAATTTTCCATGGCACCTGCTTAGGAGTCATCTTGAAATGATGCCAATCTATATTACCCAAGGAAGGCAGTCAGTCTGGAGAGGAACTTAAGGAACAGAGAGCGGAGCCTGGGGATTACTCGGGTTGAAAAAGGAGAAAAAGAAAGAAAGAAGTGGCCTGAATAGTTTATGGAATGACATGAAGTTAAGAAAAGAGAAAGCAAAGGAAACATAACATCGACGTACACGTGAAAACTCTAACCAGCCAGATGTCAGAACCATGCCTTCCTTCCAGAAAGCCCATCAAAAGACTCAACACAACCGTTGGCTCTTCTCAAAGAAGTAGGTAGAGTCTCCATTTCAGCTGGCTGGGCAGGATTGGGTTGTTATGAGAATAATAAATGACATTTCCTGAGTGCCCAGTATGTGCCAGGCGTTGTTCTAGAACCTCACAGCTATTTACTTTCTCTAGGCTTCAAAGCAACATAGTGAGAACAATTATTCCCATGTTATAGCTGCAGACCGAGGTTAATGTGATGAGGTCACACCATGGGCCTTGCTCTTATCTGCCAGAGTGACCTTGGTCTCCAAACAGATGACCAAATGCCAAGCTGGGGACCCTCAAACCAGAGGGCATTTGGGGCTCTATGCTGGGTGCCAGTAAGAAAATACCTCGCAGGAGCCTCTCCAGTTCCTTTGTGGGGCTTGTGGTGCCCTGGGCCAGTGCCATCAGGTAGAGCTTCGCCAAGGTCTCGGACTGGAAAAGCTGGGGCTGGTGGAGTTCCCATTTGAAGCCAAGACATGTGAGAATCACGTCTAAGGAGAGAATGCCATGATGAGTAGGCGGTTTCATGGCGCCCCTTCCAAGAGACGTGTCAACTCTTCCCACCTTCCATTCTGGCGCAGTCACAGAGCAGATGGGTGGGGGTGGGGGTGGGGGCTTCGCTGGGCTGTTCCAGGAACAAAACAATGAAGACTCAGGGCACTAAGTGGCTCCCAGGGGATACAATGAGCAGCCTCACAAGGTAACAAAGAAAGAGATAAGTATCTAAGAGCAGCTGACCCATAGCTGTAGGACTTCAGAGGCACATGAGCTGTCCTCCAGTTGGGGAATTAGAAAGGCTTCATGGGGAAGGGACACTGGCTGGGACACTCTTGGGGGCCTCACTGTGCCTTCCCATTACAGCATTTCTCATCCTTGGCACCGTTTGTATTGGGGGCCACATAATTCTCTGTCGTGGGGGGCTGTCCTGTGCCTTGTAGGCTACTTAGCAACATCCCTGGCTTCTACCCACCGGATGCCAGTAGCACCTTCCCCACTAAGTTGTGACGACCCCAAATGTCTCTGAGCATCGCCAGGTCTCCCCGGGGAAGGGATCGCGCTAGCCAGTCCCCTGTTGAAGCTATTGGGCATTGGTGCTTAGTTATCGGCCACCTGAAAGGTGACAGCAAAGTGCAGCTCAAAGGCCCATCACCACGAAGCGGAGTCCTTGTGAGTCTCACTTTCCTCGAGGGAGTGGTGATCCCCAGAAAACCCAGCTCACAGGTGTGAAACAGGATTACAAAGTAAAGGAGCCTTCTTGCAAACTGTAAGGGGCTTTACGCAAGGGGCTTTATCTCATCCTTGGATGGCATAGATGATTAAAAAGAGAGAGCCTTTGACAGGAGGGCAGACGGAAGATCCAAGGATACCTGGCCAGGTGAGGCGGGAGAGGCTGTGGGCAGGGGGCCTCTGCAGGCTGGACTCCTGTCAGCGCAGAGCTGGGGGAGAGGGTGGTGCTCGGCCATTCCCCCAAACCCTTAACCTCAGTGCTGGGTAGGACGTTAAGAGCCAGGAGCCACATCGACTTGTTAATGGCCTTGCCATTATTTTGACTGAGTGAGCTCGGGCACCTATTTCCTCTCCTGTTAGTAACACTGTGTTTCACCAACCGTATGATGCTGTTTCATGCTGGGTTCAGAATGCGGGCTCACATCTCAAATCTCGGGGCACCTCTGGTTGTGCTGGGCTAGAAAGAATCCCTCCCATTAGGGTGATCTTAGGCAGGAGCAGACTTGTGGAGAAAGCGTGTCCCCTCCCCAGACACCCACGTCTGCTTTCACACTGACACATGCATGGGAGGCATCACACCCAATCCCAGAAGTCTTCTCCCTGAGCCACAAGATGGCCTCAGACTACTTCGCAGGGCCTCCAGTCAACCAGAACCCACAGGCAAGAAGAAATCAATTAGCCCCTGCTGGGGAAGGAGACTGGCTCTGACCTGAGGCAGCTTATCTTAAAAAAAAAAAATCTCCTTTAAGGGGGCGCCCGGGCGGCTCAGTCAGTTGAGCAGCCGACTCTTGATTTCGGCTCAGGGAATGATCCCAGGGTCGTGAGATCAAGCCCTGCATTGGGCTCTGCGTTCAGCAGGAAGCTTGAGGATTCTCTCCCTCTACCCCTTCCCTCTCCCTCTCTAAAATAAATAAATAAATCTTAAAAGAAAAAAAAAAATCTCCTTTAAGGAGCTGGCCTGTCCAGGCCTGGTGAGATTCAATGAGCCTTTTCCCAGCAGGACAGACCTAGCCTGGTTCTTCATTCTCAATCAGAAAAGTCCTCTTGGACAAGCGCAGATGTGATGTCCAACTCATGACTGGTTAGAGCTAAAAGGGACAGAGGAGAGCTGTCCATGCTTGCTTCTGTTTAGTCTTCCAGTCCAAACCCTATTTATTTACATCAGCATGTCTGTCTTCCCTGTGACGATTAGCATATAAACATGTGTTTGTCACGCCTGGTTTCATTCATCAGCCCGTGGTGTATCTGACAAATATTTACAGTGCCTATTTGATGTTACGTAGTGTGCGGTGGGCAGAAACTGGGACTTACAGACCAGTGAGCTGGCCTGGTGTCTGGTTTCCTTCTGTAGAAACCACAGCTGGCCCTGACTTCAGTGACATTTGACTGAATCCATTGGTGACAAGCACTCACCTGCCTCCCCAGTTTGGATGGTCTTGTTCTTCAAGTTCCCCGAGAAAATTTTCTGGATTTGTGAAATACATAACCTCAAGGGAAAACACAAACAAAAAATTCAGGAGTTAACCCTGACGTTTTTCTGCAACCGCAACAAGAATCATTCCAGTGTAAGTGTCCCTAAGGCATCCATCCATCTAGCTTGTCGTATCTTGCCCCTTGGGAGTCTCCTTAGGTCACCATTTGTCTGCTGGTTTGATTAAACTGTAAGTTTTGTCTGGTGGTTGGCTTGAAACATGGATTCCTGTTTTCAGTTTGTGGGCAGGCTTTACCAAGGAGGTAACTGAGGTTATATCCGGTTGCCTGAATGACTCCTGTCTTTGTGAGTGTCTAAAACAATGTCTAGCATATAGTAAGTACTCCATTAACATCTGCTAGAGAAAGGGAGAGAGGGTTCTGGGCATTTTGGGGAAGTGACTCACCAATACTTCCGTTTAGGGATTATGCATTTCACAGTCTCAGTGTGTCCAAAAACTAAACTCAGATTTTATCCCAAACCAACCCTGCTCTTTCTCCAGCAAATGGCACCACCGGCCCCCGGTTGCCCAGGCCAGCACGCTGACTATTGTCACATCTGATCACTTGCCTAGATCTGACAAATATCAGAGGTCCCTTTCCCCTTACTGCTGTGAGCTGCATTCAAGCCATTATTATCTCCCTGAAGTCATGGCCAGTCTCCAGCCTCCAGGAAGCTCCCCTCACATGCACATCGGACACCGCAGCCTGAGAATGATGTGAACCACACATCTGCTCTCGTCTCTCTCCTGCTGAGAATCCTTCAGTGTCTCCCCAGGGTCCTTGGGGGAAGCCCCCACTCCTCAGCATGGCTCGACCCTCTACAGTCCCTGCTCCAGCCCTTCTCAACAGCCTGAACCCACCATCTCTCGCTTTCATTCTCTTGGACCCACAGCACCCTCGGCCCTGAGTGCTCTCCTCCTGACCTCTTCACTTGATGAGCTCCTACTCATCCTCCTAGATGAGTTCAGCTGTTGCTTTCTCTGGGGAGACTGAGCAAGTGGTCCTTCCACTGACCGCCCTGTAATTACCCCCATCGGAACTCCTTCTATTGTGTCTTGTGGGCGCCTGTTTACTCATGTGTCCTCTACTCTAGACTCTGCATTGCACAAAGACAAATTTGGCATTTACTCATTGCTGGAACCCTAGCATGGGCACCATGCAAGTGCTCAATAAACATCCATTCAATGACTGAACGATGACAAAGATAAGATATCTTTTCATGAACCTTATATTCATCCCGTTGAGCACGGACATGAAAAAAAGTTTGAGTCACATATTCACAGCTTGAAGACAGTCATCCCAAGAAAGCCAACTGGCCAAAGGACACTTGATGACCACATCTGGTCAGTGTCACTTTTGCCATGCTGTTTTCCAAGGGTTCCAAGAACCCTCGTGGCCAGGGTACATAGAGGGGGGGCTGAGGTGGGGGAAACCATGTCCAGAATAACATTGACCACATGCTGCCCTTTCCAAGTGGAGAGGGTGGCTACTAGTGACTCAGCCCCAGGAAGGCAGTGAGAGCTTGACGTATTTATCCAACAGGAGTAGTGGACCTGACCCAAGCCAGCCTCAATCCTTCTGGTGGCTTGGGTCACACGTCTAGTAAGAGCTGGCCAAGGTCAGGGGTTCAGACTGTGATCTCAAAATGGAGCAATGAACTTTGGAAACTATGGGCAATGCCCATGAGCTCAACTACCCTCACAAACATCACTGTCATCAGCTGAGCCAGACAACAGAAGTAACCACATTGCCTTCTCCTGGTGTCATGGGTCCTTGCCAAGATATACCATCTATCATGTGGGCTCTGCAGAGTCCAAGGGCCAGGTTTATTTTAGGACGATTGGAAAAGTTAATGGAATAAATGGCATCTGTGAACTGTCCTCTTCACCCTTTGGGACTAGACGGCCTAGGATAAAGCGGCACATGGGAAAACTGGGAGCCTGCTATTAGGCTGGGGACTCGATCTCCCCAGTCGTGACCCACGACGGAGAAACAAGAGGGGAAAGGGGGGAAATTCTCTATGTGTGTCATGGATGGAAGGACTTCCTGCAGCAAACCATCAAAGGGCTTTTGGCTTAATACTGGCAAAACTCCAATTTGATGTCCTATCCCTTGACTTTGAGTTTGGCCATGTGGCTTGCCTTGATGTTAGCAGATGTGATGTGGCTGAAAGTTTGGAAAGCACTTGTGCCCCTGGGCTTGCCTCTTGTCCTCCGCCATTGCCAGCACAAGACCATACCCAGGTGAGTCCGCCATCGCAGGGGGAGGATGAGAAGAGACCGACTGCCCGGCTGAGCTGGGCCTGGATCAGCTGACCAGCAGGTGCATGAGTGATCAGCCTTCCCAGAGTGTGTCCTTGCCCCAGCCGGCCTCTGGACCCACAGCTTCCTAGCATCACCAAGGAGAGAGGCACCCTGCGTCGCTTGTGTGTTGTAGGCAAGGTGCTTACTGTGTTGCAGGCAACGCGCCTTGCTTTGGGGGAAGGTGGTAAAAGGCAGAATGAAAAATGGAGTTGTTGGATGGCGCACCCCAAAATGAAATTACCAAGACCAATAACTACAACTGTTGTTCGGGCGAATAAAAGCTCCGTTTACAGATCATCTAGTGTTTGCTAGACACAGTGCTAAGCATTTTCAAGGTACGGTCTGATTTAATCCTCAAGATAACTCTTCTAGAAAGATGCTCATCACCACTTCACAGGGGAGGAAATTGAGGCTCAGAGAAGGTTAAGCCACTGGCTGAAGGTCACAGAGGTAGTAAATGGAGGAGAAGGAATCCTAACCCTGTCTGACAGGCTGCTTTCAATAGCCCTGACAACTGCCACCATCCTTGGGCTTCTGTGCCCCGCCTCTCAGGCCACCACCCCCAGCTTGGCTCAGTGATTGCACAGGTCGAGTCCTGGAGACATCTGCTCCTACTGCCCAGCCACCCTCATCAGCTTTCCGGATCAGTTTGCTTATATCCCCAGGCCCCACCCCAGTGCCGGCCTCCCCAGCCTGGTCCTACCACACCACTAAGGCACACCATGCGTTTTAACCCTAAGACTTCTTCAAGGCCCTAACCAGACAAAATATAAAATAAATATACAATAGAAAATAAATTCAAGATAGTTTAAGGCTAATGCCCCAAACGGCAACTCACAGCACTCAATTTTTCTAAGCTGGGGTTGTCCGAGAATTTAGGTGCCAACCACAGATGGATTTCATTTATCTACAAGTGTGTGTAAGAGGGTCACCTGGGAGGGGGTGGGGGATTGGAGCAGGGCTGGCCAGGGGCTCTAGAAAGGAAAGATGGGGCTACTGGCTCAGCAAACTGGGAGCGAGCAACTCTTCTGCGCTGGGGGCTGCCCGCGGGCACAGGCCATGCTCAGGTGGATTCTGCAGCACGCTCACAAGGCAAACACCACCAGCCCAGGTGGCCAGTGGCATCACGTCAAGTCCAAGGCACCAGGGAAGTGAATTCTTCCTTCTGCAATGGGGTCCAGCTCCATGTCCCAGGAGAGGCCAGAGAGAACTTGCCACAGGGAGAAGTAACACTCCTTTTAAGCCAGCTGTTAGAATTCCTTGGGAAAGAAGCAGGAACCAGCTTCTCACACATGGGGAGCCAAATGACTGGGAGAAATATGAATTTGAGAGATAGGGTTGGACTCTAAGCCAGAACTAGCTACGTTTTCTTTGTGAACAAATCAGTTGATAAACATAACAGAATCTTGTGAGGGTCAAAGTTCCCAATATAAAGGAAAAATCTAGAAGAAAAAAAAAGGGTCAGTCTCTCTCTACATTTTTATCACTCACAGACATCCTCAGGGGAAGTGGTCACACCGAGGCTGTCCATCTCTGAAGGTCAGTCCCAACAGCAGCCCAGATGAGCCCATCCTCCCGGGTAGAGCAGCCCAACCACGGGGTCCTTCCCAGAAATGGGGTTCCCTCCTGGGGCATTCCCAGCCATGGGCCTTTGATCGGCTTACCTGTCTGGGTTCTTCAAAGCTTCTTCAAAGTCCACGTTCAAAGCCTTGCACATCTGGGAAAGTCCCAGCAGGTCCCCAGAGAAAGGCTCTCTGGGAAAACGCCACCGGTTGGTTGAGCCAACCATTCGGCGTTCCAGCCGAGCTCTGTGCTGCTTGGGAAGCAAGAGAAGGGAGAAAAATCCTTTTTTAACCTCACCAAATGCCAGGTTTTCCAAAGTGTACAACAGAGAGAAAAGCAAGACACATTTTTTAAAACGCTGGTTCATGTTCAAACATGGCGAGTATTTCTCAGGAGCCATCCTCTGAAGGCCAATATCGTACTCAGTAGACAGAGGAGTTCAAGGAACAAAGTAATTTGGAGTTTAGGATCTAGGACAGAGGTGCCAGAGGCAAAAGATCAGGGAGAAAGATTGTTTCTTTGCGGGTGGTTCTGAAGAACCCACGAGCAGGGACAGAATGATATTTCAAGAGACTCTTCATTATGTGCTTATCCTCACTTGGGCTTCAGAGAGATACCAAACTGAGAGATCCTAGGTAGGGACTGCTTTTCTCTCTATTGTGGTGAAATACACAAAATGTAACATTCACCGTTTTATCCATTTCATCGCATACAATTGAGTGGATTTGGTACATTTACAAAGTTGCACAGCGATCACCACCATCCAGTTTAGAGCATTTTCATTCCCCCAACAGGAAACCTTACACCCGTCAGGCCATCACTCCTAATACCCCTCCCCCCCAGCTCCTGACAACCAGCGATCTGCTTCCCACTTCTGTGGACTTACTATTCCGGATATTTATGTAAATGGAATCAGACAACATGTGGGCTTTTAGGCTTGGCATAATTTCCTTTGGCATCTTTCCCTTGGCATAATGTTTTCCATGTTCCTCCCTGTGGTAGCAGGTATCAGAACTTCATTCCCTGTTAGGGCTGAATAATATTCCACCCTGTGGGGAGACCATGCTTTTTTATCCATTCATCAGTTGATAGACACCTGTGTCTTTTCCACCTCTCGGTGATTATGAAAAATGCTGCCGCGAACGTTTGTGTACAAGTTTCCGTTTGAACACCTGTTTTCAATTCTTTTGGGTCTATACCCAGGAATGGACAGCTGGGCCCTGGGCAGGGACTTTTGCCTAGATATTTTCTTGAGGTCGTAGGGCTTTAGCAGTTTCCTTAAGGGAGCAGTAGAATATTCAGCATGGATGTAAGCCTCAGACGTGCTGGGTCAAGGAAAGCTAGCCAGGGAAAGTGTACCATGACGGACCCACAGGAATGGGTGCGGTTATTCCTAAGCCAGGCCAGTCACCAGCAGGGTGGTGGGGAGACCAGGGGCCAGGGAATGGAGAATTCAAGGTCAAATCTTGTTATCGCCACTAATGGGTTATATGGCCTTGGGCAAGTCATTTAACCTTTTGAGCCTTTCGGTCCTCATCTGATGATGGTGAAGGTGATGATGTTAAAATGATAAGAGAAAGTTTGGGAACCACGCTTTAGTGCCTGGAATATGGCGGGCGATCGAACACTGTGGAATGTGAATCTAGATGCAGTCCTGTGAGTGGTAGGCTCTGACAGCAGGGTCAGCCAATAAAGCTGGGGGTCGTGAGTGGTGCACGACCCGTCCCCTTGTGCAAACGTGGTGACAGAGCTGTAAGCAGGTGCTCCTGCTGCCCGAACTGCCTGGCCGCCTGTGAACTGCTTTACTTACCGGATGCAGCCTTTTCATGGACGGTACTGGTGATGACCCACAGGGGAGGGGGGAAGAGACACCTGGAAGACAAAAGGGGTAAGGTTTACATTCTCAAAAACTCTCCAGAGGGGCTCTTCAAAACAGCAGATTGGCCTGAAGAATCTGTATTTTGCTGCCACAAACAGTAATAATGAGTAAACTTCCAGGGTGGGTTACTCATCAAATCTGGAGACTCTCTTCTCTGCTTCTTGGGCTGGAAATGAAAGAAAAAGCCAAACGGGAGAAGACCCACCATTCCTCGCCCCTTTGTCAAGGGATGGGAACCGAAGGAGGTCCGTAAGGAGGCTGGTCAGGTCAGGTGGTACTTGCGATGCCCCCCGGCTTCCAGGCCCACCTGCCTCCCCGCCCGGAGCCCCCGCAGCCCCTCCCTACCTAGTCCAGCCAGCGCAGGTCACAGGGGTGCCCTCCGTCTCTAGCGGGGATGAAAAGCAGCAGCCGTACTTACGTCTCCAAGTGTCCTCGTGGCCACGGGGCGTTCACAGGAGAAGCTTGTTGAGCAGAGGCACTCTTGTGGCCTCGGTCTCTGAATGACAGGATCGCTGCGGGCTGCTCGCCTTCTGACTCTGAATCCTGAGAGTGCTCATGACATCTGGGCCTCACTCTTTTCTTCGTAGGGGCCAAGGTGCTTCGGCGGCGGAGCTTGCCCTTGGTTTCCCGATTGTGGGCACCATGGCAACATCAGGAAAAGGTTCTGAGCACTTCCTGTTCCAGGCCTGTCTCAGCACGGCTGGGGGGTCCGTAGGGGACACGCGCCAGCCCTGGTGCCCCGTGGCGCCATGTCTCCTCACAGCACCTGGGGTAACCTGGAAGAGCCGCTAAAAGGGCCTCAGTGAGCGTCCAGCCTCAAGTCCTCAGGCCCCCTCTGTCAAATGAGAAGATTGTGCTGGAAGGTTCTCAGATCCCTGCCAGACTTGGCATTCTGGGGGTGCTCTATTTCTGGCTCGGGTGTTTAGAAATGTTTTGACAAAAATATTTAAATAAGAATTGGAGAGTTTTGGGGCACCTGGGTGGCTCAGTCGTTAAGCGTCTGCCTTCAGCTCAGGTCGTGATCCCAGGGTCCTGGGATCGAGCCCCACATCGGGCTCCCTGCTCGGCGGGAAGCCTGCTTCTTCCTCTCCCACTCCCCCTGCTTGTGTTCCCTCTCTCGCTGTGTCTCTCTCTGTTAAATAAATGAATAAAATCTAAAAAAAGAACTGGAGAGTTTTATGTTATTAAAACTATGCCTGATGATTTATTTTGTGGATAGGTGATTTTTAATCAGCTCCCTCTGGGAATGAAGATCTGACTAAAAGTCAAGAGCTTTCATGCCGGGGGCCACGGTGGAAACTTCCAGGGGCTCAATGACCTGGTCTCCAAAGCCTAGGCCCCAAACTAGGAGGTGGAGAACTGGAGACATATCCATCATGCCTGGAATCTTGGCGCATCAAAGTCTTGGACCTCCACCCCCGGGCTCACAGAAATCCCAGCCACAGTAAGAACAGCCAGGAGTCGGTGCAGCTCATGAGACCCAGGACTGGCTTTCCCCAGGCTCTTCACGTGCGGCCTTTCCCGAGTCATATAAACTACAAAGTGAAACAGGAAGGTAAGTGCTCTGCCTACTTGGAACTGAGTCCTAGAAACTATAACACACTCCATAGATAGGAGGCATCTCTAAATGGCCCTCCCTCCTCACCCTCTGACCTGTGATTCTACCTTTCCTGACACCTACACTCTGCTGGGAGCAGTTTCTGTGGGGGGTCCTCTATGGTGGCCTGCCCATTCCTGCCTCCCCACGGGACCCAACAACTGAGCTCAGCCCTTAGGAAGTGCTCAACAGACGTCTCTTGACTTGGATCATCGGATGTACCCGTCCCTACCCACCTCTCTGCCTTTGCACATGGATGAACATTGTGTGTGTGTGTGTGTGTGTGTGTATACACACGTGTTCATGTATGCGTGTGTGTATCTGTTTCTTGTGGGTCACAATCCCATCTCAACAGATGGACAGATTCCCGCTTTGCTGCTCTCTTCCCTCCACTCCAAACTTTTCTCAGCTACCTGTCCCTGGAATGTGGGTCCCCATGGAAGGTTTCAATGAAAGAGTTTGAAATACCTTGTCCTGGGCCACCTTGTCCGTGGGGGGCAAGCCCAGGAACACCCTCCAGGCACCAGGTCTGGGGCACAGCTGAGAGCTGGCCCCTGGGCGCCCTCTAGTGGCCACTCATGGGAAGCATCCCAGGGTGCCATACTCCCTAGCGTCCCTAAGCAGGACCTTGGCCTTGTCCGTGTCTATCACTCCCTATAGGGTCTGGCCTTCAGCTCATCCCCCAAAACCCTCTGCACATACATCCCCCATAGAGCAAGACAACCAACACAAATAAATGGAAATGGCTCCCAGCTCGTTTCCCTAACAGCCTTTTCCTGGTGGTGCCCAGTGTGTCGGGATATACGCCCCACAGGCCCAGACAAGCCAGACATCCCAAGAGCAAAGGCCTTCTTCAGTGGCTCAGACACCAAACTCCATTGAGCACAGCTCTCAGCTAGAACCACCTTGTACCAAAATCTCCCGTGCCAGTTACAGGGGGATTCTGGTGGGATGTCCATCTTCTTGAACATTCCAGGGATGAGTTGCTTCCCAGCTTCCCAGAGAGCCCATTTCAGCCCGGAAAGTGGGGTACACAGGAAAGAACCCCCAATTATGACCCTGGTTTTGGCACTGACTAGCTGTGTGTGACCCTGGACATGACCTTCACCTCCCTGAATGGAAAGTAGACCCAGAGACACAGGGCCCCGGCATGTTGGAGGGTCTTGACGTCAGAACCTGAGTGCTGGCTCTAAGGACCCTCACTTTAAAAGACTCAGGGCCCAGGACACTGTGTGTATGTAGCAGGAGGCTCCTGTGAGTGTCCAAATCAGGACTGCCTGGCTCCCGGGGGGGTGGGGGGCGGTCTGTGCACCGGGGTCTAGGCTCTTGCCGGGGGGTGGGGTGCAGCCTGTAGATGAGGCCTCTGGCTGAGGCAGTGCATGAGCCAGAAGACCGGAAGGGGCTTCCACCAAGTAGCAAAGGGTGGGTCGCGCCCTTGAACTGTGTCCTATATGGCCAGGAGTGGGGTAGTCTCTTTAAATTTTTTATTTTTATGTTAATCACCATACATTACATCATTAGTTTTTGATGTAGTGTTTCATGATTCATTGTGCATAACACCCAGTGCTCCATGCAGAACATGCCCTCTTTAATACCCGTCACCAGGCTAACCCATCCTCCCACCCCCCTCCCCTCCAGAACCCTGTTTGTTTTTCAGAGTCCATCGTCTCTCATGGTTGGTCTCCCCCTCCGACTTACTCCCTTTCATTCTTCCCCTCCTGCTATCTTCTTCTTTTTTTTTCTTAATATATATTGCATTATTTGTTTCAGAGGTACAGATCCGTGATTCAACAGTCTTGCACAATTCACAGCGCTCACCATAGCACATACCCTCCCCAATGTCTATCACCCAGCCACCCCATCCCTCCCACCCCCCACCACTCCAGCAACCCTCAGTTTGTTTCCTGAGATTAAGAATTCCTGATATCGGTGAGGTCATAGGATACATGTCTTTCTCTGATTGACTTATTTCACTCAGCATAACACCCTCCAGTTCCATCCACGTCGTTGCAAATGGCAAGATCTCATTCCTTTTGATGGCTGCATAATATTCCATTGTGTATATATACCACATCTTCTTTATCCATTCATCTGTCGATGGACATCTTGGCTCTTTCCACAGTTTGGCTATTGCGGACATTGCTGCTATAAACATTGGGGTGCACATACCCCTTCGGATCCCTACATTTGTGTCTTTGTGGTAAATACCCAGTAGTGCAATTGCTGGATCGTAGGGGAGCTCTATTTTCAACTTTTTGAGGAACCTCAATACTGTTTTCCAGAGTGGTTGCACCAGCTTGCATTCCCACCAACAGTGTAGGAGGGTTCCAGGAGTGGGGTAGTCTCAGTGCTAAGTGAGGAGCCCTGGCCTGGGACTTGGGTCGGACCCTGGTCACTGACTTGCTGTGTGAGCTCAGGGCAGCCTTCTCTCGGCTCTGGGCTTCAATTTCTCATCTGTACAGCAGAGCTCAGAGAAAACAACTCCTCAGCTCTGTCCCTGCTCATCCCATTAACCCCAGACTCCCAGGTTGGTACAACCAGGACTGGGGCAGGGGTGGGGTGATGACAAACCGCACTGGCCTAGGGCTTGTCCCATCCACACCTTTAAACAAAGTTGGAGCGTCCAGTTTGTGCTGGGGGTTGGGGATGAAATGGGAGCTCAGTGGAGGATGAGTACCACCTGTGTGCTGTTATATCCTCATCACACCTGGAACGTTATTTACTTAGCAGTTGCTTTATTTTATCGATGAAATAACATTTTGGTATGCTGGTTTATTTCTAATACACATTAAATTAACTACATAACTATTTTAAAAAGTCCTTTGTGAGCTGCCCCTGAAAATCATCTTTTGCATACATGCACTTTGCTTTTGGAAGTTTATCTCTGCCCTTAGGAGGCTCCCACGGTCCAGGGGGATGGCCAAGTCAGGAGTGGAGCTCAGTCAGCTCCAGGAATTCACAGGAGGGGCAACCAACTACAGTAAGCATGTATTCTGCTGCTTTGATGTCTTGAGGTCTTGCTGACCTGGGAGGGACCGTCCGTCCCGCTCAGCATTAGCCAGTTCCTAGCGCTTGGTAAAGCACCTGCCTATTAGCGAGCTTTCATTTGCAAACCAGCCAAACCCAGAGCCCATATCCCCATCACTTCTTTTATTGGCTTTCACACTCAGGGCCACTGTCCCCCTATCCTGATCACCCCCGGCCCAGGTACCAAACAACTACAGAGAGCCCCTACGGCCCAGAGCCTACTGATGCAAATGATGCAAACTAGCGGACCCTAAGCCTATTTACCCCCGTCACCTGTTCCTTCCCTCGGGAACCACAGTGAAGGCTCTTATCTACATCTTCCCCTTACTTCCCTGTCTCCTGACCAAGCTGGTGCTTCCCCGTGATCCTGCCTGGCACGGCGTACCCTCTCCTCTGGGGAACTGTGAGTAACCAGCTGTCTTCAACGGCACTTGTCCCCTGGTCCGTGGGCCTCATCATGCCTGAATAATAATAAAACCCACATTTGAAAACACTGACCCAGGCCTGGGGGTTCAGGGAGGGTTCCTTGGAGGGAGTGACATCAAGAATGAGCCTTCAGGGAGTGGGCATTAGCTGGGAGACCAGATGATGGGGCAGGGGTGGGTGTCCCCGGTAGAGGCGTCGGGACCTACTGAAGAAATGACCATGCATCTCATTGCACCGTAGGGTGGGGATGGGGGAAGGGGCTTTGTCTAGCCCCACCTCTTTGATCTCCAAGTTGTGTTTCCCAGCTCCTAATAAACCCAAAAGATGTGGATTCTCTGTATTCTGCCATTGCTGTTCCAGCCTGGGGGACTCGGGGGCCCCGTCAGGTGCCGCCAGCCTGGGGAGGGGCCACAGGACCGCCGAGGGAAACATGTGAAGACCAGACAGAGCGGAGCCCCTCACTCACACCTGCCTAACACTGCACCCCGCAGGGAGCCCCACAGCCATTCCCAGCTATTGAACAAAGAGCGGGGTTTTCAGCGTCCTTGAACACAGTAGCAGGGGCAGCCCAGGCTCAAGACAGGGCTGCCAATCAGTCTAAGGACAGAATGGGTGTGAGGACCACTGCGGGCACGGGGGCGCACTCCCTCCCCGGTGCCTTCTCTCCCCACCACTTTCTGCTGGGCTCCCTTAGAAAGACAGCTGTCAGCCTGAGGAACGCAAAGGGGCTCGCAGTCACTGAAGAGCTGAGGCCCCGTCCTGGCGGCCCCATCTCCTGCCTGAGCGGCCCGGTCAAATCCCCAGGTTTTTGACCTCCCGGAGCCTCTGCTTCCTTCTTGTAAAATGGAAGTAAAAATAGCTCCTATTCACCAGATGTTTCAAGGCCAGAGGGTGCAAACCCCAAGGAAGCCCTGTGCGCCTCAAATGTGAACAGTCTTTTCCCCCTACCTGTGTGCATACCTCCACCCGGCCCTCATCAGAACCTCCCCACCTTGTTCCATTTGTTACGTGGGATGTCCTGGAAAGCAGAGAGGCTTTGCTAGAAAACCTGAGCATCCTACCAGGGCTGACAATTAAGTGAAAGAAGCACCGTCAGGGAGGCTGAGCGCACACTCGGGCCTGTCACCTCTGTCACCTGTCCCACGCACAGCGCTGATCACTTCTCTCCGTGCCTGGAAAGGGTGGAGGCTGGGGTGCTCCTTGCATGGCCTTGGGCCCCTCACATCTCACGCCTAAGGGGCTGAGCCCCAGACTTGGAAGAAAAAGAGGCTTCCTCCACCGAGCCCCCCCATCCCGGCCACAGGGACCACCTCCCTCTTTTCTATCTCCCTCCCCACCCCCTCTGTCTTCAGGAGTAAACTTAGTATCTCAGTCACATCATCTTTAACTTGAGAGCCCTAAGGAAATGCTGAGCCAGGGGGGAAAAAAAAAAAGAAAGAAAGAAAAAGAAAATGATGTTCGAACTTCAGGATTTCAACTGACTTGGCAAACCGAACTTCTAAGAGCTGCAGAGAATCTCAGAGGTTGTCATACCGGCTGCCAGGGGAGCTTTGGATGGGCGTCAGGTGCTCCCTTCTCCTGCTCTTCCCACTCACTCAGCAAGGCAAAGTACTTGAAATAGTCCTTAGCGGCCATCATGTGGGTAAGCATCTGCAAACACGTGTGGTATTCTATAAAGTGAATGCAGGACCAAAAGCAGCTGATCTCAACCCAGAGGGGTTCCCAAGGCCAGGCACTCTGTGAGTAGGTCTAGTGAGGGGGCCTAGCGCGCAGGTGGGCCTGAGCCCAAGGTGGGGTCAGGGTGTCCCAAGCTAGGCCAGGCCAGGCTGACGGGCAGACAGAGTGGCCCAGAGACAGATCTATGCCTCAAAGGTTACATATGGAATATGTGTGTGTATTGAGTGTGGATGGGGGTGGAGGTATATTTTAGTACAACCTTAGTGAAGGCCTATTTGGCAATGGGTGTACCAAACTTTAAAAATGTGTATAACCTTCAAAAAGGAGAAAAACCACGTGTGATATCCAGGAGCTAGCCTGGCATGCCTGCAAGTCCTCGCTCTTCTCCTGTTGAACACAAAGTTTCGCAGAAAATCGGTGTCAGAATTGGCCACGCTGTGATGGGTCAAGAGAAAACAAGACCACCCCAGAATCAGTCTGAACACACACAGAACATGAACATTATCCAAACCACAGAAAGGACCAGATATCCTTCCATCCTGGCTAATATGTATGAACAACTATTCCTTCTTTACCAATTACAGCTTTGCCTTAGTCTAGATAAGATGTGCTGAGATACCCCATCTGAGAACTGTCTCTGCCTGGAGAGCATCCAACACGCAACAAAGCCCTGCTTCCTTAGTCTTCCCCAGAAGCAGCTGACTCAAGCCCAAATCCTATACCACCTGCCTCCGAACAGTTTCACACTGCGCTGCCCCACAGCTCCCCCTGGTGGCTGTCCTTCCTCACTACAACGAGCCCCAAAGCCAGCTTGCTCAACACGGGCGCTGCTCCTCGTGGCCTTTGGCTGAAGTAGTGACAGCATTCACCCAGGTTATCCACTTCAAAAATTCAGCCCAAGGAAAACTCATGTTTATAAATGTATATGCTTAAGGAAACTCAATGCAATGTGCGTGCACAATGACAGCAAACCATCAGACACCACGTAAATGTCCATCAGTGGGCGGCTGCGTAAATACAGTTTGCAACCATGAGACACATGCAGTCATTCGAAGTGATGACAAAAGGCCATATTTATTGATAGAAAAGTTTGCATCACATGATGGTTACATTATAGCATCACATGAGAAAAGGGTTTACAAAACGGTATGCAGGGGCACTGCAGAGCTCCAAATAATCCTGCTTTTATAAAGATAAATTAATAAATATTACATACACTGAGAAAAAAGTATAGAAAAATAAATATAAAAACATTAACAGTTATCATTTCTTGGTTTGGGGATTATGGAGTTTTTTCCTTACCTGCATCTCTAGACTTTTTAGCAGTGGAAGTTTTTTTTTAAAAAGATTTATTTATTTATTTGAGAGAGAGTGTACACATGAGCAGGGTGGGGAGAGGGACAGAGGGAGAGGCAGAGAGAGACAGAATCTCAAGCAGACTCATTGCTGAGTGTGGGGCTCAATCCCATGACCCTGAGATCAGGATCTGAGCCAAAATCGAGTTGGCCGCTCAGCCAACTGAGCCCCCCAGGTGCCCCAGAAATGTGTTACTTAAGTAGTAAGAAACAGAGGAACTTCCAAGAGCTAGCGGCTGGGCTGTTGTGAGAACACAGCTGAGATCACAATCTGGGGTGAGCGTGGAGCAGGGGTCTGGTCTGGACAAATGAGCACTGGGGTGAGGGGACATGGCTGTGCCCCGAGGAAGGGAGACAGGGAGACAGGGCCCAGCAGAGGGGGCTGGGCAGTGGGAGGAGGCCGCCCCCTGGCCTGTCTCAGGGTCCCTGTCAGACGTGGGGTTGACAGTGGGACTAGAGGCTGGGACTCTCTTCCCGAGAGGTGGGCTGCATCTTTCTCTCTTTGTGCTGCCTGGGACACCTGCTCTGTCAGGCGTCGGGGGGTCCTACTTGAGGGGCGCAGCCCACAGCCACGGTGGCCGGGCCCGAGGAGGGGCACCCGGAGCTGAGGGCCACCAGGGGCTTGGCGCTGCTTTCCAAGTTCACGTTGCACACCACACCCCCACTGGCACACTCAGGCCCCCCCAAAAATGCGTCCATGGCCGAACACCACTATAGCTGTGAGCACGCCCTTATTTGGAAACAGAGTCTTTGTAGATGTAACTCGGAATGTGGAGAGGAGGAGATCATCCTGGATTTGGGGTGGGCCTGAAATCCACAGAGCAGTGTCCTTACAAGAGAGGGGAGAGGGAGCTGAGCCCCAGAGGAGACTGGAGGGATGTAGCCGCCAGCCACGGGATGCCAGGGACTGCGGCCACTGTCCAGAAGCTGCGAGAGAGGCAAGGAAAAGACTCTGCCTCAGAGCCTCGGCGGGGGGAGCAAACCCCACCGACACTCTGATCTGGGACTTCTGGCCTCTGAACTGTGAGAGAAAACATTTCTGTTGTTTTAAGCTGCTGATGATGTGATGCTGTGTCCTAGGAAACAAAGACATCTCCCCATCCTCTCGCTGCCCCCCATACGCCCCCCGGTCAGCCTGGGGACCCCGAGAAGGTCAGGAGCAGTTAAGGAACCTAATGGCGGGCACGTCCCGATTTCGTCTCCAAAGTGGCCTCACTACCTGTCTCCCACGGGTAACTGCTCGCCCGGGCCTGGTCCTTTAGACGGAACTAGGCAATGTTTCCAGGTTGACAGTCGTATGCTAAGGAACACACAGGAAGAGGGACAGCCTGCTACTTCCTCGAGCCGGTAAAGGGAAATAGACTTTTGCGTCAAAACTCAGAGAGGCTTTGTAAAACCAAAATCTACGGTAATTCGAAAACACTCCATCATTTAAATAGCAAGTCCATCTTTCTCATTAGCTTCCACCTTACAGGCAGCTTACAAACGGTTTCCACAATAACGAAGGAAATGTTCTTTAAATCCACGGACAGAGAAGGGAGCCAGAGAAGAGTGAAGGGCCAGATCTGATACGATTTTAACAAAGGCCAGAAAAGACTCAACCCTTCCCAGAAAATAAATCAGAGCCACACGTATTGCCAAGATCCAAAGAAAAAAATTTATTTACAATAGAGAATTTTATTTGAAACATGCATTTTTTTTAAAACAAATCAGCAAATGCAGATCAAGTTTACACTCCTTAAGGCAAGAGTCCCCGTGCAAACTATACATGTTCATATTAAATCCAAAAGCCGCTCACCCTGGGAACTCATGTACAAAGGGCAAGGCCAAGGTCAGCGATTTGTCTTTTATTAGAGAATCAGACAATCTCCCTGATACAGGAACTCTGAGGTCAACTTGCTATGAATTTATACTAAGAAAATGCAAACCAATAGCAAGAAATTCTGATAGTCTCCTTTAGTACTGCATACAATCAAATCAATGTTATTTAGAAAGGAAATACAGTAGTGCATACGAAAAAGTGAAAACAGAACCTGTCCACGTAACGGGAAGGACAGCAGTGAGCCGACGGTCATATTGCACGCAATGGTCAAGTCCAAACATTTGGTTCAAAGTTAGCTTTTCCCCATTTTGGCAATCAGTTCATCACAAATCTTGGTGAGTTCTTCTATCTCTTTATTCTGAAAGTGAAGACAAAAAAAAAAAAAAAAGATTGCTGAAATCTCCTGGCTGTTGGAAATCAAGCCAATCAGAATGATCTTTGGGCTTTTCAGGGGTGTGGGGCCCTCCAGGTTTCTGGGTCTCCCTGAAATTATCTAATGCAGTAAGAGAAATGACATGGAGACAAATCATCTAAGTACATATCCCAGCTCTAGCTGTGACCTTGAGCAAGTTACACAACCTTTCTGAGCCTTGGTGTCCTTCTCTCTACAATGTGGATGATAGCATCTCTCTGAGAATGGAAAGCAGGCAGAACATAAAGCTCCCTAGCACAGTGACCGGCATAGAGTAGAGGCTTGACTAGTATGGGTTCACTTTCTTTTATTTGCCTCTGAAGGACGTGGACACAAAAGATGGTCCAGGGTGAGCTCCTGGGTGGTCTGTTTGAGAAATGCCACCAGGAGGGGTTAAGCAATTCTACTTGAATAGGGTCGCTAGCGTTATTTAGAGGTGCTGTGGATATGAGGAGTCGAGGAGAGAGGCAGGGGGAGACACAAGATGGCCTCAGGTGCTCCTTGCACCATGCCTTGCCCATGCTGGGAAGCAAGGGAAGCCAACCACGTGCTCACACCAATGATCAGACAACACCGGCCACGCTCTAAGTGTGGGGATCCAACAGGATGAGTCCAAGGGCAGGTGAGGCTTTGCTCTGATGCAGATCTGCTTCAACAGCCAATGTCGAACAGCCCTCTCCAAGGGGGCTAGATCTTTCTGGTATCCCAGGAACATACTACAGCCAGTTTTCTGAGGTCCCCGTGGAAGGTGAGTCTTAACCACAAGCCTCTCCCCTGAGACTGTAACAGGGCCCTTCCTTCCTTGGAAATCATGGAAACTGGAAACCTCCTGAGACACGGTCCCGCCTGGAGCCACGTGTCCTGTTTCCAGGCTGGGCTCTGGGTGCCACCCGTGACTGTGTCCATATTGGGACGAGTCGAGAGGTCCTCAATAGAAGAGAAACGCAGCCCTCACTGCAGTCCAGCCACCAGCCCCCACTGGGAGAGAATCACCTGGAACAGCACCTCAGCTTACCCCCTTCTAGAGTTTCCAGCTCTGAGAGGCTCAATTCTGAGAGGCACTGAAACGTCTGTTGGAAGATGATGTACTGTGGGAACATGGCTCTAACCGCGAATCCTGGAAGGATTCTTGCCACAACGTCATCTGCTGGGGCCGCGGATGGGGACTTTTCATCTTCCCGTGTGCCAGTCACCTGCTTACCATGCCCCAAGCACTGGCCCCGCTGGGTTCTCACAACAGTCCCTTTCTGGGAGCCACTGATATTTCCACTTTCCAGTGAGAAACCGAGGCTCAGAAAGGTTAAGTGTTGTGCTTAATTTAAGGTCCCCACACAGCTGGTCAGACACAGCAATCCTGGAGCGTGAATTCAGGCTGGCCTGGCCCCTAGACGGCTTTGCTATTTTACTTATTAAACATAATGTTCAGCGACTGGCGGCTGAGAGGCACTAGCAGACCCACTCACTACAGATTCCTGGAGGTTCTCCAAGCTCCATCTTGGCACCAGCAACCCACTGCCTAGCACACGGCCATCGTGCAGCTCAGCTCACTAGGTTTCCAGCGCCTCCAATTAGGAAGGGCCCGGTGCGGGGAGGTCATGCTTCTGAATCTCTTTAAAACAGAGACCGACCCCTCTGTATCACTCAGAGTCCTTTAGGGGAGAACGTGTGTGATGAACCCATTCCTCCTCAGTTTTAGTTTAAGACCGAATTATGTTTATAGATCTGTTTGTATCTTTTCTCTTCTCCAAAACTGGGCAGGCCACCTGGCCTTCTTCTTTGTCTTTCAGTTTGCCACAATACGTAGCGTCACCTTCATCTAGCAAGTGGAAGAGTCTGAACAGGCCAGGTTGCCTAGAAAACACCTATCCCGACTCTGGTTTTACCTCTATTACTTGAGCTAACACCATGATGCAGTTCAAAACACCATCAAATCCTGAGAGAAATAGGAGGGAACCAATATATTGCTACATTTCTCACCTGGAAACATTTGATACGCAACCGCCTTCCTGCCCAAAATGACGGGGGAATGTGGTCCTTACTTTAAATGAATATTCCACTTCTCAAGAGTCACCAAATATACCACACGTGGATTATCAATATCCAAAGAATAAAAATAAACACCCGCTCCAGACAAGCAATGCAGTGCCACTCAATAAATATCGATGGGACGAGCAAATGCTTGTGTTTGATGCCTCGGACTCTGGGCTCCCTGCTAGGAACAAGGAGCAGAGCCTGGAAGATCGAGGCAGTTGAAGAGATTTGGCATATTTGGGCCAGTCCCACCTCTTTGCTTCTTTCCCTTTTGAGGGACTCTTCCAAATCTTCAGGTTTCAACCTCCAACATGACAAACCTACACAACCTGAGGGCAAGTGTGAAGCTTGCTCAGGGTCATAATGGATGGCGGGGAGTAGGTGGGGGTGGGGGGGAGGACCTGAGGCTCCTGAGTCCCAGGGCTCTGTCCCTGACATCATTTAGGCGAAGAGAGAGGTAGTACATGCCCACTGCTTGGCCCAGACCCACCTCGGGACCATAGCCAGCCCCCCTGGAACCTGGCTGGGTATAGGCACAAGAAAGGGGTCAATCAGAGGCCACTGGGTGCTTCTGGGTCAGCAGACCATTTGGGAGACACGCTGGACTTCAGATGCCATCTGCCCACAAAGGACGCGCCCCCCCCCCACCCCATGACTGTCCTTTAAGGCCCAAATGCATGAGAAATGATGCTACCCCAGGACACTGGGCTCTCTGATAACCATCCAAGGGACTCCTAAGGCTCAGTAAATCAACCAGAATGGGGTTGCTGTCTGGGAACTCCCTCTAGAGACACACTTAAGGAAGAGAGCTGTGTGGCACTCACTTACCCAGATTCAGACTCATATGACACTCCTGGGTGGAAGGGTTTTCCCGTCTGGATACCCAGGGAGAAGGTATGTATGCTGGACTGGGCGCTAGACCAGAAATCAGGACAAGCGGAGGGATCTCAGGAGGGTTCCCCCAACCATGGACGCAGGAGGGCAGCTGGGGCCCTTTTGACCCCAACACGGCCCAGGGATTACCCCATTCCCTCACCAGTAAAGCACGCTGGATGTGGGGTAAGGTACTCTGCCTGGCACACTGTAGATACTTGGTAAATGTGTGACAGATGAATGTTGACAAGGAATGAAAACCAGCAATAAACATCGGAGCAGACAGCAATTCCAGGAAAGGCAGGAAGGAGGACAGTCTCGGGGCGAGCATTACACGGGATCTTCCAGAGGGAGAGCAAGCATATGCTCACGAGGTCTAAACCTGTCCCGGCAACTGCAGGGAGCACAGAGAAACCCGGCCTTCGCTTATCTGAGGGTCTGGCCAGCCCCACCCCCTGGAGGCCCCCTGCCCTCGGCTCTTACCTTCTGCTCCAGCGTCCTCTCTAAAGCGTCCACACGAAGTTGCTCCTTCCGCAGACTGGCCTGGTAGGCAGCCTGCTCCTGCTGGGCCTTGCCTCGGACCTGCGCGATCTCAGCGTTGGCCCTGCGGAAACAGGGTGGGGGGATGCTCAGGAATGATCACCCTTCCCCATAGACCCCTCCCACCTTCTTCCTCCCGGCTCTGGGCAGCAGGAGCCCATGAGCACCCCCTGCTCCCAGCCCCCATTCCCGTGATGCCACGGTGCTTTGAGTGGGTGCCCTGGAAATTGCAATGTGTGTCCTTCACTGATCAAAATGCTGAGAATACACTATCATCACAAGCCACACTGAAAAAACACAAGTGGATTACCCGCCCTCCCCAAGCCAGTGTGAGAGGTGCCACTGGAGTGCCCGGCCTGCCTTGGCGGGGTGCTGAGAGGCCTCCGGGAGCGGACCCGAGGCCACGTTACCTGTCCAGCTTCTCCTCCGCGTGCACCTTCAGGGCCTGGTACCTCTGCTCCTCTTTCTTTACCCGGGACAGGTACTCCTGTGCACACTTCTTCAGCACCTCTTCATTCTGACGTGACAGAGGACAGAGGTCACGCCCACAGAAGAAATGCCCTGGGTGCTGGGAAGCCTGAGAACTCCCTGATGCTGCTGGAACCCTGGACCGCCAAGTCCAGGTCCCTAGAATCTCTCCCAACCTGCTCCAGCTTCCCCCACCCACCCTATCCAGCGTCCCGCTCTGCCCCGACACGAACACACCTTGCGGAAACCCTCAAGGACCTCCTTCATCTTCTCATATCTCCTGAAGAGATCAGCCAGAGATTTCTCCACAGAGTTCAGGTCGGCCAGAGCTTGCTCCTTCTCTAGGACCAGCTGCTGGACGGTCTGGTGGGAGACGGACTTCTCCCTCTGCTCATCCTCTGGCAAGAGACACAAGGATCCAGATGATGGCGCTGGGGGATCCCAACCCGGTCTCAGGGGCAGCTGGGGCCTCAGATGCAACTCAGCCTGAGCACAGGGCGTCCCAGACTCTGGACAGACCCACCCCCCAACTCCCCGAGCCCACCCAGACTCTGTTTCTAAAGGAACAACACCCACAGGCCCAGCATCCCGGGCCTGGGCCTTTGCGGTGTGAGACGGGACGGAAACTAGCCACTGTCCTTGAACCTGATCGATGCAGACCCTTAAAAATCCACATTCAAGGCCCCAGGGATTCTATTCAGTTGATGAGAGCAAACAAATCCATAAGGTGGAAAAAAATCACGACTGACTTTTGTGTTGAGCAAGATTACGAGGTACAGTAGTCTGGGCTCTGAGGAACAGGCCTTTCTATGTGTCATCAAAATAAAGAGATGGTTATTGGAAAAGAAAAAAGATTTCCTCATCCCTTAAAACCTCCCATGAACCAAAGCCCACATCACCGTCAGCCCTGAAACTCTGCTTTGCACAGAAATGGACATTTTCTTTGATACAGCAAATGTCTTTACTCTGAGAAAAATGGAGCTCTTTCTGGCAAAGTGAGTTTCTCAGTTATGTACAAAAGAATGAATTCTGGCCCAGTTCAGAGTGGCTGATCCTAATAAAAGGAACAGCTCCGTCCTCGACCCCACCTCTCGGGGCCACCACCCGCTAACACTCCCCCGCAAACGGCTTGCAAACCATCTCGTATTTATGGGAAAGGCATTCTCTGACCACTCCGCATAAAAGCCCCTCACCCACACGGCGCTATCTTTTGTGCGCTGGCCCGTTGGTCAGCCGTCTGGGTGGGCGAGGAACCTTTTGTTCCCATCTGTTTGGACTTCTGGCAACAACAGAGAGTGGAGGGAAGAGAAGCCCCCTCTCAGAACTCTTGGGGGAAGGAGCTCTGCAGAGCTGTCCTCCCCTCAGCCCCATGTCACCTGGGCGGGGGTCCTGATGCCCAGGACTACCTCCAAGGGCTGGCCGCCGTAGGGCGGATGGCTCTGGAAATGACAGACGGAACAACAGCAACCAGCGTGCACCCAGCTCTCCCACGCGTCAGGCGTCCTGCTCACTGTTCTATTCATTTAATGCTCCTAAGCCAGCACCCGGCCGCCAAACTAAACTTCCTTAAGTCCAAACTGGGTCACCGGGCTCCAGCTCAGAGCCCCCTGGGGTCCTCCCTGTGCACTGGGAATGAAATCCAAACTCCCTCCCCACCTGCCCCAGCTACACTGGCTGGCACACCCCAGGCGGTCCTGCCCCAGGGCTCAGTGGCCCCAGAGCTCACTCACTCAGGTCCCTGACACCAGGCCACCTCCCCAGAGGTGCCTTCCTGAGCACCTGTGGGGAACGCCTCCTCCCTACTTTCCAGTCCATTCTCTCGCCAGCAACGGCCAGACATGCAAGCGCCCGTGTGTCTGCCGGCTGTCTGCCCAGAACGCACACTGCAGGAGTCTGTTTTGTCCACTTCTCTATCCCAGGGCCCAGGACAATGCCTGAGTCACAGGACGCCTCAACACATCCGTGCCGGGAATGAGCGAGGGGAGCCTGGCCCTGGAGCTCGATCCAAACCCAGAACCGCGCTCATGACCATGTCTCTCCACTGGCTTCCTAATAATAGACCTGGAAGCTCCCCTAAAAGCAGGGGGAGGCTGGGGATGAAGGAGGGCACTTGTGATGAGCATCGGCTATTGCACGCAAGTACTGAATCACTATCTTGTACACCTGAAACTAGTATCACACTGTTAAGTGACTGGAATTTAAATAAAAACTTAAAAAAAAAAAAAAAAGCAGGGGGATGCTGTTTTGGGTTCTTTCCCTATGGTTCCTGATAGATAGGCATCTTCCGGTGTCCTGCAGTTAGGCCTATTTTGCCCTGTGCTGTGCAGGGAAGCGCCCAGGGTTGGGGAGGGGGGGGCACATCCCGGGTTTTAGCTCTAGCTGTGAGATAAACTTACTCAAAAGTCCCAACTCTCAGGGGCCTGGGGCCTCATCTCCAAAATGAAAGGGTTGTCACACAGGAGTGCGCACCCAAATAAGGGGGGGCTTGTCTGAACACAGGCTGCAGTGCCCCCACCAGTGGTTCTGGTCTGGCAGGTCTGCAAGGCTCTGCATCTGTGACAAGTTTCCCGATGACACTGAGGCGGCAGGTCCAGGGGCCACGCTTGGAGAGCCACGGGCCCGCAAGATGCCTGATGTACGTCCAGCCCTGCCTCTTGGAGCCCCCGCTACCAGGCAGAGGTGAAGGACCCAGGAGCCAGACCCTGACTGCTCAGGTTCTGCCCTGGCTCTGACACATCTCAGCCCGGCCACCCTGGGCAGGGTTTTTAACCTCCATGAGTCTCAGCCTCCTGAGCTGAAAGAGGGGCTCACAGTATTTATCTCATGGTATTTGGGGAAAGAGTAAATGAAAATGTATATAAAGCCTTTGACACACAGTAAGAACCCAGGATCACTGACCCATTATTGACAGCATCACCAGCTCCCCCAAATTAGCGTGATGTCCCGTCACAGGGACTTACAAAGGGGGAGCTTTTTAACATACAGGGAGAACCAAACTGCCAGCAGCCGGCTTGCCACACCTAGATTCCCAAAAGAAAAGCTGCTTCAAAGGTTCACCAGTAACGGAACGCTTATTTTTAGTCTTTTGAGTTTCAGCTGCTTCCTTAGTCCTCAGCACACCACACAATGCACATTCCAGGCTGATCTGAGGCCATGTATACATTTCACTTGGCTCGTAAAGAGCCATTTATCCAACGGAGTCCATCTGATTTCCTGGATCTGAGACTTAGCCTGCCTCAGGTTTCCTGTCCTCCCCATAAACGCTTGTAAAAATAGAATTTCCTGGTTCCCAGGAGACCGAGGAGGTGAGAATGCATCACCAAACTTTTTATAAATTACAAATGCAGTCAGGTTCTTCAAATCAGGAAATCAGCCCCAAACTCAAAAGGCTCTAGCCTCAACCACAAAACAATGCCCCTGGAGAGGTTTCTGGCTTTTTCAAGCAAAACATTATTAAACCATGTGGGGAGATAGGGGGTGGGGATGGGGGGATGGGGAAGAAATGCAGCAAATACACAATAGCAAAAGTAACAAAAACAGAAACAAACAAACCAACACTGGTTGCGATGGGCAAGTGTTAAATTAGGTGAAAAGCATTTACTTACCAGGCTTGCCTGTTTGTTTTGCAAGCAAAGGGCAAGAAGCAACAGAAAATGGAAGCAAAACAGATAATCAGAGCAGTTAGGAAAGCAGGAAAAAAAAAAAAAATCAATTGCAAAAACCTGGAATGCAAAAAGCACAGAGGTCTCTTTTTGTTCTGAACCCTAAATAGTCAATATTTGAGCTCGGTTTTAGTAACATGGCACGAGAACGAACAATAATGGCAGGACAGATGTCGGGCTGGCGTGGAACATTTGTGAGGGTTACACGGAAGCCAGAGAGCAGGGCGGGAGCCAGGAGGAGCTCGTGTAGGTCGGGTGGGACCTGGTTTTAACTTCAAAACACTACTGATGTTCATTCTGTCCCGAACTGCCAAGCTCCTGGGGCCTGAGTTTTCCCTCCCACCAGGATGCTGGTGAGGTGCGCGAAAACCAGAAAAGAGATAGGAGACCCAGATGAGCCATGTGGGTATGCTTCCACATACGGGAACTCACGGCCTGCCCAGAAAGGAGGCAGGTGCCACCCACAGCGACAGTAAGTCCCAGCTGTGCCTCAGCCCCATGCCGCCTTTTTACAAAGTGACGAGGACCTCAAAACCCGCGGCAGCCCTCATCCACATGCCCTGCAATAGTGACTGACGGGATGAGAGCCACAGAAGTGCCACCTGATGTACAAGGTCTGAGAAGTGGTTGATGCAGAAGACACTGAAGGTGCATGAGGATGGGGAACCAGGGGCGGATGTGCGCTGTCACACCCCCCCGGAGTGACAGTGCCACTCGCCGCTCGGGATGCTGGAGGGGTCTCATGGAGCCGCCGGGAGTGCTCAAACACCCCCAAACCGGAAAAGGCTCAGAGGAGTGAAATCACAGCTCTTGAAGAGAGGAATCCGCAGGCCAAACATACCAGGTCTCCCTGGGGGAGGGGCTGGGGTGCTGGGGGTGGGTGTGCGTAGCCAGAACCCCTGGAGTCAGGGTTCCACGCACTCAGCTTGCCTGGAGTTGAAATGTTCTTCTAACTACTCTCACCTGCAAATATGCTGCGAGGAAATCAGAGTTGAATCATCTTTTCTGTCCAACAGGGACAGACCACTTGAGGCAGGCCGACAGAGCCTACTCTTCGGTTTTCAAGAAGGAATGTCTGCTTATATCAAAACTGTCAGCTGAGCAGTAACAGATGGCTCTGGGCAGCCTTCTCACAGGGGCAAAGGCTCGTGCCCTTTTACCCCCATCTCAACTTTGGCCCAAATGTCATCACCAAGAGCAAAAATAACAGCGAAGACCTCTGAGACACAAGATCTTTCCAGATGAGCCACCGCAGGTCTGAGGTGCATTTTCACAATCCGAGACTCCAGGAGGCCAAAAGGTTGTGCTCAGTGTGCCAAACTCTGTATATTGGAAGACATAAATCCTTCTTCCTGACCACTTTTACAGGCAGTTTCAGTTCCAAGAGTTTCGTTTTTTATCTCATCCATATGTATTCATAAATTCTTATACCAATTTAATAAAGTAGTTTCATTTGATAGAAAGCATATACCATGGGCTCATCCTTAGAAACACCCCAAATGGGCTTTCTCTGAGATCTGGGAGAAATGGCCTTTATTAAAATACAACAAAATTAGAGCTCCTTTGAATAGAAAGCACTCAGTTGTCGGCCTCTTCACCATTCCCAAGCCTGCTCTCCTATTTATTTTGGGACAAGCCAGAGGTGTGGTGTGACTTGGATCCAAACGTTTGAGAGAGAGGAGTCATCTCTTAACCCAGCCTCCAGCTTTGACACAGAAACTGGTTTGCGGTGAGCTGGGATTTTTCACTCCATACGTCCTTAGGAGTAAAAGTTTCTTTTAAAACTGGTATCACGGACCTAAGCAGCAAATTAAATAAAGAGATTCCTCCCTGCCACACCCCCGGCAAGTCATAACATCATTTTTGAACGGTGATCATCAGTATAAAAACAGGCTTGGAACTTCTGCAGGATCTTTTCTCGTTATTATTATTCTTTTAAAAAGAGTCAGGTGGGTATCGGTTGTGACTTGAGGTCACCTCTTCCTGCAGGCCAAAGCAGCGTCGGTCCTGGCTGCCAGCGACTCTGGGTTAAGATGGATTCTGAGTCCGTGCCCATCTCCGTGAGATCAGGTAAATCGCAGGAGGGAGGGGAGAGGTGGGGCGGGCAGTGGCACTGCCGCGGGTCCCACCATCCTGCGTAAGGCTGAGAATTTTGTCACTTAAGTCTAAGTTAGAGTTTAGGGATTTGATTCTTAGTGTCTCCCATGAGCAAAAACTCCCCCAAACATCCTAGGAACTGACCCAAGTCTCTTTCCCTGTGAGGTGGGCCGTCCTGGCTCAATGGTGGCCTTGGAGGTGACCACCATGGCTTCCCACAGGCACGAATAATGCTAAGGGACATGCTCGCGTGTGTTTCCAGGAGGCCCCCAGACTCACATTCTGGGATGCTTTGTTCTCTCCCCCTCAAGGACTTTGTGCTCTAAGAGGGGCCTAAGATGAACACACGCTGAGCGTCTATCTTCAGAGCCCTCCCCGTGAGTCAGAAGCCTCGGGGAGGCCTGAGCCCACCTATCACGACACCCACCTATCATCTGAGCGATGGTCTTCTCATACTCCGCCACTATTTTCCTGTAAGAGAAGCAAAAACATGTTGGAACCATGACAATAGGACGGTTTCTCATTTATACTGGGGTCCATGTGCTGGGTATCAGCAGCCTGACCGAGACACTAGAGGACAAGTCTTATTTCTTTGTCATAGTTGGCTCACCCCTCTAGGTTCACCTTCAACCTCAACCCTCTTCTTGCACACCCAAGGAGGTTCATTTTCCTAGTGCAGGAGTCTGACCACACCATGCCCCTATGCAAAACCTTCCATGTGTCCCCACTGCCCACTGAGAGAAAAAATAAGACCAAATCTTCAGCCTGACAGTCCAAGCCCTCCACAACCTGAGCCTGATCACTCTCATCAAGCTTACCTCCTTCCGCGCCATCAGAAACCAAGTGGTTCAATGAGAACAAATGAGTTTTTGTTGGCTCTGGGGTTTCTCACCTCCATGACCTTCCCTGCCCTATTTCCACCTCTCACTGTCTTAGCTGCTTCTCAAGGTCCAATTCAAATGCTATCTCCTCCAGGAAGCCTTCCCTGATTTTTCCTCTGAACTTCATGACATTTTATCTGAATTTTCTAAAATGTCTCACACATCTGGTGTCATAGTATGTGAGTAGAAGCAGCTCCTCAAGGCCCAGGGGCCACTACTTAGTCACCTGTGTTGGAGGCGGGGAGATGGGGAACAGTTACACTTGTTGGATAGCTTCAACCAAACCGTAGCTACACAAAAGCACGAAGATCCTGCTTTATAAGACTGCCTCACTGCTGCCCCCAGGTGGAAAGACCCGGGGAGTGAAAAAGCCCTCCTTCCAAAGTCAACCTTCTGGAAGGAAACTCTCAAAAAAGCCTCGAGAGTTTCACTTACATTATCCAATAGTTAGTTATTCTCCACAAGAGAACCAAGAACTGCTAACCACCAACAGAGTCAGGACCCTGATTACAGCTGGTCCCAGACACTGGGGGCTCAGCTTACTCCCTGGCATGGTGAGGATTTCCCTAGACCCTGTGTAGGATCGTGGGGGAATTAAATGAGGTTAAATTGGCCAGGGAAAGCAGAAGGCACTCTGCAAAGTCCAAAGGCCTCACAGCTGCTGGATGTCTGTCACTGACCTTCTTGACCTTGGCCCCAAGGATAGTGCCTCGCTCAAGGGCCAACCCACAACAAAAAAAGTGACCACACCATGAGCCCGCTTGGGTTCTTTCTGAATCCTACAGAGAAGCAGTTTGTGTTTTCTGTAATTAATCAATACCGCCTTGTATCCCTGAATCCCAAAACGGCAACGGACATTTGGGGCTGCGCCGTCTAAACCCGTCACTGCCACGGACAGAGGCGGGGCCACAGCAGGTAAGGCATGTGTCCTTGCAGTGGTGTGGGGAGACCTGTGGTCCACAGCTGCTTCAGTGGCACTGTATTTGCATCTCGTCCTCACAGCGACCCCAAGGGGTGGTGCCCTGAGGGTCCCCAGAATTGCTGATGGGGATACTGAAGCACAGGGTCATCCAGGAACCTTTCTAGGATCTACACAGCGGCAGAGCTGGGATTCGAATCCAGGCATCCGCCTGTGGAGCCTTTTCACACCCCGTATGTCTTACTGGCCCGAGCCGCTGAGATCCACCCTTTTCCATAGACGAGGCCAGTCAGAGCTAAGGAACAGGCCCAAAGCAGCTAGGAAGCCAAGCCCGATTTTTACCTGGCCAGGTCTGGCTCCAGAGGTGGACATGTGGGCCTTCAAACACGAGTGCAGCTGTGCCAGTTGGTGACCCCTGAGTCCTACCACACTGGTGAGTAAACAGCACCCGCTGAAGCCCCCAGGGGAGCCCCCAGAGGTGGAACTTCTAGCCTTCCCAGCATGCCCCGCTTTCATGTTCAGGGCAGGCAAAAAATTACAGCCATGCTGCTCCCTCCTCCACTCCCCTACCAAAAAAAAACAAAAAACAAAAAACAAAAAACAAAAAAAAGAGAGAGAGAGAGAAAGACAAAAGAAAGAGATTTTCAAATGATGCCACCACAGGGCCTCAGTGTGAATATGAACAGCACACTGGGATTCACGTCCAGAAGTGGTCACAAAAAACATCAGGAGGAAGAAGGAACTAAGGAGAATTTTCAGGAAGATACTATTGGACCTAGAAAGCAGGGGATAGGATTACCTAAATCATTTGCTCACTACTTAAAACGGTAGCCACGAAGGCAGCCGATTCTGATAATTAACCAGCAGCTGCCACTGCAATTAAGTGCGCTGTAAATGTACTAATTCTTCAACCAATTTTTAAAAATTCATCTATTCCCTACTTTCACACTTTGAGACTTAAAAATGAAGCAAGGCTATCAGAGATTTTCTGTATACACCAGATCTTCTGTCTTGTGAAAATGGTCGCGCTCTAACTCCTACCTTCCCTTGCAACTGGAAAACCCACGTGTCAGTTCAGCTTGTGCTGCAGAAAGGCAGGTGTGTGGAGAAAATGAACTGTGCCCCCAGGAGCTGTTCTCAGACTTAGCGGTGACAGCAGCCAGACCCTGGGATGGCCAGAGCAAAGGTTTGGGCCAAAGTTTCTTTAAAAATGCCACCTGCAATACAGTTTTTAAGATCACATCCCAAGGGTAAGTTCTAGCCCCAGAGATGGTTTCTTAGCTTCTAAGATGATGATGAATCATGAAGGAAAATAAAGGGCCGAAAGGTGCATCAGACGGGACGAGGGAGGGAGGCCCCTGGGCACCATGGAAAGAGTTTGGGCTTTGGAATCAGAAAAGTAGATTCAAATTCACATTCTTCTAACTAGAAGCTCCAGGACCTTGGGCAAGTCACCTAACCCCTCTGAGCCTTCCACTGTGAGATGGGGCTGATGATCCCTTCTTGAGCGCTGTGGGGAGAAACAGAGACTGTGTGTCTCCAGCCGGAAGCACAGCACATGGCACGTGGTAGACACTTACTACGTGGTGACTACTGTACTTCTGTTACAGATGCAGCAAATGGAAATAAACCATTCAGACAAAATTCCGGAGACAACCTGTTTATCCGTGGAGACTGGTAAAGTTCCTAACATTAGAACTGTACAAGGACTATTTATTAAATGTTACACAATGAGGTCAAGTTGTATAAAAATCTGTCCAAAATTTGCTAAGTTAAGGGCGCCTGGGTGGTGCAGTCGGTTGAGCGTCCAACTCTTGGTTTCCGCTCAGGTCGTAATCTCAGAATCGTGATGTCAAGCCCCGAGTCGGGCTCCACACTCAGCGGAGAGTCTGCTGGAGATTCTCTCTCCCTCTCCCTTTGCCCCTCCCAATTGTGCTCTCTCTCTCTCTCTAACGTATGTAGAGAAATTAAAAAAAAAAAAAAGATGTGCTAAATTAAAAAAAAAAGTGTAGGATAATGTACATTTCCACTCTCCACTTTGGAAGAAAAAAGGAGTCTGTATAGGGACACATTCACACATTTGCAATCAGAAACGGAAAATTCTTGGAAGGATACACCAGAAACGGTGGAGAGCAGCTACCCGAGGGGCTGGAACCGGAGGCTGAGTGGGAAGGAGATTCGTTTTTCATGGCAAATGTATTTGTTTGTTTGCAATATTTAGCTCAGGTGCATGATATTTTATCTAAATATCTAAAAATACTAAAAATACATCTATGAAAATATAAACCTTGTCGCATGAAGAACAGTTAAGTCTTGGGAAGACCCTGTTCATAGACCGCACTAGCTGTTACGAAACCACAGGTAAGCCTCTCCCCAGGTACCAGGAAGCATCACGACTGACCTCATTTCCATCACTTCCCGCCTGCTTTCTTCGTATTTGTCCTTCCACTCCGAGACTTCTCTCTCCTTGGTTATGATCTGGCATCAGGGAGAAGAGGGAGATGAGCCCCAGAGGACTGAATTCAGATCTGAGCAATTCACAGACCCGAGATAAGGAGACATTGAATTAAAACTTCCTACACCAAACAATAGTTGTATTGAGAGAATTTCCCGGAGCATGAGACAGAAATAAACCAGATATCAGACTCTCACAATGCCCCACCAGGGAGCAACGAAAGGCATATGCCTTCTGTTATAAATCAAACAAGGCCACAGAGGCTCATTAAACAATGGTGTCTAGGAAGATCAAAGACGGTTTGCTACCCGTCTTTGCCCACAGTGGTTGCAGGACAAAGACTGTGTCCAAAGATGCTGGCCTTGTGGATCGTGTGTGTGTGTGTGTGTGTGTGTATTTATTTACATTTGGCAGAAACTGGAGCTTTCCCAGAGAAACCAGAGCCGGCCTCCCCTGAGCCACACCCATGCCATAATACCTCTGCTCTGGCAATCCGGAGTGCGGAGTCCAGGTCAGGTGGCTGGAACAGAAGGCCTGTAGGCTTCTCCACCTCAGAGGTCCCGATGCGGGAGTACAAGGCTGTTTTGGAGATGGAGACATCTGTTGGGTGAGCAGCCTCTCTCTGTGGAATGGTTTTTAATTAAAAAAAAAAAAAAGTTAATATGACTCCTATGGCAAAGAGGATTTGCATTCAGCCTCTCGTGAATGGGTCAGTTGTATGGTTTTGAAACAAAGAACATCAAAAGTATGAGAAAATGCTTGGACTGATGAGTGGGGAAAGGCCAGATACAATCTATGGAAATTGATCATTTTGCACCTGCACCGGCAGACAAAGGAGCTAATAGCAGAGGCCTCCCCAACTCCCCACTTTGGGAGTCAAGCATGTCTGGTGCTTGCTTATCACTGCCATTTATCACATGCAGAGGCATTTAGGCATAGTGCTTAAGAACCAAGGCCATTTTCCAGCAGGCTCCACTTCCAAAATAAAAGCCTGATGGTGAACGATGCTGAATTCTCATCTGCATTTGCCTAGTTTTGAATAACTGCAAATCTGATCATTTTTGTAAGACTGTCTGCATTTCAATTTGGAGGGGGGTGGGGCACGTGTTTAGCTCTGTTCGAAAGGACGTGCTCGTACAAAGCTTAAGGCCTACCGAACCTATCAACCAACGTCACCTACAAAAGCTAGTTTCTGGATGCCTCAAGGGAAGAGTTACTTTGCAGCTACGTTGCCTTAAGTTTGCTGTGTCAACGGCAAAGTTGAAATCTGGATCAATGACAATATCTACATTTGTTGGTAAGACCCTCAACAAGTGGTGGGATTCCCCACCCCCACCCACAACCGACACTGGTCTGACTGCCCAAGACAGCCACTAGCCTCCTGGAAGGGAGAGAGGAGAGGACCGTGGTTACTCTTCCTCCCTTTGCACAAAGAGCTCAGCCATTTCCATCACACTTGAAATGCCATGTTAGGAGCATCATCAACCAGCACAGCGGGGCCAGCGGTCTAATTCTACTGCAAGAGACTCCAAACCAAGCACACTCTCAGTCCTATGCATTAACCTCCTGGTGCTGGCATAGCTGCCAAGGCAAACCTGATTCCTAGAGTCCAATTCGATGTGGAGTAATGGTGATCTGCCAGTCAGAGTGTGACTGCAGCTTCCTGGGGAAATGGATGAGAAGTGAGCAGTGAACACAACACCCAGGTGGAGGAGAAAGAGAGATCTGGAGAAAGAACAGGGAGGACTGGTCTTGGAAGTGGAAGCAGACAAGATTAAAGACCCAACAATGAGGGGGAGGGGGCACCCCTGAAGGTACTCTCTCTTCCATCGCAAGAACAGGCAACCTCACCCCACTACTGGATCAGAGAACATGACCTTGAAATGACTTAGAAAACTCAGGCAGAAATTTAATGGATAGGACTGGAGATGACAGAGTTAGGCCCAGTTAGTTGTACACATGCATGGTGAATGACATGGTTTTGGTTGTCCTAAAGATGGGCTTGGGTTTCACTGGCCCTGCCTGGCCTTGTGTATTTGGGCTCCCTGCACAGGGGGACCCGAATGATTACTCCCGTCAGAGAGGGGAGGGAGCACACTGAAGGCCCTGGAGACACACTGTCCTGTCAAATGGGATGCCATGATCTTTCCATCCTCAGGTCCTAAAGCAGCCTCCATTACAGGTGACCAATGCACAGAAGCAGGCAGGCTGACCTCTCAGAAGAAAGCACGCCATCAGACCATAGGTGTGGAGCCCCTCCCGTGCATGGGTTCATCTCTGCTGTCTGAAATGTTTTCAAGGCTCTACGTGTCATATGGGAAACTTCTCAGGAAGTAAATAGAAAATTATATCCAGAGGTCTTGTTTTCGACTCAGGTCATGATCTCAGGATCATGAGATCGAGCCCTGCCTCCTTGGGCTCCGCGCTCAGCCGGGAGTCTGCTTAGGACGTGCTCTCCCTCTCCTCTGCCCCTCCGCCTGCTTGCTGTCTCTCTCTCAAACAAATAAGTAAATAAACCTTGTAAAAAATTTTTTTAAAAAAAGAAAATTATACCCAGACAATAAGACGCTATTTGTCTTCGTGGAGGAAATTCATAGAGGAAAGATTCTGAAGAGGATTGAAAAAAAAAAACAAAAAACAACAAAACTGTTCCTGTCACTTTTTAAGTAAAATAACGTGTCCTTTGAAAAAAAATTAGAATAAAATTTCAAAATGGAAAGAACACTAGACACCATCTAACGAATCGTGGGCCTTTGGAAGATGAAAAAAAAAAAATGGAAGATTTAAGGGATTTGGCCAAAAGGTTTCCCAGAATGAGATTCAGTTCTGACTCCAAACAAGCCAGCTCTCTGAAGTGCGAGGGGAAATGAACTACAACTAACTTTATCATGCTGGGCAGAAACGAAATCCGACCAGTGCAGGAACTGATGATCTTAAAGCTGCCTAAGTCTTTTGTACAACAAGGAAGGGAATGAAAAATAAATACGTTAATGAGCTTTCTAAGTAAACACAACGGTTAACCACCACATACAGTGACTCATGATCACCTTTCACCCCAGCCACCTGGTGTTTTCAATAAAGGAACAGATGACTTCAGAATCCATTTGAATTACTGCCTGGAGTATCTGCATGTTAATGAAATTCAAGGTACACACCCTGGTTTTCTCTTACAACCAAGAATCATTTCTAACAGAGATCGGTTTGTTTCTCGCTGATATTTTAACATCAGGCTTAGATTAAGCTTTGCTTCTCCTGCATAAGGCCCCACTGGCTGCTTTGGGGGAGCCCAAAAGCCAAGAGAATCACAAATTAAAATGTGAAACGGCCACAACTCGGAAAGAGCATGAGCCTTTGGAACCAACTTCCAAACCCTCAATCCACTCACTCACATCTGGGTCCCTCAGGGGACCCTGAGGGTGCCATCACCCTCAGACCTGCAGACCGCATGCCTGAGGCCTTTCTGGCCTTGCAGTCTCGCCACTTACCCAGGCTCACAGTCCTCCTCATGCCTGGTTCCCTGTTGCTAGGCCTCAGGAGAAGCTGACACCTGGAACCAAGGTGGAACCACAGCAAGCTGGGCCATGGTCATGGAGAGTGGACCAGGCTGGGCCCTTGGGGGGTATCCAGGCTACGTGGCGCCAGGTGGGGCAGGAGAAGGGTCTCTCCTTGGGGAGCTGCGGCATCCAAATTTGACAGCAGCTCGGGATGACAAACAGGAGGGAGACACTCAGTATGTGCCCTACTTAAGGCCCACAGGAGGGACCACCAGCCACCCAACTGGCCACTCCTTCCCGCTGAGTCAAGACATGGCCTCCAGCCTTCTCACCACAGGCTGTGAGCGATGACCGCCAATTCCCCATCCGGCAAACAGAAGCTGAAACCCAGGTGCCAGGCCTCTGTCCCTGCTCTTCAGACCTGTTCTTGCAGCTTTCAGGCATCACGGTGTGAAATGCCGGGGGTGGTGGGTGGTTTCTGGACACAGCACTAGGGAAGGAGCCCCTGCCGTCAGGCCACTCACCAATTCAGGTTGTCCCAGACCTAACTCCGTCTCCCCCCGACCCCGTAAAATCCAGGTCTGCCTTTATCGGCCAGGACTCCTGGAGAAGGAGAAAGATTAGTACCCTTTCCCTCCCAAAGGGCCTGCTTCTGGGACTTCCTCTGGTCCTGAAGCTTGCCATTTGTATGATCCCTGTTCCCACATGACCCAGACACATCCTTCATTCTTTATATCGGGTCTCCTCATCCAGAAAGGGCAATGGCTTTAGGGATCGCCACCAGTATCTGTTTATACACGGATTAAATCCATCCCCCACACAACTTGTACCCCTCGCAAAGCCACAGAGAAAGGACAATGCCGTTCTATCCATCCTGGTTACATTCGGGGCTGTTGTACCGTACAGCCGGCCACCCTGGTCAGATGAACCCCAGGAGGATACAACTGAATTCACTTGAGCCAGAAGTGTGTGGAAGACACAGTAAGGAGCTCCAGCCCAATAACCCCAGCCCCACGGAGTCTTCCTCATCTATTAACGTTTTCTGACTAATGAGACAGGAAACCCCACTGCGGTCCTTCGAAGGTCCGCTCAGCTGGCTTTCAGTCTACAGGGAAATGTCAAGTGAAGCTGCTCAAGGAGTGACCAGAAACCACCGCCACCATATTTCATGCTGCTTTCAGCCCTCCAAGTGATTTCTTTTTATTCCAAGTGATTTCATTTTTGTGTTAGCAACAGTTTAAGACCATGCTGCCAAAAAGACTGGGCTAATGTCACCTGCAGCTGAAATTTATGGGCAGAAAAAAGAGCAAATTGGATACACAGCTGCTGTTTCTTTGTCTACATCAGCAATTTCCAATGCAGGGAAGGGCGATCAAGCGTCTACGTGAGCAAGAAACCCACAGGAACCTAAAAAGTGGTACAAGTTACCATGGCAGAGAAAAATGCTCCTTACTCTCTCAGTTTCACCCCCACCAACGTTTCTTCTAGCAGATCCTTCTGAAATACATAAGGAGGTGGCTGGGCCTGTCCCTCCGACCCCCACACAGTGGATTCACGTGTCAATATTTTCTACATCAAAAGTGGGACATGGGGTCTGAGAACTGACTATCATTTACAGGAAGTCAATGGCCAGCCAGTATTTGCCGACTGTGCTCTCTGATGCGTCCCCAGAGGAAGGAGGCAGGGGGGCACCAGGCACTCTGGAACATTCCACACTCAATCTGAACTCTTACTAGAACATGCTCAATCCTGCTTCAAACTTCTGGACAGGAATATACTGTAGTTACGGTGGCCAGACCTGAAGCCATTCATTCTGTCCTTAAGCCACTCCCCAGAGATATCAAGAAACAAATCTAATGGGGAAACAAATCCTCACAGCTTGATGATTTCTAAAAATCTTTCTCATGGAAACTAAACCCAAGCTCATGGGTTGACAGCAAGAACAAGGATGTCAGTAACGTGTATTAATGTTCTCATCCCTGCCCCGGGTCCCAGCATCCCCAGTCTGGACACCCACAGTGTGACCACCTTCTCTCACTGAGAGATTCTCTGGGAGGGAGCCCCCCCCCGCCTTGCGGACAGTTTCCAGGGGAACCACACGGGCAGGAGCAGCCCATGAACTCCTGATCCTGTACCAAGTGAGCTATTCCTTGAGATGGGACAGGCAAGGGGCTCCCATTTGGAGACTGGAGTCCTAGTTCCCACTGGGTCAGTAAATCACTCTCAGACCTCGGACCCGTTCCATGACTCCACTTCCCCATCTGTAAAATGGGACCTGGACCGCCTCCCCCCCCCCCCCCCCCGCCCCCTATAGTAGAGATGCTGTGAATGTCCAATCCGGTAACAACGGCAAAAGTGAAGCTTTGCTACCCAGAGCCACTGTCCTTTACTGCACACCTACTGTGTGCCAGGCACGGCGCCGTCCTCCACACAGCATCTGCAGCCCTTACAGTAACCTGCAAACGCACTGTTAGTAGCCTCATCTCACAGCTGCAAAAACAGAGGTCCAAAGAGGCTCACCAACACGTTCAAGGCCACAGAGCATGCTGGGCTGCCCAGTGCAGGGTGCGGCATGGGGGTGGCCACAGCTCCCCATCAGCCTGGAGGGGTGGCCTGAACCTCAGAGGGGCCACAGTTTTACACACCTTCAGCAACTCATTCAAATTGTTAAGAAAAATTACTCCAAACTTAGCAGCTAGGCAAAAAGATTTCTGCATGCTCTGTCAGTATCTTACTCTACTCTAGAGCGGGGCTTGGCCAACGATGGTGGACGGGCCAAATGGCCCGTCCTCTTTGGTAAAGAGGGTTTTACTGGAACATGGCCACACCCATTCATCTACACATTATCTGTGGCTGCTTTAAGCTACAACGGCAAAGCAGAGTAGCTGCAGCAGAGACCAGATGGCCCGCTAAGCCTAAAATATGTACCATCTGCCCTTTATAGAAAAGGGTTGCTTTTCTGTATTTCTATTGACTTTGGCCTAAGGGCCCGTCCAAGGTTTCAGGAAGGTCTCGGTTTCACTATTTACTATTGATTAGGGTCCGGGCTCAGTGCGGTTAGATATCCACTAGTAGAAAACAGAAAATTTGCAAATGATTTTTGTTCAGTAGAGAAGCAAATGGTTTTTGCAGAACACAAACAAACAAAAAGCCTCCAAGGTTATAGTCCATTGTCTTGTTTAGCCAGTATTAACCAGTTTTACATTGAACTTTGCAGTAAGACTGCAATAAGATGCTGGCCCTCTTTGTTCCACTGACTCTGTATCGGGTTCTCCCATTCTCCTCCATTCAACCTGCTTTACCACCCTGCTGTTCCCTTCATTACTGAGGTAAGCAGATCTTAGACATGTGCTCAGCGTCTATTTATGTGAGAGTTATGCTTTTAGCTTTTCAGAAAATTTTATGCTACTTTGTAGGACCCTGACATTGCCTGCTTAGCCAGTGGTTAGCAAAGGAACTTCTGGATCACACCACATTCTCAAGAGGCAGCGCACGGCAGCAGCAAACCCGTACCTTGGTGTCCTGGCGGCTACGGGAAGCCAGGGCAATCTGCCTGGCTAGCTTCAGGGCTTCTATCCGCATGACGGCAAACTCTAACTCCTCCTGTCCGAGGGGTGGGGGATGAGCAAATCGCAGGGGAAATGCATCAAGACAGGATGTCAATGTGTCCCACATCCAAGAAATGAATGTGCCATGTGAATGTGTCATGACAGGTACTCAGGAAAAACACACGTCTGGCTTTCTTGCACAATTAACACCTCAGCAGATCATGAAATAAGTGTTTAATTTCTTTTCTTTCTTTTTTTTTTTTTCTATAATTGCCCTTCGGAATGTCTGTCGGGAAGGATCGTGTGGTCAAATATGAGATGATTTTTACAATGGGATCAAAATTTTTACTGCACTGTTTCCTTCGATTTTTTTCCTTTTTGTTTCTTTAATTAAGTCAAGATGGTCAACAGTTTCCATGAATGGTTTTGCATTCTCAAATGACTGTGAACAATCTGTCCAGGTTTGCTCTGAAGGTCTTAGTCTAGAGGGTATCAAATTAAGTTGTCAAGTTTAAGGCACAGAGTAGCTAATTGTTTTGGTTCCAGATGTGAGACCGAGTCCAGATGTTATCTCAATGGGAGTCTGAGATAGCCTCCCCGCGCATATATATAAACAGCTTGACTCGATGGTGATCTAATACCCTTGGTTCTGTGAATAAATCACAGAAACTGCTTTTGGGGTTATCAAAACTTCTGAAAAATGACTGTTTGGGTCCAATTTCCCATTTGAAATACAAATGGTTTGTCCCATATGTAATCACACAATTTATATCATTTTGGCATCTTGGATCAAGAACACCCGTACATCAGTCTTTGAGGGGAAAGAGATTTCATTTGGAGCATTTCCAGCAATACCTCGTTAGATCCTGCCTCACTGCATTTGGGGTTCGGAGTTCATTCTCTACTGAGGTTTTCACAAACTCCCAAAAGGTCACACGTGGGCTACAAACCTGAAGTTTCTGGGCAAATACTGGGGGGTTCTTTTCTGCTAAGTCGGGTTCCAGATAGTCAAGCGCACCACAGAGAGAGGCTGGATGAGCTAGCCTGCTGAGAAGGGCGTCAGCAGAGGCAAAGGAGCCCTCAGGAGCTGTCTGAAGGCCGGCAGAGGACACAGAGGAAAAATAGAGGAGACACAGAGTGACATCGATTCCGAGCAAGGACCACGCACCTAGTTGCTGGACATTTCTGACTTAAGGCTAAAGAGAGTATTAAAATTAGGTGCCGCTACTTTCCTTTCCATCCTAATTCCCACCTGCTGACGATGGGCATCTTGAGCTTGACAGGCTCCCCACCCACCCACGCCCCCCGCCCCGGAAGCACAGCCTTAGGTGCCCACCCACCCCCACGCCACCCTCGCTCCCTAACCAATCGGTGGGAGGAAAGTCACCATTTACTTATTTATTTGAAAATCTCAGTGGGGGAGACAAGGCAGTTGATGGGTTTTCCAAACATAATATAACTCATCAAGAAAACACCTCCAAGTATAAGTGTCAAAGGTTTTGATAAAGGTCATTTTCTAAATAACAGAAAGACGATTTCAAATGAAAAAGTGTTTCTGGGTACACTGGGAAGACTCCAAGGTCAGAAGCCAACTTTGTAGAAGTTGAGTCATGCACGAGTTCTTCCATAGTGTGTATTTGAGAGACTGAGTCACATCTACTTTCTTCTTGCTTACTAATATTTTCCAAGTATTTAACTGCCACACAGTAGGTGCTCAATAAATATCTGATGCGTGAGAAATGAATGGTCTACTAATATAGAACAACACAAGTTAACGCTAAAAGTAACTAAGTCAAGGGCTTCAAACCCTCTTGGGGACTGCTGGGAAGGAGGTAAAAGAGAGAAAAATAAAAATTCACCTAGAAGGATGGCCCATTTTAGATGTTCAGGGGGTCTATTTGCTCTGCAAGGCTCCAGAGGGGTTGGGAAGGGAGGGATATAAATAGGTCTGTAAACAGCAGGGACTTCTCCTCACCAACGCCCAGGAAAACCAAGTGTTTCCCAAAAGGAGTGTCCCCTGCCCTACCATTCTCTGCCCCCTGACCTAGAGTACAGAGAAGCAGGGTACAGACTGATGTCACCTCCAAAGCAACAGTCCAGCCCCAAGGGACTAAAATGGAAATCAAGAACCCCGAAGGCAAATAAAGCAGTGAGGTAAGAACTCCAAACCACACTGGTGAAGATGAAGAGCTTTTCTCTCATGGCTAGGGTGTGGGGTCTCCGAGGCTGGCTTCTGTGGTCTAGGGACTGGGGTCGGGGGGGGCCCATGCCATTGCTCTGAAGGGCTGAACCCTTTGGTGATGGGACCCAGCTGGCCCAGGCCTCAGCCCCAGTGATCTTGGGCCCCTCCAACCCCACTTACAATTTCAATCGCGTCTGAAGCAGTGCCCAAGGTCATGACCTCCAGCTCCTTCTGGGAGGATTTCTCTGGCACCTGCAAGTGTGGCTCTTGGTTGGGAGCCAGTCCTCGTGTGACAGGATGCTGGATCTTTGCCCCAGCGTTTACAAGGGCTTCAGTTTCCTCAAAACTCGACCTGAGGAAGCAAAGAGCACCTTTACTTGTCTCATTGGAAAGCCCACTGAAATTGACCAGGATGCCCCGACGCAATCACCATCCCAAGGGATCCTGCACTTCCAGAGCCACGTTCCCAGAGGGAAACTGGGCCGGGTGTTGGGTGGCCCGGGAGCCTGTAGGCTGGAGAGCCTGTGGGAGAGGGTGGTCCAGCCTCACCCCAGGGCCCGCTGACAAGGGAGGGTCAGGAGCACAGATGCCACTGGCTAAGGGCACAAGTTGGAGTTAAGCAGACTGCCTGTCCCTCGGCGTGCACCCTGGCACAAAGGCACAAGTCAGCTCGGCTACAGGTGGCCTGAACATGCGACAACATGTGTCCTGCATCTCAGTTTCTTTTTCCGTAGGACAAGAGATGAGACAGGGCTCGGTGAAGGTCAAGGGAGATACTGCCTGCATGTGAAGCACCTGACATGGTCCCCGTCACCATGACTATTGCTGGGACATCACCACCGTCATACTCAATACCCTGGGTGGATTCGGAAGTCGGTTCGGGAAATCAAAGCAAGAGCTTTCCCTCCCACTCAGAGAAAGGGGCAGTTAAGGGGATGGGAGGGTCACAGCCCCAGAGTGGTGCCCCTCCCTTACCCCATCCAGCACCACACGGCTCAGAACAGGACCCTAACCAGTGCTAATTCACAGCCACGTTAACAGCGAGTGAATGTCTACCCAGCACTTCGCTTTCCTTATAGCCTCTCTGTTTCATCCTCCCGGTGGCTTTGGAGGACAGGCACCCCCAGCCCCACTGCACAGTTGGGGGGTGCCTGGAAGACTGAGAGCCTCATTTAATCCTCATGAAATTCATACAGGGTCCATTTTATGACTACCCTCATTTTACCCACGAGGAGACGGCAGCACAGGAGGGTCAGATAACCTGCATCAGGTCACACAGCCAGTGAGGGGCAGGAGAGGGACTCCGGGTCTGAATGCTGCGGCACGCTGCCTCCCCAGGGGACAAATCACAAGACAACATTGTGTGTGCACCGGGTGGGGGGGGGGCGTGATCGAAGGTGCTCACGCAGTCAGGTGTTAACCGGACAAAGGGTAGCCTTACCGGTAACACCCCCACCCCGCTTGTCTGTCTGCAGGGATCCTCAGAGACCCGGATGTGGGCTCCCTGAATACATCAATGCAAATGAAACCACGCCGGGATAGCAGTGCCAGGGCGCTCAGAGCCCGACCCGAAACACTCTCCTCGTGGAAGCCGTACCCTGAACACGGCGTCGGGGACTCTGACGTCCGGACCGGGGGAGACTTGACGGGGCTCTCCTGAGAAGCGTCAAACATAAGGTACAGGGCCTGCTTCTTCGGGGCATCATCGTCCTGCTGCAGGGATCAAAGGCACAAGTCAGCTCGGCTACAGGTGGCCTGAACATGTGACAGAAATGAAAACCAGAGCTCTTTTCAACAGAACAAATAACTCATCAGGGAAAAGCCTCCATTCTTCTTGGGCCACCCAGAGGGAGGAGCAAGCCAGGGCTGGCCAGGGGAGAGGAGAGGAAAAGGGGAGGGAAGTTGCGAGCGTGTGCTGCTGAGAACAGTGTCGAGGGGAGAGGGATCATAATGGTGTCAGGGTGCTGCACGCTGTTCCGTCCACCAGCATTTACTGGCCACCCGTCTGGACGGGCAACCATGCGGCCACTGGGGACAAACACAGGGGTAGGCAAGCCCCCAGCCTAGGCAGTGCCCACAGTCAGATGGGGGGTGGGGGGCCGAGCATGATGGCCCAGTGTGGTGAGCGCCTCCAGCATGGGCCGCTGACTGTGGGCCAGAAGCCGCAAGCCCAGCATCTACAAATGATGCAAAGAAAGATAAAAGATAGGAGCAGTATGTCCGGGCCAACAGTATCACAGCAAGCCCTCCTGGGGCCCTCGGGGCCTCAGGGCCTCGGACAGCATCACTGGACAAAGGCACAGCACAAGAGGCCATGCTCGGAACCAAGTGCCCTCCAGGCAGTAGACAGGGAGCCAGGGAGGACAGCTACCCATCACAGCCACTTAAATGCAAAAGGGATGGCGGGTGTGGGGGAGAGAGACTTCTTGCCAGAAGAGCCGATCTTCAGTTACATAAAGCAATTGATTTGAAGGAAACAGGTAATAGGACACCTTAAAAACCACCAAACCACTGCTACACCCTTTTAAGGAAACCTCTGACTAGTTCTTTCTCAGTCTGGGTAAGTAATGATGCAGGAAGCCTAACTGCATTCTCTTTGCTCACTTAAAATGCCATGTGAAGTGGGCCGAATACAAACCTCCAACCCTCAGTCCCAGTTCACCCCTACTGTGCACCCAGGACGCTGCGGGCACAGAGGACCCTGGATCTGGGACCCGAGCTCAGGAGGAGGCCAGCGGCTGCATTTTCGCAAGACAGGGAGGGAAAGCAAGTCCCCTGCTAGTCTGAGGCAGGACTTACAGGTAAGGAGGAGCCAATTTTCTCCATATATTCAATTTCATAGGGGTTTCTGTAATCCAACTCTGCAAAAGAAACAAAAGGAGAGTTAGTGTCAGAAAAAAAAATTTTAAAAACAAGGAAAGGTTTGGGCCAGGCAGGGTGGGGTCTGGAACCAGACTCTAAACTCTGAGCCTAGCCACGACTCAAGGTTTCCGATTCGGCTGGAAGGGGAGGGCAGCTCAGCCATCTTCAGACCACTCGTAAACCACTTGCAGCAAAGGGGCTCCTGCCATTTGGGCGCCTGAGAGTCCAAGGGAATTAAGTCTGAGCAGGAACGGATCTGAGCGCTATGCACCGAGTTTTCAGAACAGTCTATTTTGAGTGTTGCTTTTCTCTGTGTCTCACGTGCAATGTGGAGAACGTTCCCACATCCTGACAACATTCGGAACTGGCCCCACCGCGGTCCCTCTCTGAAAATGTAGCCCCGGCCTTACTTCGAGGCAAGGGAAGAACATATATCGTTCCTGCACTGCTGCTTGTTGAGAGGCTTTGCAAGTCACCTGGAACACTTCCTGAGATCCTGCCAGTGCCCGCAGGGCTGGTACAAATAAGATTTTCAGATGCAAAGACTATGAGAGTCCAATTAGGTAGAGAAATGACCTATTTCAAATTGACTGGAAGGGAAACTTGAGAGGCTCTCACTGGAGACAGGAAGTCCTGGGTCCCTCAGGTCCCCGGGCGGGGGTTCCATGAGGACACCCAGCTCTGCCCCTCAGCGGAAGTCCCTGTCTACGGAATGGATTCCAAGCACGCATGACGTGCTGGGCACGGTGGATGTGGTGGTGAACAAAACCGGAAACAAAATCCTCAAGGAAGCCACATCCACAGCTACCAGATGGTTCTTTCCTACTTGAGAAGGAAACCAAGAGGTCACAAGTGACCCACTCAGAAGGCAGCTCTACAAAAGCGTACGTGGCAATCCCTACTGCCTGCATTCTTTTTTTTTTTTTTTAACATAACATGGAAATAGCCGTTCTGCTTTAAAGCACCTCTATTTCTGCATGTGGCTGAAGGCATCGCTTAAACAATGATTCCGTAATATGAGCTTTAAGATGACACATCTCCTGGAAGACCATCCCCAAACCGGCAAGTGTGCGGGGATGTGGCCATATGAACTCAAGCACTGAACACACGTGGACAACTCTTCAGGAGTTTCTGAATCTCCCTGATGAAACCGATGCCTCCTTCCAGTGGGCTTGGCCTGCCCAGGGGTTCGAAGACGGTTTTGTGCATTAGCGGCCAGAAAGACCCCATGCGTCCCTCAGGCCTCTGCCCTGATTTGTGCGTCACCCGGGAAGAGCAGAGACTGACGCAAACCCCACGCGGCTGGGCTGCAGTTTAGCGCCTGGGACTGGAATGGGCATCCTTTCTTAGGACGTACAAGTATTTGTTTATGAAGACTTCCTGTCTTCCTCATCTTGTAAAGGAGAGGTAAGCTAGGGATGGTGAAGGACAAAATGATTTCTAGAGCCACCTCCAGATCTCTCACTTTCCAGATGTAGGACCTCGGGACTATTATTTTACTGTCCTATTAAAGACAGTTTTAAGTTGAGAAGATAACAGTGCATCCGTTGCCTCCTTCTCCAAGGTTATCATTATTAGCACCAAGGAATTATTTAACCCTAAATTATTTAACGAAACCCTTCAGCACACCCGCAATGGCATAGAGCACCCAGGATGCACCCAACAGGCTAAGAGCCACCACAGAGATATTTCCAGGGACTGAGGCCCTGGGTCCATGCCCAGCTCCGGTGACCAGCGCAGCTCGATCAAGCGTCCCTCCTGGAACCTTAGCTGGTCCCCTGGCAGCTGATCAGGGGGAGTTTCAGGTCACCGAACTCATTTATCTGCCTTCTTTCCCACCTGCCAATGGGGTCTCCCTTCCCACTGCCCGGTGCCCCCCATCCCGCCCTTCAGAGGCAGCAGATGACAGTACAACAGTGGGGGATTATCTGACCCCCCCCCCCCCGAGGAATGTCTGCATCGTAGCGTGTGTGGTTACAGGAGGCCTGCACTCTGCACAGGAACTTCAATCCCTGGTGATGCCGGGAGGTGTTCCTTCAGCACATGGCCTGAAACTGCCAATCGTAGCCATTTGGGGTTCTCATGTATAATTTACAAAATGACCCAGGGGCGCCTGGGGGGGTTCAGTCGGTTAAGTGTCTGCCTTTGGCTCAGGTCATGATCCCAGGGTCCTGGGATCGAGCCCCACGTTGGGCTCTCTGCTTCTCCCTCTCCTTCTGCCCCTCCCCCTCCGACCCACTCGTGCTCTCTCTCTCTCAAATAAATGAATAAAATCTTAAAAAAAAAAACCTGGAAAAGATGTGAAGAAAAACAAACCCTCTTCTTGTCATCCATATCATCTCCTGTGCTTTGAAGGAACATCTTCCTGAACGTTGTTTTCAAAATTTCTCTCATCTGCTTTCAATGCTAAGCCTCAAAGGGTGAGCTTGGAGGGGGAGCCATGTCTGGCTTCGGCTGTCACACGCAGCCGGGGGGCTGGGAAGGGTGATGCCAGTTACACCATGTGGCCCAACACCTTTACCTCCAAGAGAAGAGGCCTCTTGCTAAGGCATGTGCCGCCTCACACCATAGAGGCCCAAAGTATTTTTTTTTTTAAGATTTTATTCATTTATTTGACAGAGAGAGAGGGAGAGAGCACAAGCGGGGTGGGGGGTGGCAGGCAGAGGGAGAAGCAGGGTCCCCGCTGAGCAGGGAGCCCGACGCGGGGCTCGATTCCAGGACCCCTGGATCATGACCTGAGCCGAAGGCAGATGCTTAACGACTAATCCACCCAGGTGCCCCCCGAAGGTATTTTTAATGGGTCCTGTCATCTCTGAGGGCTGCTTCCGGTAATCATTTCATGCTGGTCAACACACCATGAGAGGGGCCAGTGGCTGTCCTCTGACTCCAACTTCCAGAGCTTGGCTGGGAACCGGGCAGAAGCTGGAGGATGCGGTTGAGTCCAGATGGTCATTCCCAGGGTCGGGGGGGCCAAGTCCCTGACTTCCCCTGCCTACTGACTAACCTATACAATGCAGCTCAAAGTGTCCACATTTTGCAAAAAAGTTAATGATGTCAGGTAAGAGTGCTACCATGTGCTATACAAACCTAAGGGATTGTGACCAGGTATATTACAACTGCTCATGGCTAGTATTTCTGGAAACTTTTAACATAAGTGATGAGAGAAGAGACCCTTTGTTAGGGGACAAGGACAATGCTCCCAATGTCCTGTCACTCTTCTGAATGTCTGTAGTGTGACAGCAATGGTGTCCACCACAGAAGAACAGTTAGGTTCCTGAGGGGGACACCTTCCCCCCGGTTGGAAGCGGGAAGGTGAGGCTGGATGTCACTGCGTGTTAGGGAGACAGGGTTGCTGGGTGACCCTCAAAGGCCCACCCAGACTCGTGAATCTAAAACACTGCTCTCCTTGGGTCTCTTGGACTCGACCTGGGAGAAGCTTTGGAGGCTCCTAATCTTTGCATCCCTACGGACCACATGGACTAGGTTTTTTTCCCACTACGTTTCCAAAGACTGCACCAGAAGAGGCCATTTACTAAGCAAGCGTCCGAAGAAAAACATTTATAATTGCCAATCTGACTTTTTAATGAGTGGGAGATGATCAGTGTCGCCACCATGAGCTAATGTCATTACTGCCCAGACACGTCATTTTAATTAGCTGGGCATCTTTCTAAACTAGTTCCATCCAGGTTTCTCAGACTACTCAGACAGCGTGAAGCTCTTGTGGACCCAGGTAGGGAAGCACTGCTGAGTTCAACACCCTCTTTCTAGAGACGATGAGAGAAAGCCTACAGGGTGCTCACGTGCAGGAGCGTGGTGGGCAAGAGTGGGACGCTTCGGAGTCAGGCAGCCCTGATCTAGGGGGGCTAGCCCCACATCGCTCAGCAAGTTGTAATGGTGCAAAGCCTGTGCTTTCTTGCTCCTAGGTGAGGAGGAGCAGAAATCCACTCTCTAGAACTGAGAGAACGAAATGAAATCATGTGTACGAGAGCCTCAGCGGGGCTCAGAGCGCTGCACCAGTGACAGCTCGTAACTATTGTCACTTAGAGAATTGGCCCTGTAGTAAATACCTGGTCAGGGGCTCATTATTTCTAACCCCAAATCTCATTCCCTGTGATTTGTGACTTCCCTGTAATAAAGCTTCAATCACAGCCACAGCTCTGGCCAGATTCTTTCTGGTGATGACATCAGCACCCCAGGGGCATGTCTGCACTGGACCTCCGTAAGTTAACAGGAAGGATGATCCCAAAGTGGGGCTGGGCATCCAGTTTCTACATCCACCTGCTGGCGGGAAGCAGGCTGTATTACAAAGGTGAATGCAGGGTCGGCACCTCCTGAAACTCTAACTGTCCCTTATTACGTACAGATGACGGATTTCTGATTGCCCGCCAGTTGTAATTTTGGTCGGGATTTCCCGAATCTTCCCAATTATCTTCTAAAGAGGCAGGTTTCATAGAGCTTTGTTTCAAATGTACAGATTTACCTCTTTGTTGAGTTTCTGCAGAAAATAAGCAACGATCAAATATGTCACTGAGCTAGTGAGGTATCTGTTTTGGTTCCATGTCAAAGATGAACAAACATGCTAGCACGGATTGGGACACCTACTGGCTTAACAGGTATTATTAGGATTTTTATATTTTCTATTAAAAATGCATGTATTGGGGTGCGGGGATGGCTAAGTCAGTTAGGCATCTGCCTTCGGCTCAGGTAATGATTCCAGGGTCATGGGATGGAGCCCCACATCGGGCTCCCTGCTCAGCGGGGAGCCTGCCTCTCCCTCACCTTCTGCTTGCCGCTCCCCCTGCTTGTGCACTCACTGTCAAATAAAAATCTTTAAAAAAAAAATGCACATCGTCATCATTACAGCATTAAGTGAGCTCAGAGCAGCCCGGACCAAACGTGGGAGACAGGGCATGGGGCACTACAGAGGCAGCGAAGGGGGGGCATGCACGGGGCAAAGTGGTTCCATCCAGTGGGGCTTGTGGCCCAGGTGTGTGTGCAGAGGAAAGGCCTGAAGAGGGTCGGAAGCCAGGTCCCAGGGCGCCCGGGGTCAGGCTGCAGTGAGATGGTCACTATCAAGCCTCCCAAACCCCAACCTGAGGGCCAACCAGACAGCCTACCAAAAGGCTCTGTTCCACAGAACACACAACGCCAAAACACCCAAGTACACATAACTTGGAGGGTCTTTCCATCTTCAAAGCGTAGAGAAGTAGTGCGGTGAGAAGGTACGCATCCAACCGCCCCCCCCCTGGCCAAACGAAATGGACCTCACTCACGTCGTTCGGAGACTTGATGGGTACAAAAAGCAAGCTGCCAAGTGGCCAGGTCATGGAAGAGCGTGCAGAGGAAGCGATCCAAGCTACCCAAACTACCCGCTCTGGGTGACACCACCGCCTGCCTGGAGGAGCCAAAGGCTGCTTAATGGAGGTGGTGGTTCCTTAGCAGCAGACAAGGAGTGCAGGTAAGATTTTCACGTGCGACGGCCTTAATATTGATTTCTACGCATTTTTTTTTTTTGAATGCTTGGATATTAAGATCTTGGAGACTGAGAACCATCACAACAGTCCTGAGTGCTGGAGGGAAGCTCACAGAGGGGCAGGAGCAAGAAAGAGCACCATCAGACCAGGAGGTGGTTTCAGGCCTCAGCAGCTTTCCGGATGAGAAAGGAACGTGTGGGAGCCAATACAAAGATTCAGAAAAATCAGTGTTCATGGAATAAGCAGTTTACCAAAAAAAAAAAAAAAAAAAAAATCTTGATTCACCAATCATGTTGTGTTGACTTAAGATAGATGAATTTTTCAAAGGATCAGGCAGAAAGCTGAAAGCGAAAATATGTGTAGGAGGAAAAAGATCTTGATGAGAAAACAACATGCCCGGGGGCCTGTTCAGGAAAACGGTCCTCTTGTTAGCAAGCCTGGAGTGAACCGTCTGGTTTGGGGGCTTGAGTGGAAGGCGTGGCCCCACTGTGGAGCATCCTGTGGGGCTGATGCACAGTGGTGGCCCCGGGGGACCCCAGGCCTGGGCAGGGATTGACCCACACAGAGCATTTGGCTTGAATGGCGCTTCTTGCAGCTGGGTGTGTTTCAAAATCACCCAGGCCCATAAGAGAGAGAGAGCAAAACTTGAGTGAGCTCAGGATGAGAATCAGGGCGGGGGGGGGGGCGGATCCTGAGCTGACTGGCTCTCAGCTAACATCTCGGGGTTGGGGTATAGCTGGGTTCAAGCCTTAGACTGTCTTAAAATGCAGGCTTAGCTTGGAGTACCCGGATGGCAAGGCAACCTGGCTTGGAAGTTTCTTTCCTGGCCTTGCACTCCCCAGGGGCAGTGGTCTGCAAGGCAGGGTGGGGGTCTGGCTGACCACCAAGGTGCTTACCCTCCGTGGGTGAGTTGAATTTGGTGTCATTGACGAAGGTGGACAGGTCCGAGGGCTGCGGGTAGTCCTGTTTGTCAGCCTCCAGATCCACCGTCACACACGTCCACTTCTGGTTGGTGACGGCCAGCTTCTCCTCATCGGTGGCGTGGACCACCGCAGAGATGACCGGCGTTTCTGGTGTTGCCGCTGGCGTGGGGTCCTGGGAGCAAAAGAGAAGCAGTCTCTCCTCTCACACGGTCTCTGCATCCCCAACGGCACCCGCCCACCTGAGTCTGGGGGCCCTCTAACCAGGGCAGGTCCCTATCCAGCTCCTCAGCAGGTCCTCGGACTCTGCTCAAAACGGTCCCAAGGAGGCAAATTCTTTCCTCTGTGAATTCGTGAATTTCCTTTCCTGACGGCTTGTTATTGGGGTGTGGGGGCGGGGTGACCGTGGGTTTAAAAAAAAAAATTGGGATTGTGTGTCTGGGTTATTGGAGACATTCCTGCTCATTCACCTTGAGAAAAAATAAGGAAATTAACTTATTGGCACTTTTATTACTGCAACTACTGTGTTATGTCCACACAGTGCTTCAGGGCCTGTGAACTGATCTCATCAATATCGCCTGTCGATCTACATGCCTGTCCCTGGAGGATTTGCACAGAAGGGGAGCAGCTGAGTAGGGCAGGGGTGGGGGGGTGCCCAGAAGTGTTAGAGCAGAGCTGGGACTGGGACCCCAGACCTCTCTCCTGGGGCAGGGTGCCTTTCTGTGCAGCCCAGCCGGACTACGGTCTGCTGGCTGGGACGTCGCTGGCTCAGATGGGAGCCTGGCATACCTGCCCGAGGCCAACCCTCCTCGGTCTGTCATGGCGTAGATCTCATAAAGGAACTAGTTAGGGGGGAAAGGGCCCAAACCCCACTTCTTTAGGGCGTGATTTCCTTTATCTCCCCACTTGGATTTTAGTTACATAATCCAGTGCTCTTGACACTCAGTTCTTTCCACTATATATTCATTTACCTCCAAGGACTTTCTCAGTTTAGTATTCATAGAAGTTCTCAGCAGATGAACTGGCCAGAATGGATCCGCATGATTCCCACAGAACCCACCCAACACTTCTGCTGAACATCTATCTTTCTACTCTCAGGACATACTCTGATCTCTTCCAAAGGGAAGGGAACAAAACGATGTCTTGCAAACAGTAAGGGAGCCCCCACGTACGAGGCAAAAAAGGATGCTGGGAACGTGCCCGTGATGAGCAGAAAAGACAGCTCTGGCTGACCAGCAGGGAATCAAAGCGCATGGGCTTTAGCTGCTTGGGTGAGGGATAAAATCATACATTTCAAGGGAACACTGTACCTGAGAAGGTGGATCAGAGAGAGGAGACCGTTTTGGCGACCTTTTCACCCTGAATGTGTCACTAGAAATAAAATGGAAAATGTGAACACGACAAACAGTGGTACAGAACAGTCCAGAGCTACACAGAGCCGACCGGAGCCACAGTTTCCGGCCTCCGCAGCGGCTAAGAGTCGTCCACGCCGACGAGTCATCCCAACTTAACAACAGATATTATCGCTGCCCCTGAGGGAAAGAGTCCTCAAGCTGGAAATCTTTTAAAGAGATGCCATTTTGGAGAGCTGGCCCAGAAAATGCAGCTAAATTTAGCCAGAGGTTCTTATTTTAAAGAGCAGATTTTGGTGAGATTCATGTATCCAGATTCATCCAAGAATGCCTGAACCAAGTGAGGTGTGGGCCAGGGACCTAGATTCCCGACACCAATGAACAGGATCCCATTTACGGACTGGCAGGCCGACACAGCACATAACGAACCACAGCCAGAGCCGTGCAGAAACACGAAGGACCATTCTGGGTCTTCAGGGAGAATCCCTTCCCACTCACTGGAACTCGAAGCATAAAGGATTCCTGCACCTCGGCACTTCTGGGTGAGATTCCAACCAGAGGCAGGGCCAGGGGGAGAGGATTCTTTTTTTAAACTGTAGTGAAGTACACATATAATACAATTTACCATCTTCAACACTCCAACTTCGGTAGCTTCAAGTCCTTTCACATTGTACAAGCAATCTCCAGCACTCTTTCCGGGATGAGATGATTTCTCTACTGTCTATTCCTAACCATGGTTAATGATTCTTTTCTCCCTTCCTTTCTCCTTCATGTAAATAATTAGGGGCAGGGGCAGGTCACTCGAGACAAAGGAAACATCAGATCAGACTTGCAAAGGGGTCAACAAAGGAAAGCATTTTTAGCAGACACTGTTCCACTGAGTCACCGAGTGGTCAGGGGCTCATTTCCCAGGCAGAATGGAGGCCTCCCCACCTCCAGCCTGGCCCCTGGTCTCGGGCCCCTCTGTGGAATGGTCCTGCCCCCAGCAAAGCAATGGCATTTTTGGGGTGGGGTCGTCCCCTGACCTTAGATCCCATGGAATGGAGACATTCCTGCTCATTCACTTTAAGAAAAAAATAAGGAAATTTACTTATTGGCACTTTTATTACTGCAACTACCTTTCCCAGCTCTAAACATTAACTGGATGGACAGAGCAATTTGGCACTCAAGTTCCTTGTGTTCTCTTCAATAGAACGCTCCAACAATGGCATTCAGTCATGAAAAACCACTAGAAATGGTCATTTACAGCATTTACAGCATTTGCCATATGAGCAGTGCAGTCCAGCCTGAAGCAAATATTTATCCATGCATATAAATATATAACTGTGTAGTTAAGAGTTGCTAAATGGCCCTAAAAAACTAAAGAAATCCCTTGGGCAGAAACAAGCCTGAGAGACTCAACCCTATACCGGGGGGCTGCTAGATGCCTGGGACCAGGCCAGCTTCCCCTGTAAGGACAGGGAGGCAGAGAGGGTACCTGTCCTGGGGCCCCTGGGAGCTGCCCACAACGTCCCTCCCATGGTGGCAAAGCAGCATAGGCACAGAGGTGGTTTGCTCGGGTTCCACCGACACTCAGCAGGGTGACCCTCAGATGGCATGCCGATCGATACCCGGCCTGGTCCCTGGAGACCAAGGACCAGGCCCAGAGCAGGCCGGCGAGGGCTCTCACAGCTGTGTGCTCCACTCCGAGCCAACCTGGCATTTTAGGGGGTCTCAATTAGCCCCACGATCTCCGCTTCATACGTTAGCGTGAACCAGCGACCTCGGGCCACTGCCTGTGGCCGGCCGGACGGTTATTTCATCGTGAAGCCACAGTGCTTTGAAAGCAATTGGTCACTAGTCCAACTGGAAATGAAAGAATGGAATGAGAGCTTTAAAAAAAAAAAAATGTATGGGTTTCAGATGAAGACATCCAATATGCAAGGGGGGGAAAAAAAACCAGTTCCATTCCTGACAAGCAGGCAGATGTTGGATAATCACATTTTCACAGCCAAGCAGTTTTCACTTATGCTAATCACTCTGAAACAGGAACGTAACCTCTGCTACTGGGGAGCCCCCTGCCGCCCCCCCCGCCCCACCATCCCCAGGCCCAAGGCAGAAATACATAAGCAGCCGCCATGGAGAGGAGATGGAGAGGGCTTGAAAGCAAACAGAAAAGCAGGGGAAAAAGCACACGTAGGATGAGAGGCAGATCCCATTAAATTTACTTACAACAGAGAACACACAGACATCACATCTTCAACCATCCTAAGACAAGAAGACAAGAAAAAAGAGAGACAGACAGAAGGAACTGACAAAAAAGATCAATCTGCAGACGACTGGTTTTCAGTGGGTTGGGGTACAGGAGCCATCCACTGTGGGTTCTGCTGCCGAGCGTGGCCAACGTCCCAGCTTTCTGGAGAGGGGCCGTCGGAGAGCACCTTCGTCTCTTGGTTCCAATTACCCCGTAAGGTGCTGGCGCCCAAAGACCTTTGTCACACTGGTGTAGGATTCCAAGTCTTCTGCACTAGACGTGAGACCCAGAGATGGGCTGGCTTCCCTGACCTGTTAGTTAGCTCTGATGACAGGGCAGACTGTAACCAAGCTACCTCTGGGGAAGGAGGAGGTGCGTGGTGGCTACAAGCTGGCTCTCATTCCAAAAATGAGAGACCGTGGCTTTGTCATCTGGGCATCTCAGACTTCTGTTCGAGGCTTTAAAAAAAGCTTCCAACACAGCTTTGACGGAGTGTCTAGGAAGGGCCTGGGTGGGGAGCTGATCTCAAAAGTCTTGGGATCCACGGCTAATGTCTGCTTAGAGAACCTGCTCTCAGGAAGCCCCAGGTTCTTCTCAAATGTTAACTCCGCGGGGAGCCCCGAATGGGAGGTAAAAATGTCACCCTGTCTCAGTTCATACCAGGCAGAGTCTGGTGGTCTCTCCGGCTGAGCTGGCGCCAGAAGCCTGGTCTACGGGTCCTTGTTCTACTGACCATACTTCCCAGGTGGGCAGGAGAAAGGCTCCGAGCACCATCCCCACTATGCTGGGACCCACAGCCTGAGCAGGGACCTGCAGCCACCCAGGTGACAGCTGGGTCTGGGGACTGACTCCAGAGATACTGACATGGAGTACTGAAGGGTACTCTACTTGGCAAGTGTCTGTGGACAGCAGAACCGATCATGAATGGCCTCCTGGGGACTGTCTTCTCATCGACCCCTTCTGGACCTACAGGGCCTTGGAGTGTTTTCTGCAAAACATGGCTAGAAAAAGGAATGAAGACCCACGAGGTGCTTCTCGTGGGTGGGCTGGGGTGCAGGGAGGAGGATCCAGGCCAGACCTCTCGCTCCTGGGCCATTAAAGGGCAGACACAAATCCTATAAATTCTTAACAATATTTTAAGGGTAGATCTCCTAGGTGGTAGGCCACCCCAAAAAGTAATTCCTGTGCTAACCAGGGAAAAGGCTAAGTCACCAAAGGGAGGCTGACCAGGTCTCTAGTGGATGGTTCCCTCTCCATGGGCTCTCCCACACTCCCCTGGAGTCAAATGTCAGGACTTCAGCTAAAAGTAATGCATTAAACCACTGTCATAATAAGGCAAAGGATCAAGGACTCTAGACCCAAAGGGGTAGGTGGCTGGGAAATGCCACCACTGTGGGAGCAGAGAGGAAGGGAGACAGGTACCGTGTTGCAAACCTGGCGGCGTTATGGCGCATGGAAGGGCTAGGGCGGCCACGTCCATCCAGACACATGACCCAGGATCACAGCCAATGCACAGCCCCACCTCTGATCTTACCACCTTGCACCCCTGAACTTACGTCTTTAGGGGCGTCTTCTTCTTCTTGGCGGGCTTGTTCAGCCCATCCCCGTCCACTCCATTGGCTTCGATGGCACTGGCTGGGATCTCAAAGGAGGCTGGGGATTTAGAAGGCGAGCTGGGGGTTTTAGAGGATGTCTTAAAAGGGTCAATGGATTCGTCACAGGCGTCTGGGTCAAAGTTGTAGGACTGTTGGGGCAGTGTGGGAGACTCTTGCATTTTTGAGGTGGAAGAAAAAGGGTTAAAATTGGGGTCATCCCACTTGTCAATATCAAAGGTGTAGGTACCTTTAGCAATAGGGATGTCATTGGGTTCATCGGGGGATCTGGTAGGCGAGGCAGGAGTGTTGTCCAGTTTCTCGGGTGTTTTTTTCATCTTTGGCCTCCTTAAGGGCATTTTGGCAACCGGCTTCTTGCCTAGCTTTTTGGTAGGAGGGGGGTTTTCCTGCTGGGTGTCCCAACTACCCTTGTCCTCAGAATAGTCAAACTCCAGCCTCACCGAGAGCCCTTTGACTGGGGAGTCCTCCTGCCCCCCACTCTCCGATGGGGTCACCTCCACCGCCTCCGGAGCCGTGGCAAGAGTCAATGCTTTCCTTCCAACCGGAGGCGAGTTCTGCACTCTGCCACTTCCAGAAGCCAGGGGGATGGCCCCTTCAGCACCCTCGGAGTCCAGAGGGCAGGCAGCCTTGGGCACAGCAGTGGGTTCCAGGGGCGTCTCCTCCAAGAGGGCTGGTACAGAACCTTCTGTCTTGGCCAATTCCGGTTTTGTCTCGAATGCTCGGTTCTCCTCGCTGGGGACAGGATTCTCTTCCACTGGTTCTTGCTGCGTCTCTTTCACTGGGGGGGTTTCAGTGGGTTTCTTAGTGGTCTGCTTCTTTTTTAAGGAAGGTGGCCTTGGTTTTTTAGTTCGCTTAAGGGTACTGGAAGCGCTGCTTGAACCCGTGCTGTACGCATCTGGGGCCAGGGCCACGGCCTCGGGGTTGCCTGAGCAAGAAGCACCATCAAAGTCACTAGCTTGCAGGCTGAGAGAGCGGGACAGCGTGGCCTTGGAGGTGGGCACGGAATCCGTGGATTTCCTCCGCGTGTTCACTTTGCATTCCTGACTCTTAGAGTCCGAGCAGCGGGGCTCCAATGTCTGGAAATCATCCACCAGCTCGATGCTGTCAAAGTCTAAGTTGTAAGTCCCGCTGCTGGCTATAGGCTTGTCTTCATCGAAGACGGCGGAGAAGGAGTGTGACGGGGGGCGGAAGGGGCTCCCTTCCACCGAGCTGCTGCGTGGGCCATCGGGGACAGAGGCCGGCTCAGAACCGCAGCCTGAGGAAGAGGAGGCAAAGCAGTCACTGAAGGACACAGGACACGGGAGCATTTCTCCTCTCGTGCCAGACTGCTACCCGCTAAGCGGAACCCCCAGCCCCCTCCCCTGGGTCCCCACTGGGCGGGCGCAGTGCTGGGGTACAAAGCCTGCTCTCACCCACCACCGGCTCCAGACCCTGGATAGGCTTACCCTCCGGTTCCTCATCTGTAAAATGAGAGTGAGGAGGGCTGTTTAGGGAAGAGCTCAAACCATTCAGTCACTCAAAAAAAACCTTTACCGAATTCCCAGTCAGGACCAGGCACCATTCTGGGGTTTGGGGAGTCAACAATGAACAAAACAGACCAAATCCTTGCCCTCCTGGAAGTTACATTCTTCAAGAGAAGACAGTTCAGAAACAAATAAGCAAAATGTACAGACTGCCCGATGGTAATAAGCACTATGGAGAAAAATAGAGCCAGGGACATTGCAATTTTAAAATAAAGTAGTTGGCAAAGCCCTCCAAGGAGGAAACACTTAAGCAAAGATCAGAAACAAGGCAAAGGTGTGAACCAGGAGGGTATCTGGCGGGGGGGGGGGTGGGCATCACAGGCAAAAGGAACAGCAAATGCAAAGGCCCTGGGGTAGAAGCACACCTGGTATGTTAAAGAAATAAGAGAGGCCAGTGGGACTAAAGCAAGGGAGAGGAAGACAGCCATTACCATCATCGAGCCTGTTCTTGACTACTCAGAGCTTGTTGTGAGGAACAACAGGGAGACTTTCCGTGGAGGCCCCCAGGCCACTGCAGGAGGACTGAGCATGTCCTGCCCGCCACTTGTTCCTATGCCAGGCGTCCCTGTAATCACTCCCTCCAACTCTGCTGCCACGCTCCTCTTCTTGGCCTCTCCTCTGGTCCATTCCCTCTCCTCTCTCCGCTGCTTCTTCCCAGCCTCCCCACCCCCACAGCCACTGCTGGCCACAGAGGCTGCTCCTTATTTTAAAACACACTGGTGCATGTTCCACATGTTGGCCACGAGATGCCCCACCACCTCATGACCCCACCGCTCCATGGGGATCTGGCCAGCCTGGCCTTGGCTTGGCTACTTTGGACTCTGCCTGCACCAGCTGGTGCCTTTCATGCATTTCTGGGTTCACAGCTGTCCTGGGCAGTCAGCACGCCAGAAAACTAACAACATGTCACTGGACAAGGAGGGCAAATGTTGCAAAGAGGTCTGCAGAAGAAGGGACTGGAGAGCTGGCACAGGTATGGCCCAGGACAGCGCTCCCAAAGTTGTCTTTCACTAATGGGAGTTATGCCCCCAACGCCCACCCCATGCCAGGCTGGGACAGAGGTGAGATAAAACACAGGGTGTTCAGTTAACTTTGAATTTCAGATCATTGAAAAAGGGTTTTCGTATAAATATGTCTTGGTAATGCCTCGTTTATCTGGGATTCAGATTTAACTGGATCTCTTTAAACCTGTATTTTCATTTGCTGAATCTGGCAGCCCTACCCCTCATCCCAACAAGTGGACGTGGTTTGGGAAATGCTTGGCCAAACCTGAACTGGCCTCTTGCTGGGTATCTTCTCAGAGCAATTCATGCTCACCACCGCAAACGCCCGGGGGGTTACTGTTTGTGCGCTGCTTCCCGACTTTGCTCGCGAGCAGGTATTTCTCTTGGAGCACCTGGCAGAGAACCCCCGCCTAGGAGATGACAATGCAAGCGAAGTCCAAGCCTCCTGAGTTCAGGAACGGGTCTGACTCATTTTTGTTCTCCCTGAACTGGTCACACTTTCTCTTGCAGGCTCAATAAGCACCTCTAGAATCGAAGACACCTTCTGGAAGCAGGTCTATTCATGGTTCTAAACCTTCCCATCTCTCCTGCACCCAGCGCCCCCCAGGCCCTATTTGCAGCAAATGTCCTGGAAGACGGGGGGCACTTCCTTAAAGCCTCACAGTTCTTTCCACGAAGTGATTCCTCCCTCCCTCAAAAACACTCCAGCTTTCTTCCCATCTCAAAAGAAGTCTCCTCCCTGCTTCTTTTTAAAACCAACTCCCTCTCTACTTCTTCCAGGGCCTGGCACCCTCAAGCACCCCATCCTCCTGCCCGGACACATGGCACAGAGGACTCAGAAGGACCAGAGGACCCAGGGGAACAGGGGCTTTTAAGGGGGTCTTGCAGGAGGGAGAAAGAGCCTCAGCCCACCCCACTGTTTCCAAAGCAAGGCTCACAACCGCCAGTCTCCTCTCTCTCAGGCTGCCCCGGGCCTTCTGAGACCCTTCAGATTGTCAGTAGTCACCCAGACTCATGCAACATGCAACATGCAACCATCTGCTCACCATCTGACCCAGAACAAAAGCTTCCTACCTGCTTAACACCCTTTCCTCTTCAGAGCTGACATACCTGAATTAACTCATCATGGACCAGGAAACCTAGTCTTGCTACAGGGTGTCTCGGCCTTGGCACTGGGGCCATATCGGAATGGTGACTTGTCTGTGGTGGGGGGCTGTGCTGTTCACTGTAGGATGTTAGGCAGCATCTTCGGCCTCTACCCACTAGATACCATTGGCACCCCAACCCCAGTTGTGACAACTGAACATGTTTTAGGGGTGCCTGGGTGGCTCAGTCGGTTAAGCATCTGCCTTCGGCTCAGATCATGGTCTAAGAGTCCCGGGATCACGCCCCGCATCAGGCTCCCTGCCCCAGCAGGGAGTCTGCTTCTCCCTTGCCCTCTGCCCTTTCCCCCATCTTGTGCTCTCTCTCTCAAATAAATAAATAAAATCTTTTAAAAAAATGTTTCTAAAAATTGCCAAATGTCCCCTTGAGGGGCACCACTGTCCCTGGCTGAGAACCTGCTGTCCCATTGTGTGGTCATTAAGCAGGTCATTCCACAGGGCCCATTACAGGGCCCGGAGGGCCTGAGTCAGTCTGAAGACTGGGGCCACGAACTACCACGTGGAACCCAACCAGGACCTCAGCAAAGGCCACACTTCCCATGGGGCAGAGAGGAAAGGTCTAGAGCACTCAGGCCATGGTGTCTGCAGTCACCGCCAAGGCCCCCCCATGGGCCTTCCTGGGCAGTTTCCCAGCTAGCCAGCTAAGAAAACTGGCTTCACCCCAGGGGAAAGCAATGGCCCCGGAAGGAAGGCCACCATCGAAGGAGCCCACCTCTTCGAAGGAGTACCACAAAACCAGGTTCACGGGTTCCCTGACCACCTGCTTGCACCTGACAGCTGCTGTGTCCATCCTCTGCCTCGGGGTACTTAAATGCACCGGCTCACTAGACTGCAGACAGCAGCCTGGTTTCCCAATGGAAGGGAGTCAAGAGGCCTGGGTTCCGATCCCAGAGCCCCTCATGTGCTGCGAGACGGGGGGCGAGGTTTGGAAGCTGCATACCTCCTGCGGAGGCAGGTGATGCCATCTGACACGTAGGGATGCTGTAAGCACGGGGGATGATTCTCGGCTGAGTTGGAGACGACGCTCACAAAGAACCCAGCGCAGGCCTGGCACACGGTGGACACTTAGATGGGAGCTACTATTTAACGATGCAACATTTCCTTCCATCCCTCATCGGCCAGTTCTGAGCTCTAGGAACATGGCCACCATACAGCAGCCCCACACTGCCATCTCAAAACCAGGGAAGCTCAGAAAGGGAAGCAGGCTCTCGGAGGACGGGCAGGTTGCCCTCTTCACGTTACAGGTAAGAGAAAATCGGGCTCAGACAAGCTGCATCCCGGCATGGCCCAGCCCAGACGAAGGGCAGATGCAGGCCAACACCCAGCATCCCCCCATCCTCCTGTCCCATGGGGCACAACCATGCTGGCAGGACCCAAGTTGAGGTGACCGACTGGTTGTTTTCTACAGTGTGGGTTTCCAGGGGAGCAAATCATGTCTTTATTCACACCCAAGGGTCTAGTCTGTTATATTACGTGGCTCTTTCAGCACCTTTAGCAATATCCTGGGCACTCTGCAAAAGAGACCAAACAATAGATATTCCCCCGAGCCCTTTCTTGCCTGCGCTTCTCGGAAGGAACCTTTCTTCCCCTCTAGCTACCTCTGAAAGCAGGCACACCCGCCTGCTCCAGCCTCTGCTTTGCCCCATGCTGCCTGCAGAATGGACGGGCAGACTTTTATAACAAGGGCTGTGAAGCCAATGGATCTTTGTACAGCCCAAGCCCCGGGGGGGCTTTAAGCAGTCACGATCCCAACCGTAAGAGTCCTTATTGTGTGAGCCACGTATATTTAGCTTCACTGGAGTTTTCCAAGAAGGAGAAGCACAAAGTCCGTGTTCAAAGACTCCAACTGATGTAATCAAAAGTTCAGTGGGGCTGTGACTCGTGGTGATTACCAGCTCCAACCCCTTCCGGGTGGGGGTTACCTCCTAATCCCCTGCAGTGCTCATTCTTTCTGAAGCTGCCCTCTAAGAAAGAGGCGGGAGCTGTGCATGTGTTTGTTTTTAAGAATGGAGACTGTTCTTTGCTTTGTTGAAAAGCAAGTCAGGCAGAAGGAACAAGGACAGGCCACAGAAAAGAACAAAAGCAGCAAACCATCCCCAGACGCCATCAGGATGCGTGGCTGGAAATCCTAGAAGGCACACATCGGCTCACAGCAATGGCCCTTCCCTGTTTACTTCTTGGTGCGGGTGGATGGACCGTATGGTGTGATACACCACCGTTTTCTTCTCAGTTCTTTCCCCCAGTAGCCCACACATCTGTGGGCATGAACTTGTACCAACAAAAAAAGGATAGTTTATTTTCAATCACCTATTTGATCTAGGGATTACAATCTATTTGTCATTCACTTTCCATTAAACCTAAAGGTGATTTTTTTTTTTTACAGTATTATAGGAAATGACTTTTTATATGCTTCATAATATGAAAAAAAATGGGAACGCTAAAAACCTTCTGGCTCCTTCTCTACTTTAAAATCAAATAAACTGCAAGAGTTCCTCTCTCAGGGCCCAGCCCCTAGACTAGCGATGCAGAATCAGATGCTACTAGCAGATGAGCTGTCAGAGACAAGAGAATATGAAAACTGCCTTTGTCAGACACCAGCAAAGACATCTGCCCCCCCTCAAAAATGGTCCTAACCTTTTCCCCCAGGATCGGGGAGCATATGTGCTTAGGACTCAGCCCCGGAGTGTCTACCCTTTCTAAAATACAGCCTGTTTGAACCCAGGGCAGGTAGAAAGAATTCTACCCATTTCTTTGTAAAACCAACATCAAGGTCAAAATGTCATTTGACTTTACAGTTCACCTGGCTTCTGGCCAGGGCAAGAGTATGAATGGAGGTCCAGCCATCAGCTTGCTCCTTCTCCTCCCACCCCAGCTCCATCCCTTACTGGGGGTGGCCTTGAGCACAGGTGTATGGACACCCCACCTGTAGGTCCCAGACCCATCCTTGGTTCCTCCTTGGCTGAGAGGTATAAACATAGTTACAGTCAGTCCTGGGAAGATGGGCCATGAGAAAGGGACCAGGTAGGCCCAGGAAGTGGCTGCCCCCAGGTATCCAGAGTGTGGTCTAGGAGGAGATTGGCCCTACAGCCTCACCATAGAGAGGGGACTGTGGCTGGAGGAAAGCCAGAGTGGGGCCCTCTAAAATACACGGCCCAATGCAGGAAGGTAGTCCAGGTCTAAGAATAGTACCACCTGGCCCTCTGACCAGTCTGCTGGGCCATTTCTGGCAGTCCCCATCTCCTTCCAGGTCTTATGTTAAATCTTCACACTGGAGGTGGTCCCACCCCTGCTGGTGTAACTGAAGGATGCACGCACAAAACACTAGCCAGGTGGGCAGGCTGGGGCTGGGGAATGAGATCCGTCCCATCCCCTCCCACCTCCAGCAATCACATCTGAAAGGTTTGGAAAGACCTGTGTTTTCAGTCACACTAGGGAAGAAAGTAGGCAGGAAAGTGATATGAAATAACTTGAGGTTAATGAGGAATAAATGAACCATCCATGCATGGGTTTGGCTATCTATGGCTTTCTCTTCTTTCCCATTTACTGCATATCTCTATCCCCAAGCCCAGGGGGGGCTATGGTCTTTAATAAAAATGCAGATTCATGTGGGCTGTCTAGCACCAGTGTTCTTATGGAAGCCCAGGGCCACATGTTAGAATCCAAGATAGAATCCCAAATAGAAACCTCCCAGATCCACTTGTCCCCTCAAACCCAATTCTGGATGCCAAGTGAAAGGGACCCAGAGCTAAATGAGGGGTTTCCCGACAGGCCTCCCCTAAACACCTTCAAAGCAGACAGAATAATCCACTATATCTTCTCACTCTTAGTTCTCACTCACAAAACAGTACTGAGCAGAGAGGCTCCAGCAGCTGGGGAGTGTCTAAGGAGCTCCAGCAACAGCCCCCTGGAGAGGGTGCCCCCCTCCAGCTGCCCCAGCCCAGAGCTGCTCCCAAGCTTCCCTGGGGGAGCACCTGACCTTGGTTACCTGGTTCTTCCAGGGGAGGCTGTGCGCTGATCTCAGGTTCTGGAGTGACTTCAGGGGGCGGCGGGGGTGGGGCAGGGGGAGCTTTGACAGGAGTCGTCGACTCGGGGGTCTCAAATGCTTCTTCAGAGTCAGAACTCCTGATGGAGAGAGGAGAAGAGAAACACAGCGTTAGGCAGGGGTCTGGGCCGAGTCTGCTCCAAGAAGCCAGGGGCCAGTGCTGCTGAGGCCGTGTGGCCCTCTGACCCCTGCCCAGGACCGCTAGAACCAAGCTTGTTGCCCAATTGAGCTGTTCGAGGACAGATGTAAGGAAAGTCATTTCTCAGCATGATTCCCCAGAGTGAATCCCATTATCACCAGCTTTGTTCCCAAATGACATAAGCTTAGCCCTTGAACTTAGCCCTATGAGAAATACATATTTCTGGCCTCAGTGACAAATACAAACACAGGGGAATCTTTTGAACAACTCTGGCACCAATTCGATCAAACTGATATTCCCAGGAACACGTTTCGGTGCCATGGTTCCAACACAACATAGGGTCCCCAGTCCGTGAAACCAAATCAGCATGTGGCCTCTCCCCATCCATCATTCTCTCCCATTGCCCTTCCTTCCGGGAGCTTCTCGTAACTTACTATAGATTCATTCACCTCCTAATTGTGTTAATTATCTTTCTCATCTACTGAGCTCCGAGGCCATGAGGGCAGCTGGCCTTATTTATTACAGCATCTCTGAGCCTAAGCCAAGAGGCACTGAATAAACATCTGTTGAATGAATGAGTGAATGAGTGAATGAATCAATGAATGAAAGCAAGCTGGCAAGCCAGCTCTCTGGAGGATGTGCCAGACCAAGACATAAAACACAGCCTGCTGATCTCAGGGATATGATAATAACCACTGCCAATCGGCAGGAAGGTCTGCTCCCAAGGAAGATTCTTCATCCAGAGAACTGGACCAAAAGTCCACCCAGAGGACACCCCACCCAGAAATAAGGGGGAGGCTGCTCAACAAACTGAAGCCTTGCCCTGGGCTCCAGAAAACCCAGAGCAGACAGCCCTTCTCCGTCACCCTGTTTCTACTGGGGGTTCAATTTTAAGCCAGAAAGAAGGAGACCCCCCCCAAATCACAGAGCCAGGCCTATGTCCTGGGGCCACGGGGCAGCCCCCCGCCCCGCCCCTTGCTCAAGATGCCCAGTGGTGCGCGGTCCTGGACCAGCCTCACTCCAAGGACGCCAGAGAAGCATCACCTGGGCTGATTCCCAACTCAAGATATTGTACAGAGACTAAAAGGCCACTTACTCATTTGCCACAAGCAAGGTCATTATCAAGAGAGTGGGTATTTAGGACTGCTACTGGCACGAGGGGCGCAGCAGGCAAATCTGGGTGAAGATGTGTAATCAGAGGGTGACGAACCAGGTGAGTGTGGAGCATGAAACGCTCCCGCTGCTGAGCTCCCGCAAGGAGTCAAAGGACTTGTGACCTCCACAGAGGGCAGCCTCTTCTGAAGACTATCTGCTAGCTGGCGGAGAGGACCGGGAACCGAGCCAATCCCTCCACCATCAGCCAGCACGGGGAAAAGGAGGCATTTGGTGAGTTCTCTCAGAAAAATCTACACATTGATGTTTTTACAACTTGTTAGTGACTCGTTTTATCAGTGCCAAAGACCCCACCCCCAAGAATCCTGGCTCCGGCAACCAGCCCCAAAGCCTTCCAGGGACCCAAGGAGATGAAGAGAAACACCGGAGCTGCTTTTGATGGGCTCCGATGAGCTGAAGCTTGCACACTATCAAATTTCATGAGGAAAGACTTAACCTCCACACAGAGGAAAGGGGCCAGGCTGACTTTTTACAAACACACATTAATATGAAAGGCCTTTGCTTTTGTCTAGGGGAAGTGAGGATACAAACTCGGACAACAGATCAAGGTACCTGAGTTTTGCAGGGTCCGTTTACCGGCATGAAAAACACGAGGAAGTTACACAAGGGAGTATCAAAGAGAAACCAGAGTTTGGATCACTCTGGTGGGCCCCAGATGTCACCCTGCCCCCAGCACTGCACACGTCAGGGGCAACACTGACAAGAAGCATGGAGCCAACTTGCCTCTTTCCAGGGCTTCCTTGAAGGGCCATCAGACTGGAGTCTCCACTGCTGGTCACCGCTGTCCACATCCACTGGGCCCATTCCACCAGGGGCCACATCCGCCAGGAGGCAAAAGCCATCTCTGCCGAAGGATAGCCTCTGTCCCTTAAAGTCCTACCCCTGATTCCCTTGCCGTATCTCTGGGATCTAAATCTGTCCAAGATGTCAGGAAGGAGTTAGCCGCACTGCCAGCCACAGATGCTGTGAGCTTCTCCAGCGTGGAGTGAGAGGCTGCGTGCTCCTCCCGCGGCTTCTGCAACCCTGGGCCCTGGCGATGTGAGGCTTTAGAGCACAAAGAACCCCTGCTCTTTCCCAACAGCACAAGCAAGCGACAGGGAGGGCCGGATGCTCTTGGGTCCGAGCTGCTGAATTCCAATGAGGTCTCTCCCCTGCTGCAGCTGCCCGGCCCGGTGCACCTGCTCAGAAGGGGCCACCATTCACCACTGCCCCGTGTGGGAGGGAGAGGGCACATCAAGCCCCTTTGTGGTTCCTTGCCCGTTTACCATGAACTGTTTCTGCATCAAAACACCACGGGCGACCGTGGACCACAAGAATGGCATTCACTTCCGGTGATGCCTGCGTTGTGTTCACATTTCCGCTCCCTCTCCCAGGAGCAGAGAGCAAGTTAATTAGAGGAGGCGGATGGCAGCTTTTTTAATTAGCTCTTTTTCCCCTGTTCAGTTTCCCAGAGGGCTCAGAAACATTTCCAAGAGCAGGGATTTCTGCAGTCCACCCACAAAGAGCCTGTACATAAAAATAAAGCAGCACTTTGGAGTCCCCCTTGGCTGTTTGATTTTTTTTTTCTACTAGAAAAAAACCAAAGTACAATAAATGATTCTGTTAAGGCTCCACACACTTTCAAAATGAAAGAAAAGGAAATTAATTTGCTGCAAAGATGCATCAGAAAGAATGTGCCACTCCAGCCTGCTAAAACATCTCTAAGTTAGAGGAAAATGCATTTACTGGGATATGCGTACGCTATGCTCACTAGATAAGTAAATATGCAAATGCATGCAAATAAAATGCGATAGATGTCTTTCCCTAGTGCAGAAAGATAGCTCGTAATGACCAGACATGAAATATGGGGACTTTAATTCCCAGCATGAAAAGCTTTATAACCGTTATCATATGCTGAACTTTCTGTTACGTATCAGGCACTGGGCGAGGTCTATTTGTACATTTCTCTATCATCTTCAAAAATAGCCCGCTTGCTAGAGAGCAGGCCCACTTTACAGATGGCATAACTAAGGCTTAGGGAAGCAAATTACTTTGCCCTTGACCATCTAGTGAGCAAGCAATGGAAGATGGGCTCAAATCCAGAACTGCCTGCCTATGAAATCTGTGCTCTTTTCATTGTATCAGTGGTTTCCAAACATTTTCGACAGCAGAACTCTTCTTCCAAATGAATCCTCCACGTGGAGAAAAGCAGTGTTTCATTTATTTTATAAGCTCAATTCATAAGATATTCTAATGATAAAGTCTATCATTGGGAACAATAAAGCTCTCTTGACAAACTTGAAAATTTGACACCAGGGGTTGGGGATGCCGATCACAGCATCATATCTGCTAATTGCTCCCCGGTTGCACATGACCAGGCAGAGTCCTGAGGCAGACTGATGAGTGACTGCAAGCAGCATCTGTTTTTTAACAGCTTGTCCTATGATCACAGGATATTCTTGCATTAAGGCAGACAGGGCTGAGGAGCTACCTAGCAGTACAAAACCAAATTCATCCATCTGCACAAGGCAATATGCTGACGGTATCCAATCCCACGCACAGTGCTGTGCACAGATGGGAAGGATAGAAACATGTAACCCTAAGGACAGAGAGACTGTGCTGGCCACCAAAACCTACCAAGCTCCCCAGGTGTGTGTTAGCAAAGTTTCAGAGTATTTTTTCAAATCTTCCTCAGATTTCAGAGAATCTCTATATAGTTCTGAGGTCCCACCAAGCACACAATGAAGGAATCAGTCCCCCCACAGATGACACACTGTGTTAAAACAGAGCACTTTATGGAAACTGTCCCCAAAGCAAGCCAGCTGGCAAAATGTAGAGCCCTAGGGCCTGTTGCCCTATCTTTTTGCTTTACTTTCAGTATTTTCAGGTTTTACTTCTATGAACTATGACAACAAAATCGTATAAGATCAGCACCTACACACAAATACATTAATGTAATATAAGTTAGCATAATATATGATAGTGTATTATAATATAATCACACATACACACATATACACACAAATGTATGTGTGAATGTGTACGTGTTTTTTTTTTTTAAAGATTTTATTTATTTATTTGAGAGAGAGAGAATGAGAGAGAGAGAGCACAAGAGGGAAGAGGGTCAGAGGGAGAAGCAGACTCCCTGCTGAGCAGGGAGCCCGATGCGGGACTCGATCCCGGGACTCCAGGGTCATGACCTGAGCCGAAGGCAGTCGCTTAACCAACTGAGCCACCCAGGCGCCCTGAATGTGTACGTAGGCAGGTCCCATTTTCAGATTCAAGTAGCTAGCAGGTATCTCTCTTTTTTAAGTTTATTTATTTATAATCTCTACATCCAAGGTAGGGTTCAAACTCATGACCCCAACATCAAGAGTCACACACTCTACTGACTGAGCCAGCCGGGTGCCCCAAAACATGGGTATCTCTTACTAGAGAGGTGCTTAATGTTGTTTTTCAGCTTATCATTAAACAGTTACAGTTTGCTCAAGTTTTATGGGAGGCAATTCAAGGGCTTGGGAAAAGAAATCTCAAACACCACAGAATGAATCCACCAACCCTGAAGATAGAAGAAAACGTCCTATTCCAACACGCTTGTCACGTCCTTTTAATGTTTTTTTTTTTTTTTTTTTTATTCATGAGAGAGAGAGAGAGGCAGAGGCAGAGGGAGAAGCAGGCTCCCCGCCGAGCAGGGAGCCCGATGCAGGACTCGATCCCAGGACCCTGGGATCATGACCCGAGCCGAAGACAGATGCCCAACCATCTGAGCCACCCAGGTGCCCCTGTCAC